GTTGTGTGGCAACCAGGTCTCAAAGAAAAGTCTCCGGGTATTCCCGGCCGGTTACGTGAGCTGAGGTAATGTTTCGACACCCTGGGGGAACCCGGAGGTTGTCTTTGGCAAATGGCGACCAGTGGGGCAAGGACCCTCGGCCGGGTTCAATCGGCGGAACCCGGATACTAAAATGTCACACATCCTCGTTAAATTTTTATTAAATATATAATTTTTATTTTTAACCTAACATGCTTCAACAGACATAAAAAAATTATGGCAAAATAAACACTCTCCTTTCTCACTCAATTGATCAGTTTGTAAATTATAAAATAAATTAATTTCATAAACTTACTAGCGATCTTGATATTGGATTAATCACAGAACACCCTGTATACTTTATTTATAACTAACCATTTATAAATTCAGTCTTTCATAATTACATATTTTCAGTCGTATGAAGTAATGCGTTTAATTTTTACACCAATGAGTGTCTGATATATATTTTTTTTTTTGGGTGATTTGGGCTTGTGTTTCTTTGACTGTGTACATAAATGTGTCTTGTTTTGTGTTTCCATGGTCATGTACTTATGTGTATATGGTTTGGAATTTCTTTGGTTTTGTCTTTATGTGTTTTCATTTCTTTGGATGTTTATAAGTACGTGGAGTTGTGTGCTTACGTGTGATTTGTTTTCTGCTACTTTTGTCTTTATGTGTTTGTAGTTTTATATTTAAATGATTATGCGTTTAATATGTGTGTTTTGTTTTGATTTTCTTTGGTTGTTTGTTTACATTAATAAGTTGTTTTATGTTTACATGGTTGTGCATTCATGTGAGAGTGTTTTGTTTTTCATACATGGTTGTTTGTTTATAATGGGAGTAGTTTTGTATTTTCATGTTTATATGTTATATGTGTGAGCTGCTTTGTGATTCTTTGGTTGTTTGTTTTTACTTAGGTGTTGTAAAGAGGTGTTGCGTTTTCTCTCTCACTCTCTCTCACACACACTCTCTCTCTCTCTCTCTCTCTCTCTCTCTCTCTCTCTCTCTCTCTCTCTCNCAATGTCTGCCGGTTAATCTCTCTATCTTTTTCTTTTTTCGTTCTCTCTCTCCCAAAGAAACCAAATAAATAAAAAATATCTATACGTGCTCAAACACAAAAATAGAAACAACCGCCAAAGGCAAACACAGATGTGAAGTATACATCTCAAACATACAACAAAAACACACGCACAAACAGATCAGACAACTATAAAATATACACGTCAAAATACGAAAAAAAAAAACAAATATACTTAAATTTAAAACATAATAAAAAGTTAAGTCTACATTTAATAAGATTTCGAGTATGTTTGACTTTCTTTCTTACTAGACTCTTTTCAACCCCTTGACGACGTGTTATCAAGTATTAATATTCTGATCAACAATTGTGATCTTCATAACAAATTCTATTTTGTAACAACAAAGGATATGCAGCCGAAGTAAATTAACCTTTCTATCCATGAGCCGGATGACCTCATAAAACGATAAGACGGAAATTCCCAAGGCAATCTCGGCCCAGAATGAGGCTACCAAATAAGTTTGTTTTGGTTTCGGGGTGATATATGCAAGCTTAGGCTTATTGCAAAATAAAAACTTTTCCTTGTAATTGTAAACAACACTGCGACATCCGAGCAATTGGGTGGAAGACGTCTATTGTTAGTTCAGCTAAACTCGTATTGATTTAAGAAATCTCCCACCCTGGTGGTCTATTCGTCTCTTGTCGTTTCGAAAATTGACTTCAGGTTTGAAGAAACTATTAAAACATGTATCATTGTTAAAAAGAAAATAGTTCCTTTCTCTATTTGTGTTGAGGCGATGGTGTAATTGGGCCGGAGCGGAAATGGATGACACTGACCTCCGCCGCCGTGGGAGTAAAAGTGAAATGAGAGAAAGCGAAGAGGGACGGACATCCTTCGCCGACCGGCAACGGGCCCCTTCGAACTCTTCCTCTTCTAATCCGACCGTAAACATTTGTTAAACGGGCTATTTTCACGTGGGCACCTTTTTTCCGCAGTTGCACAATACGAAAAAGGTCGCCTTGTCGAAATTTTCCCAACGTCTGCAAACATGCACAGGTGCCCCTGTTTCTACATTTATTTGATGGGCTTTTAATGTATAAAAACATCGACGACGATTTGAACGTTTTATTAATAAATACTTTAACGCTCATTACAAAAGAAATTCTTTTAAATATTATATATTTTTTACGTAAAAGACGAGTTGTCCTGCCATCGAAGAAGTATATATAAAGTATAAACTACTGTAAGGGCATTACAAGCCAGTCAATTTTCAAAATCTCAGATAAAACATACTAAGCACGTTTATTCACACTATGTTAATGAGTTAACAGAAAAGATGGCTACATAAAGGAAAAGAAAGCAGATAACATTTGCATTTGTTTGTTGGTGTTTGCTTGGAGAATTGGAATGCTTGTTTTATATTTACTTATACTTAGTTTGATTAATTTGTACTTTTTAAACTTAAATTTTTGGTTTTGTCCGTAGGAGCGTACGAGCATTGTTGTAGTTTTCTGTCCAGTCATTTTGCATGAAAGTGAGAGTGAGAGAGAGAGAGAGAGAGAGAGAGAGAGAGAGAGAGAGAACGAGGAGGTAAGGTGTACGTTTATGCATGTGTTTAAGAGAGAGAGAGAGAGTGTGTGTGTGAAGTGATAGATATACAAAGATAGAGAGATGGTGAGAAAATAGAGAGATTTGCAATGTTAGAAAAAGAAAGTGAGACAAGACAGGGGTAGACAGAGAAAGAAACAGGGGGAGAACTAAAGCGACAAAAAGAGAGGGGAGGAAGAAAGAGAGAGAGAGAATAGAGAGAGTGAGAAAAGAAAGAGTACAAAGAAAAGAGAGAGAGAGAAGAAAGAGTAGGGGACAGATTCAGAAAGATAGAGATGGTGAGAAAATAGAGAGATAGGGGCGATTAGAAAGAAAGAGTGAGATAAGACAATGGTAGAGAGAGAAAGAGATAGGGGGAGAAATAAAGCGACAAAGAGAGAGGGGAGCAATAGAGAGAGAGTGAGAAAAGAAAGATAACAAAGAAAAGGGAAAGAGAGAGAGAAGAAAGAAAGCGAAAGAGTGGAGGGATAGATTCAGAAAGATAGAGAGATGATGAGAAAATCGAGAGATAGGGCAGGTTAGAAAGAGAGAGTAAAATAAGAAAGAGGCAGAGAGTGATAGGGGAAAAAGAAAGCGACAAAGAGAGAGGAGGGGGAGAGAGAGAGAGAGAGAGAATGGAGAGAGTGAAAAAAGAGAGAGAAAACGAAGAAAAGAGAGAGAGAGAGAAGAAAGATTGGAGGGCTAGATATAGAAAGATAGAGAGATGGTGAGAAAACAGAGAAAGGGAAGGTTAGAAAGAGAGAGAGTAAGATAAGAAAGGGGTAGAGAGAGAAAGGAGATAGGGAGATGGAAAGGGAGATAGAGGGAGAAAGAAAATAGAGAGCGTGAGAAAAGGAGATAATTCAAAGAAAAGAGAGTGTAAGCGTGTAGGGATAGAAATAGAGAGAAATTATGATAAAAAGAGAAAGAGTGAAGTGATAGAAATATATAGATTGAGAGATGTGAGAAAAGGAGATAGAAAGAGGGAAGGGATGCACACAAAGCAAGAGTAATGGAAGAGATAGAATTAGAGTGATAGTGAGAGAGGAGAGAGAGCAAATAATTTTCCATATAAATACAAACACGCACATTAACAAACAACCAAAGAATCACAAAACAGCTTACACATATGCACACTTAAACTGAAAACACAACACTACACCCACATATAAACAAACAACCAAAGAAAAACAAAACACACTCACAAATGCACAACCATAGAAACATAAAAAACAACTTATTAATGTAAACAAACAACCAAAGCAACATAAAACAAAACATAGATATAAGCACATAACCATGGACAACAAACACATAGGCACAATCAAAAAATACAAAACATAGTGAGAAAGAATAAAAGTGCAATGATTATTAACCATGAAAAAACAAAACAATACACATTAATGAACAACCAAAAAACCAAAAATAACACATAACCATGTAAACAACCTAAGAAATGTAAGACAAAACAAATTTTGTACTTTTTCTTTATCAGTTGTGGGGTTACACGGGTATTTTAAAGTCCTTTCTCCCTCTCCATTGATAATTTTTCTTCTATAATTTAAGGCGGTTTTGGGTAAAGTTATATATTCGTTTGTTTTTGTGTGTATTTTCATTTTTTATACTTAACTGTTGATGTTTGGTTGCTGGTTTTGAAGTTTCAGGTTTCAATATTATATGGAGTTTATCCAGCTAAAGTTATTTATTGTGCATTTAAGAATATAGAAAAGTAAGTTTATTTTTAAGTATTGCCTTTTTTTAATTGAGTTTTTTTTAGCAAAGTTGAGTTTTTAATTTTTGGGGTTTGGATGATGTAACGAAATTCTTTTGGAGTGACCAGAGTGCAATCATGTGCGTTCCATGTCCATGAGCTGATTTTTCAAGTGACAAATCTACCTAAGTACCGAGGCCCCTGATCAATACCTAAGTTTTTCTTACCTTCTTTCGTCGGGGTTTCTTCATTCAATCTTCAAGTCTTCTTACCTTTTCTTGGGTCTTTCTTCATTTTCCAAAAGTTTATCAAACTTTGCTTTTCTTTGTAAATTTTTCCTCTTACTGTATATTTTTGCCTTTCACCGTCAGAGGTTGAATGTTAATAACATCCTAAATCTGCAGTAAAAGTTTATTTGATAGCTTTTCTTTTAACACTAATAAATAAGGTTTTCTTTATGAAAATAAAAAATACACTTAAAAATAAAATTTATTTGACAAAAGAAAAACTTAAGAATATGAAGGAATGTATAACTGATTAAACATTAAATCATTTTTTTAAGATAAAAATTCCAACATGCAGTGTAGTGATATACCAAATTGTCACATCAGATAATACTGACTAGTGAACCTAAGCCGGACAATATAATAATATAATACAAAACAACACTAAGCCAACATGAATATAATTGATTTTTGTAATTACAATTATAAATAGAAATAACGATTAACAAGCCAGAATGTAATGCATAAAAGACTTTTTTCCTTTTTTTTATTTTTTTACATTGAAGTCTGTATGTAAACACGGGCCCGTAGCTGCTTCTCCTGCACTTGAAAACAAGAAGTGATGTGTGGTTACATGTGTCTCCTCAATTTTCATATATACTTTTTGATATTGTCGGTTTTTGGTTAGATGCATAATTTGGATTCACTTTTATTGGTTCTTCTTATTCGCTTCCTGGTAGGCCGGTGGCAACTCCTGGAAATGAAGCATGTTGTGTGAAAATTGCCTAAAAAAAAAAGTCTAAAAATTTTTACACAAATCTTTCTATAAATGATACACAAATTTGTATATCTGTGTTTGTTTTCAAATAAGAACATTTAAGTGTAAAAATAATTTGTTCGAAATATTTCATATACTTTCTGTTGGTTCTTTTGGTTCTGTTGGTTTTTGGCCACGTTTGGTTTGAAAAAATTAAACATTTAACCTTAAAATAAGTAGAAATTCAGTACATTGACACAATGGCAGAAAAATTACAAAATAAATAAATTTGCTAAAGAAATTAACATAGATGGTGACCTGATTGTGATGATTAATCCTTAGAGTTTTAAAGGCTTTTTTTACAAGGTATTTCAACTATGAGGTTAAATTAAAAAACGATTAGTATGCTATAATAATTATGTAATTAACTTATAAAAATTACAATTTCACTGCCTTAAATCAAATGAATAGACTAAACCATTTTAATGCTCTTTTGTATTGCATGTGTTGGGCCCAAGTGCCATTCAGTTCAAGAACTTAGTTATTTTTATTTTATTTAATGTTTTTTATTTTTTATTCCCCCCCCACTACAAGGATATATGAACCCTCGAGGTGCCGGTGTTTTTGAAAAAAAAAAATAATAGTAAAAAACCTTGGTATGTCGCTTTCGAATGGCTCAAGAATTATAATTTACACTGCCTTAAATTAGTTGAATAGGCTAAACCAGCAACGCTCTTTTTTTATTAGGGTATTTCAACTATGACATTATACAAACCCTCGGAGTGCCGGTGTTTTTGGAAAAACAAAACATTTGTAAGTATGTCAGGTTTGAATGTAGGGCCGCTGGATTCGAACCCGGGGCCTTTACCTGACAATGATGAGCGCCGTGTCAACGCCTAAACCGTTACAGCCACTGACGCCCCCAAAAAATAACAATAACATAATAAATAATTAACTTATAATTGCCTTTAATCAATTGAATAGGCTAAACCAGCAACGCTCTTTTGTATTGCGTAAGTGTTGGGCCCAAGCGCCGTTCAGTTCAAGATCTTACAATTATTCTTATTTTATTATTTTTACTTAGGTTTTTTATTTCACCCCCCCCCCCCTCTTCCAAACTACAAGGTTATTTGAACCCTCGGAGTGCCGGTGTTATTGAAAAAAAAAGTAATAGTAAAAACGTCTGTATGTCGCTTTCGAATGACAGAATTACAATTTACACTGCCTTAAATCAATTGAATAGGCTAAACCAGCAACGCTCTTCCGAATTGCATAAGTGTTGCACCCTAGCGCCGTTTAGTTCAAGATCTTTTTTCAAGATTTTTTTATTGCAAATAACAATAAATTAAAGTTTCATTTGTAATATTCTTGAACATTTTAAGAAGGAACATAAAATTATTATTTTTCAGTATGATTAATTAATTGGTCGGTGGGCCAACAGATTATATTAATTTCAGCGTACTACTTCTAAAAGTCATGAATCTTTACATAAATGATATCAGTCCTAACAATCATAACAATCAACTGTATAATCTGAGATCTATCTCATATTAAATTTAATAATTCTGTTAAAAACTTCGTTATCGGAATGGGGGTAATTTATTAGCGTGAAAGGAAGGGGTCGTTAACCCAGCAACGAGGAATATCAAGTATTTTGGAGTGAGTGTGTGACATCTGATCAGTAAACATATTAGTAGTAACATAGAAGTCTGGTCACATTCGCTCCCCCAGAGTATTCGATATTCCTCGGGGCGAGGTTGAACCATTATACTCTCTCTAATAACTTATTTTAAGTACTAAGTTACTACTTAGTAATTACTTAGTAATATACTTATTTTAAGTTATTAGAAAGAATGGAGTGGGTTCAACCCCGCCCTGAGGAATATCGAATACTCTGGGGGAGCAAATGTGACTAGACTTCTATGTTTGTATCAGGTGATAATGTTTACATTTACGTCTTAACTGTTGTCACCACCAACACTCCTTAGGCTTTGAGAACAATAATTAAAACAATTTTTTTTTTACTTTGTTTAAAAATTTAAAGTTATAATTTTGTGAAGTGGGGTTTAAAAAAATTATACTTACGTAATAAGCAGGCGGTGGAACGTATGCACATTGTGGCCTGTTTGGATCATAATAAGCACTCTGGGCTGCTTCGGCTGCTTTGGCTTCAGCTGGAAAACAATTTTAATTCTTTTTAAATCATACGTTGTAAAAAAAAGACTTCTTCGCTGCGATTAAATTTTCAACTTTTTTATGCAATCCCGCGCCGATCATTTCTGTTCTAAAATTTAAAAAGTCTATTTTCTGTATTGACGCTGAATAAATTCGCGACCCTGTGAAATATATCCAGTATGTTGAAGAGTACGAGGCAAACAGAGCCGGCGACAAGTCCGAAAAAGCAAACGGTCGTCTTCCACCCTTTGATCTCGACACCCATGTTATTACTAACGATCATGTGCACATGCACTTCCGAATGAAGATTGATCGACCTTCAATCCCCCACTACAAGATCATCCCAGCTTGGTATAACCATTTTTATAAAACACTATCACCATACCCATAAACAAAAGTATTGAATAAATAGTCCTGTTAAAAATATAATCCTATTTTAATAACAATAAATTTATTTTTATTAAATCTTTTGAAGAACTGTTAAACTGAATGTAATACAATTTTAGTTTTTAACATTCTTTTGTATTTTTACACTAAATGATAATGAACATTGTTGGTTCATACAACCAATTGAATTTACAAAATATTTAAATTTGACATATAAGGACCTATGTATAGGTTCATACATCAAGCATAAAAAAATCCCTTCTAGAAAAAAAAAATAAGAAAATGGGAAAATTTCAGTTTATTTTGTCATGATTGTTCAGCCACCACCATTCATTTTGTAAAAATTTTCCTCTTGATTTTATTAAAGAAACTACGACCTTAAACAAAAAATAAATATAACATTAATATATAAATGTTAATTTTGTAAAAATTATATTCATAATATTTTATCATGTTCTACTTATTGAGGATGTCAGTTGATACAGGAATCCTATGGCCAAAAAATCAACCTATCTACGTTCATTAAGGGCTATCCATTTTCCTTTAGTCATTAGTGTGTCATTAAACAAAACAAAAACTCCGAACCTATCAAGTTCTAAAAAAGGGAAAGCAATTCAAACGAAGAAAGATAAACTAATTCTATGAATAAGAATCATAGTTCGTCGTGCACTTTTACAGACTGGCATTTTTTACATCATGAGAATTTTTGCCATGATCTATGAGATGATAGATGTATTTTATGATCATGCTGGTTTGATTTGTTTACACTTGCTGATTTCAGTGTGAAATGAACCACTGAAAAGTTGGCAAAAAACACAGCAAGCCTACAAAACCGGGTTGACCATAAATGACCAAATTATGGGTTAAACAACCGAAAGAAAATATATAATTAATAGCCCAAAATATTCATTCTTTTCAGAATTTCATGAAATTTACGCCTGCACAAAACCATTAATTCAGCGACAAATGATATTACCCCTGTACAAATTCAAAGAATATATTGTAAGCATGTGTAAGCAAAAGACCCTTCCCTGTTCACTATTCCATTACAGTTGTTGAAGACAGATTCAGATTAATCATATCCGTGAACAGGAAAGGTTCTTCTCAAATTGTAAGTGTGTTTAACTAATAAAGTTCTTTTTAAAGACTCTCATTTAGTCAGCACATATAACTTGAATATAAATTCATTACTACTACTACTGCTACTACTTCTACTACTACTACTACAATAAAATATAAACAAATATTTCTTTTGTACATTAGAAAACAAAAGAAAATTTAGAAAACATATTTCAGTGTTTTTTGCCTTTATTTGATTGCTAGATCTTACCATCTACTATAAACCAACATCATTACCACTACTATAAAACAGTCTTTTTTTTCTTTTGTACAAAAACAAAATTACATAAAATCACATTACAAACATATTTTTCTTTGTTTATTGCTACATTTGTTTAAGTTTAAATTAAACGAAACAAAATATCTTTTTCTGATGTCAATCATCTTAAGGCTGAATTGAACTAACAAAACTAAAATCATTACCCAATCATTAATCCTGTTATTTTTTTTCCCAACATGGTTAAAATAGGACTGTATATAATGAAGCTACATTAAAAGCAATGATTATTTGGAGATCGTGAGGCACCAGACCTCACGATCTCCAAATAATCATCGGCTAACGGTCACTAAACACCACGCATTAAAAGCAATGTAATCATCTAATATGTTTTTACCTTAAAATACATATATGCTGGTTGAAAAAGTTATATTTAATTTTCTTTATAGATATAATGAAGTTTGTTTTTTGTATAATTGTATTTCAGTTAGCAATACTTTTTTTTTTTTAATTCAACGTTAATAATTTGTCTTTTACCTTGTAATTACAGCAGTTAAAAATTAAAACTAACCTGGTGCTGATGGTGCTTCCATCATCCCTTGAGCCTGGTTTGGTGGCACAGTTGCGTAGCCGGCGTACCCAGCGTTGATTCCCGGGTATGGGGGCGGCATGTCAGTCATGAAGACGGAGTTGGCTGAAAACAAAGAGAGCTTTATATAGAACCGGTGAGAAATGAAGTCCTTTGTAAGTTTCAGCCAGTTCAATCTTAATGGACAAATCACCGGCCAAGAGGGGAGACAAAAGTGAAAGTTACAAGTAAAATATTACGAAACAAAAATTCCTAACTAACTGTAACATTGTATATTCATAATAATGATGGGTCACAAATAATTGGACTAGTGTCAGTTGGCTGTTTAGGTGAAATCTTAATAAATACCATGCTACAAAAAAAAAATAATATTAAAAAATAAAATAATCTAAATATTTATAAAGTTAATTTTTAATGTTATTTTTCTTTTTTTTTTCTTTTTTTTTTGCCTAAATCAGTTAAGTGCCGGTTACCGTTACTTACACACTAATTGAAACAAAATACTCTTCACTGATTTCAATGTGTAGTATTTAGTGACTGTTGATTAATCAATAAATGGCACAATAAAGAAAATGTTTTTCTAAAACTACATCACACAAGACCACATCTCACGATCTCCAAATAATCATAACTGATGTCAATTATAAACTAGACTGAATTGAATGAAACAGTCTTTTCATCTTAAGGGCCAAATTGAATGAAACAAAGACTTGAAACTTGAATGGAACAAAACAAAAACAGTGTTTATTCTAGATTAATTAACAACTAAAGTAACAAAGCAATATGATTTTGTGTTTTTATTTGTTTATCTTAACACTTGGTTTTTACAAAACAAAAACTATTTGGTGATTCTTGATTAAAACACTATTGTGTGTAAAATACAAATTAAAACACCAAACCAGCAATAAATAAATTATGAATAAATTAATCATTGTTAAATTATCATGAACCACTTTTAAATTAGCAATTAACTTAAAATTATTTCAATAAATATTCAGTTTGTTAAAATATCCAATGTATTTAATTAAACACTGTCATCGAATAAATTTTATACCTTGTGGTTGATCTGGGAATACATGCAATGGTGGTACCCATCCGTAATAACCTGCCGGAGGTGGAGCATAGGCAGGTGGTGGAGCCTGGTAAGTCGGTCCAGTCGGCGGCGAGTATGGCGGCGGGGCATTCGCACTTCCATTCCTTGATGCTACAATAAAAAATTACTTAATTATTATTCAAGAATTTCAAGGCTCATTTGAATAAAAGTTTTTTTTTGTTATAATACACACCCATGTGCGCGGCTTTGAGCATCGCTTGGCCAAAATCAATGGCACCACCTTCTTTAAATACTATTTTGAATTTGGCTTCACCCACCCAGTTTCCATTCGGCTGGGCCCTGACTTTACCTTTGATGTAGTTCGCGCCGAAAACCGGCTGTTCAAGTTCCACCTGACAAAGTTGAATACAAAAAAAAAGCAAATTAAACTTGAGAAAAAATATAAAATCAATGAGTTAACAGAACATACTTACATCGCTTAGTGTAATAAAGGGGAAACTAAAAGATTTGAAAGTATCAGTATTTTTTTTGTTGTTAAATATCATCCTATGTGTTGTGAGGTAAATTCGACCAGTTTTCGTTCCCTTGAATATCGGATTATCCACACCTGAATATTCTATGGTAACATTCTCCGAGAAGAGAAGAATACTGAAAGAAAACATATATATATATACAAATGTTTACACATTATTGCACAATTTTTAAAGACGATAATCTTATTGTTTTTATAGTATTGTAAAATAAAAGTAAAGTAATTTCTATTGCATAGAAGGCTTAATGTCCAATGCCGTTTTGAAATGAAGTGAATCAAGTTCATTCTTGTTTTGTAGGCATGTGTGTAACTCCTTCAACCTGATAATAAGCATTTAATGCTTGAAATCCTGATTGTTAAAAACAGAAAACTTTTAGTTTAGTTTTAGAAATGTGAATAATCACCCCACCTTCATCATTTCTATAAATGCTTTTTGTTGATGCCAGATTCAACACAACACTTGGTTAATTTTTTTCTTTTTTAATTGCAAATTTGATCTAAGGGTGGAATAAATAAATAAACTAATCCATGAAAATTTTGAAAAAATACACCTAACAAATTGCACTTTGTGATGAAATAAGATAGTCTTTTTTCTTTTTTTAATGAGGCTTCGCAACAGCAGAGATTATATTAACCCTCGGGGTACCGGTGTTTTTGAAAAAAGCCCATTTGTAAGTATGTTGGGTTCAAATGCAGGGGCCTTTACCTTACAGTGATGAGCACAGTGTCAACGCCTAAACCATTGCGGCCACCGACACCCCTATTAAGTCTTATTCCTTCCTGAAATGTATGAAATGACCTTTCTCAAATCTCAGATTGTCTTCTTTTTTTTGACAAAATTTTGGCGCATCCCTGATATTTAATGTAAAATTATTGACTTATGGTATAATTGAACGAAACACATACTTATTATGATAGATTGTACGTAAGCCTAAATTGTACGGATCAAAGACTATTTTTATGTCTCACATTGTTACATGATTTAATAGAAAGAAACGGAGGCTATTAACAAATCTGATATTGCCTTAATTGCTAAATAGAATGAAGCAAAAGATCTTTTCCTGGACACAGATTATACTTACGTTTAAATTTAACTAAACAAACAGTTTAATCTCATCTTAAATAATCTTAAGACAACTGATTGAAAAAATAAGATATTTTTAATTACAGATTAACTTTAAACTGCATTGAATGAAAAATTGACTCTTTTCCTATCTCTGTTTGTATTAAGATTGAGTTGTGCATTAGATTATATTTTAACTGGGTTTGAACCATTTAACCACACATAATTACATAAAGTACGTTTAACATAAACCAAAAGCCTTTTACTGGCCATACAGTATATGTAAGTCTAAATTATAAGAAACAAAGGATATATTCACGTTATTATATTGTTATGGAAGAGGACAAGAGGAGGGAAAAGAGGCGCCCCTCCGAAACATTAGAAGAGAACCGGCGGCAACACTGGGACGGTTGGCAACGCTGAGGGGTTGGTGTTGACGAGAGGGAAGAACAAAGAAACGGGACTAACGGTAGTACGCACGGAGAACTGCGCAGTTGTGGTTGTTTGGGACAACGGCGTTTTGTATTCTAGCGACTTTAATTAAATTACTTTATATCAAATTCTATTTATTTTTAATAATCCTTACATTTCAGAAGTGGGATTCAGCTCACGCAACATTAAGGCGATTTACAGTATGTGGGTTGGTGGAAATTCAGACCGGGAAGACATTTTAAACCTNTTATATATTATATATTATATATTGACCGATTTTATCCCCATATCTGCTACAGACTTAATCACTTACAGAACAATTCGAAAAATATTTTCCTGTGTGCAGAATTTAACCATAATAGGCTGCCTCTGCTCACCTACACAAAATAAACCTACTTGGCTCTGATAAATGTGAGTGTAACACTCAACTAACTGCAAATGCAGACCACACTATTTTTGCGAGCCCTCGAGCTAACACAGAGTTTTTATCAATTCTTGATGGATAACCAGATCCAATTGCCACCAAAGTTGAAACTAAGTCAAGTTTACAATGTCCTCCTACTGGACAAAATAGTTGAAATCATAAAAAAGAATAACATTGGTATTTAAAGAGTGTCAATGAGAGCTTAGAACGAAATAAATAAATAAAACAATAAACAAATGTAAATCATGAAACAGTTTCCTTAGTAACTTTAAATAAACATGACTATACAAACTATTACTATTAAACTTAACGTACTGTTGGCATGGTAGATGTGCCTCTACACAAAGAAAAAGTTACTATTTGTATTCTATTTTTTAAATAATTAGACAACCAGAGAAGAATGCTATCTTTCATTCCCAAACTTTCTAGTTTTTAAAGTAAAAGATCATGATGATCATCATGATTAACTTTATCAAAAGACCTGGTATGGTATGGTAATGAGGATGCTAGGAAGCGGGGTTTGTGCTCCCCAGGTAGTGCAGCCTTCCTAGTTCCCTAGTTCAATGAAATAGAATCAATCCTTCTTCTTAGAAGTATCCGGTCATTGACTGTTGTTGCTACAATTACATTCCCTAGATTTTTTTTTGTATGTAAAGTTAAATCTCCATTGAGCCGTCGCTTCACATTCGAAGAAGATAGGGGTGGCTATTTCCTCCTCCTCATTGCATAATCTGCTGATAGGATCATCACTGTTTATGCCCATGTTGTGTGGATGTTTTCTCAGAAGTCAGTGACCGGTTAGTAGTAATATCACTCCTCTGAGTCTAGCCCTCTCCATTTGCAGCAGTGAGTTCGTGATGGTTGTTTCTTCATAAGTTTACTATTTCCAGCACCGCTAGAGTTTATCCACTTCTCCTTTTTTCTATATACATTCTGTGATGGAGGATTCTGTATTTGTTTTTGTTATCCCAAGTATAGGTTTGGGGCCTAGGTATGGTCTTGCAGATTCTTCTCTGGCCAGTCTGCCTACTTTCTAGTTACCCAAAATTCCTCTGTGCCCTGGCACCCAAGATATCATCAGGTTGTTGTGTTTCCCAGGTTTTGGAGATTTTGGATGCATTCACTGACTAATTTTGATGTGATTTTTTTACACGACAATGCTTTTATAGTTCCTTGGCTATCAGTTCTTATGAGAATTTTTTGCCAGTGTAACATCTTTTAAGGTTTTCCAGGGCACAAGTGTTGATGGCATATATTTCTGCTTGAAAGACCTTTGTGTAATGAGTTTGATTGCTCATGTTTTGGGCTTGTACAGAAAATGCCCGATCTGGTTCCTTCATTTGATTTGGTGCCACCTGTATAACATAATATTGTATCAGATACTCTCCTCTGTTCCACTCCTTTCTAATCCGTTAAGACTTTATAGGATGTTGTAAAGAATATTTCCAGGATCATATAGTCAATCCCCATTTCTAATAATAAGTGTCTGATTTTGTTAATTATGGCTGTACGCTCGAATTGTTTAGTCCCTGGTACATATCACAACGACTTGGTGGTTATCCTGGAAGGCATCATGTTGAAGTGACGATAAATTAGTCGATGTAGATTTGTTCTTAGTAGAATTATGTTGTTCCTTGTTAATGATAGTTCTGAGAATTGGGTTAATTTTATTATAAATCTTTTTTTTTCTAACGTTTTAGGAATAATTGATTGGTCTATAGTTTAGTAGATCATTTCTATCGCCAAATTTGAAATGAGGTGCAACGTAGCTGGTTTATCAGTGGGGTGGGATACAATTTCGAGCAATTTCCCTAATTGGCCTGTACAATGGCAGGATAAAAAGACAAAAAAAAATGAAAAGTCCCCACATATCTTCAAGTGAATTGTTATATTTAAAACATTTCATTCCGTTCTAACGTGATAATCGTTCAAAATGTCACAAAATAGATTAAACGATAAAGAAAGCAAGTTTCAAAACGATGCAAGAAACGCTGGGGGTATTTTTTTCTCCAAACCAATTTCTAAATAAATTGAGATTATTAAGCAATCAAGCAGGAAAACCGAATGACACAAACTACAAAAATAAACAAGGATTGCCCTTGGGGGGGTCATATCATTATGACATCCGAGTTGATAAGAAAAATAATTTACTTTCAATTGTTAACACATTGGCATATTTATGACAAAATAATGCTAAAACTATGTGATTTGTGATGTAAATAAAACCGATATGAACTGAGGAAAAATTCTAACTCTTACCATTCTCCGGCGTGTATCAGAACACCGCCCTGGACGTGAGCCGTGTTGAGGGACATTTTCAATAATTCTTTTCACTTGGTTTCCTGCTTTTTTTCAAGTAGAATTTAACGTGTTTTTTGAGTGAAAAAGTTGCGCAACGTTTGACAAACACTAAACACTGTTCCTGTCTTAGATTGTACGATCTGGACTATTCCAGGCCAGCTGGTTTCTGCTTATCGTCAATGGTGCGTCATTGGAAAGTGGGGCGCAGCGGGAAATACAAAAATGACGGGTTGAAATGAAAATTAACAAGTAAAACGCTCCATTAACGCAGACTTTCGTTAAAAATCCTTTCGTAAAATCTCAAAAATAAATCGTACTTTTTGATTATTACGAAATATCGTGTAATGCAACAATGAAAGGTAAATGTACAATATTGTGTTTTCTCCGTGTGTCTGCAGATGAGGAAACGATAATTTTTGTCAATCATCAAGGAAAAGAACGGACGATCACTTAGTTCAATCATCAAAGAAAAGAACCGACGAACTCTTTGGTCAATAATCAAGTAAAAGAACTCAGATCGCTTTGGTCAATCATCAATGGAAATAACCGACGATCACTTTGGCCAATCATGAAGCTAAAAACCGACGATCTTTTTGTTCAATCGTCAACTAAAAGAACTGAGATCACTTAGGTCAATCTTCAAGGAAAAAACTATGATCACTTTGATCAATCATCACCTAAAAGAACTGAGATCACTTAGGTCAATCTTCAAGGGAAAAAATATGATCACTTTGATCAATCATCAAATAAAAGAACTCAGATCACTTTGGTTAATCATCAAGGACAAGATCCAACGATCACTGAGGTCAATCATCACAGAATATAACCGACGATCACTTTGGTCAGTCATCAAGCAAAAAGACCGACGATCTCTTTGGTAAATCTTCAATTAAAAGAACTAAGATCACTTGGATCAATCATCAAGGAAACGAGCTAAAGCAAACTTTGGTCAATCATTAACGAAAAGAACCGACGATCATTTTGGTCAATCATCAAGTAAAAAAACCGACGATCATTTTGGTATACCATCAACGAAAAGAACCTACGATCACTTTGGTCAATCATCAATTAAAAAACCGACGATCATTAAGTCAATCTTCAAGAAAAAACCGACGATAACTTTGATCAATCATCAAGGAAACGAACTAAATATGCTTTGGTCAATCATTAACGAAAAGAACCGACGATCACTTCGGTCAATCGCCAAGGAAAAGGACCGACGATCATTTTGGTATACCATCAACGAAAAGAACCTACGATCACTTTGGCCAATCATCAAGCAAAAAACCGACGATCATTAAGTCAATCTTCAAGAAAAAAAACCGACGATAACTTTGATCAATCATCAAGGAAACGAACTAAATATGGCTTTGGTCAATCATTAACGAAAAGAACCGACGATCACTTAGGTCAATCTTCAAGAAAAAGAACCATTGTTCACTTTGGACAATCATGAAGGAAAGTAACGACGATCACTTTGGCCAGCCAAGTCAAGGAAACAATCTAAAGATCACTTTGGTCAATCTTCTTCTTTTGTCAACGAACTGGCCCCCAAATTTTCATTCCAATTTTCAAAATTTCACATCCACCTCTCAATCCTAACTGTAATGCTTGAGCTACTTGAGTCCTCTCTACATATCCCAAGCCTTAATGGACCATGGCCTTGAGACCTCCTTCACCCACCTCTGAGTACCAGCATTGGCATATGTCCTCCGGGTGCAGCGTTGGCATTAGTGTTAGTGATTTGACCGTGATGAAAAAAAAACATATATCAATATTTAGTAATATGTTTAGGCCATAAATAAAAAGCATAAAAAAGAAGCCTGAAAATTTACACTGCAATCGGTGATTAAAAAATAAGTGAGCGAACTGCACAGAAGTATTTCAAAATGTTTGCTTCTGGGAATGAAGGGTTTGAAGAACAGTTTGGTAGACATTCAGACTTGAATGACGACGAATTAAGGGAAGCTGTCGAACTCGATTCGAGTCAAACATGTCAGGAGCTTGCCGTTCGCCCTAGATTACATCGATTTGGAAAGAAGTTGAAGCTGAGTAAATGCTGCATAAATTAAAGCAAACAATTGTCTTTAATTGCTTTTATGTTACAAAGTAGAGACGTTTTTTGACCAGAAGAGAATAAATCCTGTATTTATAAGTACGTACGCCCGACGTACCAGAAGGTCTTGAGGCTGTCATCAAATGTCCTATCGACGAGAAAACCAAATATTCACCAACAAAAGTTGATGGATTATGGGTGGCAGACTTTGAACTACGAACTGCCATGCGAGCATCACCAGAAATCTATTCAATGAACAGCAACTCAATGAGTATCTCTTGCCCTGAACCAGAAACAATCTTCTCTCATAAAAGGAGTGATTTTTCACCGAGATAACGGGAGAGCTCGCACAGTCAGAACGATAAAGGACATAATAAAGCCGGTTGAGAAGTCCTGTCACATCCACGGTAAGCTTCATGGGCTTATCCGACTTTCACTTTCTCTTAGCAATGGATATGTATGCACAATCGGTAGATAGATAATTTTTAGTAGGGCTAGTAAATCGTTGGGAGAAGGTTATGACGATGGAGTATATTTTTCCTAATAAAATAATAAGTATTTGGCTGTAGATTGTTAAGATAATTTTCAACTATTGGCGGGACGAGACATGGCGTGAAAACTGCAGGATCGATCTGACCTGTAGGCAGTGATACCCACCTTTCTCGATGCTTTTAATAAAATCAATAAATTTAATCTATTCGTACTGTTTTAAATCAAAATATACGTTTCGATGGAACCTACTGTATGTAAGATTTCCATCTGTGCCATCCCCTCATGATCCAAAGCGGATCCCTTCACCATGAAAATCAATGGGAATGTTTTCACCTAGCCAGTGGTTTTCAAAACGGATCCCGTTTCACTTCGACATGGGAGTCTAGGGATTTAATCGTCTAAAAACAATTTCGAACAGATGCTCTCGATGAAAGACGAGGACGAAAGGATGGACGAGAACCTGAGCAGGGGCTACATCCAGCTCGGAAAGAGGGGCGGTAACGACCTCAGATTCAACAACGGTTTCAACCACCTTTCACCACCGGTCGACAAATACGATTTCATCTACTTATCCCTCGTATTGGCCGGAGTTGGATTCCTATTACCTTACAACAGGTGAAAAAGATAAAAGTAAAGAACCCTAGTTGACCCCATGCCCAACGCTCGACGTAACAACGTAATATTATCAATTAGGAAAATTACGTATTTAATTATTAATTACATCGCTTGACACGCTGAAGAAAAAATTCAAAGCCAAAATAAATTTCAATTTATTAGCTTTATTTAAACATGAAACAAGACCTTATATAAATTTCTTAATCTCATCAAATTCCTATTTTCTAAAATGATCAATGAAAAAAAAAAACAGGCGCAAATTTGTCAATTTCGTGATTTAACATTTGATAATTATCTTTTTTTTAATGTGCTGTTAATTATAAAACCTAAAGTGGCAAGAATATTCTTATTGTTAGCTTAAATAAAGCGTAAATTAAGTCCCTCTCTAGACCTCAGCCGATTTTTTTTCTTTCGCGCTTTTCCCACTTTGGAAATTTTTTGCCTATTTTTCTCGAACACTCTGATCCTAACTAAGAATACGTGTTATCGATTGGATATTAGTGCTCGCTTGACAAATCTGATTTCCGTTGTCAATTTCCTGGGGATCAATATCTGCTTATCTCCTAATTAATCATGGAGCAAAAAACGCGTTTTGTCCTACTTCTTAATTGGCCAAATCGTTTGTCTTTTTTCTTTCCTTTTTCCTTTATTAAAATCAGACTGGATATTATACCAAAATAGTCCTCAGTCGACTGTTTCGAAAAATAAGAACAGGCCTGGAAGGAAAATAACATTCTGAAAATAAAAAACAAAGAAGGGTGTAAAGCTATACAGTAACCGCATGACCTTCGAGAATTGCAGGTTTAGCATATCTTAAACACTTGCACCCACATACGCGTAAAATAGGTTTATGTAAAATCATAAATTATTCAGAAAGTGATTCATAATTCAGGCTCAATTTAATGCCTATAAAATTAGAAGATTCTTAGGCCTCTTTCAGACAAGGCGGCAACATGGCACATTCAACTAAGTTGCCCGGTTGACTCTCACCTAGTTTACTGCCGTGTGAAGACTCGGTTTCACAGGCAACTTGTGGAATCAACTTGTCTTCCCAACAGGAGGTCAGTACAATGTGAGAATCCGAGGAAGCAGGAGCACTTCTTGTGCTTGCTCTTCTGCAAAAAGAGAAGCAAAAAGGAGGAAACCCAGTAAAGAAAAGTGTGGGTATATCTGTTGTTATAAAATTGGGAAACGGGCGATTCTCTCAAATACCGTTGTGCTACTTCTTTCCAAGCTTCACTTTTTTAATTTTATCACTATACTCCTCACACCTCATGTCCCATATCATGGACGAATATGAATATCTTCAATGAACAGTTCCACCTGGAAAGCTGCAATTGTAACGATTTCCATGGTGGACTTAGTTGACTAAACTAGGCGACTGGTAATAAGGACGAATGCCGAGCAGTCTTTTGAGTTGAGTCAAGAAGTGGGGATGAGAGCACTTGTGCCTGCTACCCACCTGCCTGGGCGGACGAGTTGATGTGTGAAGGGGCTGGGGCGATTCCCAAACATTTTGCTACCACACTCCTTGACACCCGTCACCTCATCTGAAAGAGACCTTAGACTCCAGGTATTGTACAGAACACCAGGCAATCATCTGTATGAATTTTATTATTTTTCTCAGTTTTAAACAGTCTCTTAGGTCCTGAAACATTTTTCCTGCAGAACCGCACATTTTTTATTGTTAAATTTCTTCGGGTGGCCTGCAGCCTGTAATGTTCAAGAAATCCTCTTATGGTCTATAAGGTTTCTTGCATTCTGAGAACTCTTTTCGTACAAAATCTCCAAATGGATTCTCATAGTTCTGTCCCCAGTAAATGATCATTTGCTTAGCTCGTTTTGCTCTTGATATCAGCCGTACGGATAAGGACAGGGATAAAAGAGACGGCCACAAGGCTTTTTGCAGCTCAACCTCCATTTTCATAACTCACTGGCCAGCTTTAAGTTGTTGATCAACTATCATGGCCTTGCCAGCAGCTCCTTAATGTAGGATCTTGCGTGTGGTTTTTCCTGTCCTAGTTGCAATAATCTACACCTAAATGGACCCATTTTACCATAGAATTTTAAAATTTTTTTTTCAGTTTCATAATTGCTGTTGACTATTTTCAAATGCAATACCCAGGGACGACGATTGTTTTTGACATGTCTCTCGTATATATTGGAATGGCTTTTTTCGCTGTGCTCGCCAACAACCTCCTTGTCGAAGCATTGTCGCTCAACACGAGGATCACATTCGGTAAATAATTTGATTAAAACACAAAGGAAATAATGAAATTTTCTGATCTTTCGATTGTAATCAGGTTACATCGTATCGTTTTTCACGTTGATGTTCGTCGCTATATTTGAAATCTGCCTGGGCAACATCGCCCAGTCGAAATCCTACACGGCGAACCTCATAGCCGTCGCTGTTGTTTCTGTCGGTTGTACAGGTGAATATGGTGCACCGCAGACTCTTGGTATCAGATATGTTAATTTTAATTTTCAGTCCAACAGAGCAGTTTTTACGGATATACGAGCATGCTGCCAAGCCGGTACACTCAAGCAGTCATGGCAGGAGAGAGTAAGGTTTTTTTTTTACTTTTTTTTTAAACAATTAACTATTTAAACTTGATATTCTTTAGGTGCAGCAGGTCTCATGGTGTCGATGAACCGTATGATTACAAAGATGATTTTTGAAAACCAAAGGAGCAACACGCTCATGTTCTTTCTCATGAGCATGTTTATAGTCGGATTATGTTATGCAATCCACCACGTTATAAGGCAAACTGACTTTGTCCAGTTCTATCTAACATTGTGCAAAGAGGCGAAAAAGATCACTCTCGAGCCTACAGAAGATGCAGGACTTGTATGATTATTGTTTTAATACTTCAATCTTTCTTATGGTAGATAATGGTTTGATAATTTTTTCCCCCCAAGATGGATTTAGGCGATCCAGCAGAAGGAAAGGGTTCCCAGTACGGGGTGCTTAAACTTCAGACTCAAAGCCCACTGGACACATCGACACAGGGGCATTTCAGCTTTGCGAACCCGGTCTACGAGCCGACCGCTCCGCAGGGTACGACAACTTACAAAGTGGAAGACGTTGTCGTAAGTATGAGTGGTGATACAGCGGCGACATACAGAAGGCCGAGTTCCAGAATTTCATGGTCTTCAATCAGAAGTAAGTTGGACTAAAAATCCTTCATATATTTTTATGTAAGTGTGTACATACAAATAAAGTATAAAATAGGATTGCCTTTTTACATAAAAAAAGCAAGCCTATATATAAGTAGACAGTAAACACCTATGGGCAAACAAATAGACACAAAATAACACGTATCTATGCAAACAAAACAGCATTCGCTTATTAATAAACCACCAAAGAAAAACAAAATGACAAAGACAAATAATAAACAACCGTGGAAACAAACATGTACAAGTAAACAGACACCCATAGAAACATAAAAGTACAAAATGTATAAACAAACAACCAAAGAAACACTAAACAAATACATACATATGTTCATAAAGTATAAAGAACAAAAATTTACAATACTTTTTTACTCAACAAATTTTGAAAGATTTACAAAGAGAAATTCATTTGAGAAAGAGAGAGAACTTAGTAAATCTTTTTTAACTTAATATTATTATTCACTTATTTCCTCTGCCTAATTGAAAAAAAAGCTTTATTTATTAAAATTGCTTCTTGTCTTTTATAAATAAAAATAGTAATTAAAGTATTTTTTGATAAGTTAGTAATCTAATTCTATTTTATATAAAAAAATTAAAAAATTGATGTGGTGTGATATTCTATTTGATAATTCATTCATTATATATATCAGGAGCTGGTAAGATGAGGGTGGAAGTAATCCGTAACATCTGGCCATCGATGACAGCCATTTTTGTTACTTACCTGGTCACGCTGAGCCTCTACCCTGGGATCGAGTCAGAAATAATCTCCTGTAAGTTTGCTTCTTGGATGCCCGTCATTTTAATGGCCGTATTCAATGCGTCGGACCTCATTGGAAAGGTAAAAACTCATGGTTTATCATCGAACGTTGAAAATTTAAAAAGAGTTCGTTTTAGATGTCTGCCTCGCTCTTGTATGACGTATCAAGATTCAGACTCGTCGTCTTGAGCGTCTTAAGAGTAGTACTCATACCCGCTTTGCTGCTCTGTGCTTGGCCGAGAATAAAGCCGTTCTTTCTGGCAGAAGGCTACTCGATATTCTTCAGTATCATACTCGGTCTGAGCAACGGTATCCTCGGGAGTGTCCCAATGATACAAGCACCTAGCAGAGTCAGCGAACAACATAGAGAATTAGCAGGTGATTTTTCACACTGGATTATTAAAATTGCTCAAATTAAAACTTTAAAAATTATTTACAGGGAATATAATGACACTGTCCTACAATTTCGGACTGACGAGCGGTTCGATAATTGCCTACGCTTTTGAAGCGATGCTAGGCCCACCGCTGTTCAATCCGTGTGGAGCTGAGCAAAACTTAAGCCACCTCGGATATAACGAATCTGTATATCCAAGGCTGAACAACTCAAGGTTCAACTACTCCCTCTTGGATGTTTCGACTCCGGATTTGCTTGGGACTCAGACTCCTATGACCTTCACGACTTACCCAACAACGGGATATTCACTATTAAACTTGGCAGTGTCGAGTTCGCCGACAAACCTTACCTTAGCTTAAAATCTTCCATTATTTAAACAAAAAAATGTAAATACCATATAAATACTTGATCTTCGTTTCTGTCTTTTGGTCATTTTGTTCTTTTGTAAAATATTGTACATACATGTTTTCTATAATGACCTTAGGACAAACGCAAAATCTGAGTGAAGCTCATACTCCCATTCTTAGATAAATGAAAATAAGGTAGGTGAGATTAAACAAAATCCAAGCAAAAAAGATGTTTTTGTTCTTTTTTTTTAATTTTTTTTTTATGTATAACACAAATATTTTTCTTTTTAATTTAGTACAAAAACTGTAGTTCGGCCCACATATTTTTTTTACAATTTTTTTAATTTTTTTGACTTTTTTTGTAACTTATTTTCGAAAAAACACAGCACTGAAGTTATTTTACGCCTCCTGAAAAAGAGAAACAAAAGAAAAATATTTTAACTATTTGTTTCTTTACAGATTTTTTTTTTTTTTATAAAAATAGGAATACCTAAAAAAATGTTTCAAACATGAACCCAAGGTAACACTCTCCTGATAATATTTGTTGTTAATTCAAAGATTAATTATTTAATTGTAGATGTTTAAATGTGTGTTAATTAATTGAAAAGAATTTATTTGGTCAATCGGACCACGAAACCTAATCGAGTTATTTACTTAAATTTAGGAAAACATGAGTTAAAAATGTTTGCTGTTTCAACCAAACAGTTGAACATTATTTTAACAGAACAAAAGAGGCTAGTTAGAGATAAAGCATGCTTCTAACACAGTCATGTGTTTGGTCTATATAGACAAACCAGGTTGATCAGTAATGATTGTGACTGTTGTAAATTTACAAAAGCATTCAATCAAATTTTAAGTCAAATTATTACATAGGACATGTGGTTCTAGACTTTCAATCAATGGATTTTTTTAATATAAAATAAACTGTGCATGTTTTTTGTTTAATTAAGATGAAGCTGAATCAGAGAAAGAAGACCAACATAAATTTATGAAGCTTTGTCTTGTTGCTTTTATTTAAAACTACTTAAATCATAAAGAGTTAACATGCGTCATGCAATTATTCAGCATGCAATATCATGTGAAGCCAATAAAAAAAAAATTAAATGTTTGAAACATTTTGCATTATATTTTTAAAAAATCAGCAATAACTAAAATAGTAAAGATTTTTTTATTTATTATTTTTTTTTTTTTTATTAGAAAATAAATCTTATTCACTACTGTGATAAAAAGATTATGTATAAAAATATTAACATTTTTATTTTAACAATACATTTAAGAAAGGCTGGATTTAAAAAAGGTACAAGTCGTACTTTTAGAAAGCAAAATTGAACAAACAAAAAATCCGTCCTTTCTAAAACGACTTGGGACTGGAGTTTAAAAAAAAATCCAGATTCGACAAGCTGTGAACACTGCGGAATAATCGCGGCTGTGAAATTCTATATCAAAGGTTATTGGTCAAGAAAACTCCAAGTGATTGAATGTTTTCTATAAAAAAAAAATTTAAAAATTGTTTTAAACAATAAGAAAAGCGCTAAATTGTGTAAATAATCGACGTTTTGTTTGAAATCTTTTGAACTTTTATCTCTTCAGCTAACTATAAATGAATGAATGTATTTTTGTTCTATGTAAATTTTTAAATCTGAACAGGAGTTGATCAACTTATCTTTTTTTCCACACATTTTGTCACCGATGATCAACACTGACACAAACCAGCTGGAGTGATTTAAAATTTATTGTTAAGTTTAAAAATAATAATATAAAAATAATGCTTAATTTACCTTTAAAAAAATACTGTACTGTAATAAAAAGCGTCCTTTACAGAATTTTGTTTCTATCAAAATCATGCTTTTTTGTTTATTCTAAAGGAAGAACAGTCAACGCTACAGAGAGAACGATTAATGACAGTCTTGAAGAGAAAAAAATTCCGTGAAACTACAAAGTCTTGAAAAGGCACTTGCCTGTCACACTTATGTCCCGGGATCCTTCAATCCAATTTCGTGCTAACGCCCCTGCTCCAAAAATGACAAATCTATTTTTATAATTTCCACTACATGTTTAAGCGTTAAATTACTGACTCAAAGGAGAAATTTGAGACATTTAAGGGGAAAAAAAAGCGTATAAATATATAAATCGGTTGAACTCACCCAAGGGCCCAAAACAGCATCCTTGATGGAATCGATGTACTGGGCTGGAACCCAATAGACCCAATACCTTGAACTTTCTGTCGTCCCTAACTGGAACCCCTGAAAAGGAAAAATTTGAATTGAACAAATAATTCATGATTTAAACACCAAACTCACCATAATGTGGTACTGCTCATGTCCTTCGATCGGCTCACTGACTATGGTTTTGATTGTGGACATTGGTACTTTTTCAGTCCTGTCCTTAGTCCCAATCCAAAGCTGGTCAAGCTCCAGCTTAAATGTTAACCTCACCTTCCCACCGGATTTGTTCAGCATACCGGACAGAGGACATGGTGGAAGAGGTTCCTAAATGGAAAATATTAAAATCAAGACAAAAAAACTATTACATACTCAACTTACTTTGGTATTTAGAATTCCAGGCATAACATCGTCAGGAATTCCTCTGTCTAAAACCCGCTTATGATTTTTCTGTTTGCAGAAAGGTTCTTTACTCGTTCCAGCTGATTTCTCCTCATTTAAAACCTGGAATATGTAATCATAAGATTTTTATTATTATTTTTATTTATTTTACAGTCTTACTTGTGTGCTTGGAGTTGAAACAGCCAGCACGTCATCAAGTTTGGAACCGACGACCATGACTTTTGCACCCGAAGTAACACCAATATCCCTAAGTGTTTTATCATCCTTGGCCAAACCCTTGTACATCACCTTCTGTAGATTCTGGGGAATCCCTTGAAACCAAAAGCACAATTAAAAAAAAAAAAAAATGATGTTTTACCTTTATCATACCAATCAGACTTTGAAGGTGGAGTTTTAATTTGGATACTGAATCATCTAATGGGAAATCAACTTCGTATTTCTGCTTGTTGTGTATCACATTGAAAGTCACAAGCTCGATCTTCTGTTCTGGGATCACTACGACCGGGCTCGGCGGTGCCGGCACATCTTGAGAATGGGTTGAACCGACCGGTGAAAGTGGACTCTTCGGCTCTTTCTGCAAGTCGTCCTCCTCCAATAATTTGATGTCTTTCTCTTCGCCCTTTTCCAGACCCTCGCAGCCTTTTATCTCGTTCACAAACTTTGCATCTTTCTCGCATTTCATTTCACCATTTTCGTCAGGTTTTACTGGCTCTCCTAAAAGCAAAAATAAAACTTTGGATATTAGGTAAATAAATAATTTTCCCTTCAAAAACACATCACAATCTAATGAAATAAATGACATCGAAGCTATTTACAAAAGAATGAAAAAATGCGCCTGTAGAACTCGGTAGCCAGATAGATCAGAGCCTTTACGAGCCTCTGGTGGATTTAGAACAAGCCTTTTAGTCAGCCTTTGCTGGTCACTTTGGAGAGAGCAGCTCACCCTACATTTTTTTTACTCAAATTTATTGTGTCATCAAAGAAAAGAATTTTTTAAAACTAATTAACTCATTCAATATATCAGCTCTGGAAAGTAAAAAATTGAACTGATTTTATTTATTTTTAATTATTCTTTTTATCTAAGGTTTTGGTTGAGTTAAAAAATTAATGTCACTTCGGCTCAATACACTCGAACACCAACTCCTCACCTCAACCTACAACCTTTCAAATTTTCCCTCTTTTTGCCATTTATTTTTAATTTAAAGAGTATGAAAGGATTAGTAATGTTATGTTTTAAGTCAACTATATCTTTATACCTACACTGCCTGACAAAATTATAGGCCACCCCTCATTTTGTTCATTAATAGTTGTACGAAATATTAAAATTTAACCAAAACATATAAAAAACAATAATTACAAAAGTACAGTTATAATCCTCCTTTCAATCTCTCTAATTCTTTGTTTACGAAAATTCGGTATTATATCAATATTTAAATGCAACAAAAATATAGGCCAATCTCGGTCTTTAAGAGTACAGGTAGGTCTATGGAAACAACTACTGGAGAATGGACGGCCAATCTACGCCAAGCCACCAATTCTGCAGCTTCTGTGAGAGAAATCTGCTTACAAGCTGGAGTCTCCACGAATGTCCAAATTTTCAACGCATTCTACAAAGAACCTGCCATTTAATGTGGATGAAACTCAAATCCAAACGCCTTCTTTCAAAGGCCCAAAAAGCCAATAGTAAGCGATTCGTCATTTATTTTGTGTTAAAAGAGGTAGAGAAAAGTAATTTTTAGTGATGAAAAAGGTTTTAATCTGGATGGTCCTGATCGATTTCAATATTATTTTCACAACCTATGAAAGGAAAAAAGTACTGTTGAACTGACGTCAAATGGATGGAGGTGGTGTCAAGGTTTGGGCTGGGATTGGTTACTATAGGAAAAATATTTAAAATTTTGTGTGGTGATTAGTGACCGTTAGTTGAAGATTATTCAGAAATCGTGAGATCCGGTCTGGTGTGATGTAGGTTTCAGAAAAACATTTTCTTTATCGTGCCAACGTTTCGATCTTTATTGAGATCATCATCAGACTGCATCGCACGATTTCTGAACAATGATTTAAAAGTTTGTTCAACAAAACTAAATGCACACAAATATATAGAGATGATTAATGAACCAATTGTTGAACAAGGCAAAGAGCTGTGAATAAGAAGGTTTATCTTTCTTCTTTATCTAACCAAACTGTACAGTAAAAAATTTCCTCGAAATAAAAAATATTTCCATTTTGCCATGGCCAGCCAGATCACCAGATCTAAATATTATTGAAAACTGTTTGGGAGAGCTGGTCGAGCTGTATAGGGTATGGTGATGAGGATGCTAGGAAGCGGGATTTGAGCTCCCCAGGCAGTGCAGCCTTCTGGCTTATTGTACCTTTTGTTCCTTAGTTCAATGCAATAGACTCAATCCTTCTTCTAGGACTTAGACTTAGGTCATTGACAGTCACTGCTACAATTTCATTCTCTAGATTTTTTCGTATAGCGCCTCTAGAGTTTATCCACTCCTTTTGTTTTGTTTGGATCCATTATGCGATGGAAGATTCTTTTTTTTTTTTTTTTGTCACAAGTAAAGGTTCGAGGCCTAGGCATGGTCTTGCAGATTCTCCTCTGGCCAGTCTGTCTGCTTTCACGTTACCCAAAATTCCCCTGTGCCCTGGCACCCAAGATATCATCAAGTTGCTGTGCATCCCCAGGTTTTAGAGATTTACAGATTTTAGAGCTAATGCTTTAACAACTGTTTGGCTGTCATAGATTTTTCTATGTCACAAGCGTTGATGGCATGTATTTTTACTTGAAAGACCAAAGTGTACTTCCCTAATCCGAGCTGTATATACACAAGGGAAGCACTTTAACTCCACAGAAAAACTCAAAGTCTGCATAGTAAAAAAGTGGAACAATATCCAACAAAAATACATAAAGAAACTGTTTAAATCTCTTCCAAAAAGATGGTGAAAGTCTTGGAGAACCATGGAGGACCAACACACTTTTTTTTCTTGTTACAGGAATACTGTTTATTACTTTAAACATAGTTAATTAGTTATTATTTGAAATTTTGTACAACCTAAATTAATTTTATAAAGCCTTGACCTATAAAAATATGATTATAGAAAAAAAATTAGGGGTGGCCTATACCGCCAGTAGGGGGGTCTTCCTCAGGTACAGCAGGGGTGGTGAAAAGAGAAAAAAAATATATAAAAAAAGGGTGGCCTATAATTTTCATTGAGAGTAGTTATTATGTAAAATAAATAAATACAAAGTGTTTGGGCTTATTTGCCTTTGAGATTATATAATCAAACAGAGAATAACTTCACAAAGCTTTAAAACAAAACAAAATTTAGAAACATTTAGCAGCTTTCTTCATTTATCACTGCAATATAAATTATAAAAAATGAATTTGAAATATAAAACTGTCATGGATTGAGGAAATAATTGACAGCATGCTGATGTATGATCGTGTAACAAATAATATTGCAACATAAGTAAGACACGATATAAAATAATTAAAAGAAATTTTAATTAAGTCAGATCAGTGTACAAAGGTGTAAATTAATAAGAAATTAAGGCAAATTTATATGTATTTGTAGTGCTAATTGGTGAAAATTTGTTGAAATGTGAAGGGGAAAAAATGTGCCATGTCACTTTGAATATAGTACTAAATATAGTGTAAGGTGGTCACCTGCGTTATCCATCGCTGGGCTCCAATGGCTAGAAACCGGCGTTGGACATTACTTTGGTCGAAATGGTCTTCTGTATGGTTGATACGGGAATCTGGGCTCCCTCGGTTGATCACTGGTTCCAACAGTATTTACTTGGTGGATTTCAGGCTCGTCAACAAAGTAACCTCCTTCTGGACATCGAAATTCAGGGGCGGATCGACTGACGTATCGATTGGCGAAGACTGCTTGCGACGTCGCGAGATGTCGTACCAAGGACGTACGTTCAAGTCGTACTTTTCACCCCTTTTTTGGATTTTTTTAAATTTATTTCAGTTTATAAAATAAATGAATAAAAAGAACATAAATAAAAATGAAAAATTAAAGGCCATTTAATAAACATAACGAATACAATAAAACTGTTAAACATCTTTCCCAATTCTTTCAATTAATTAATCTTTTTATGTAAGGAATTGGTTGAAATGAAAATGTGGATTCGAACCCGCTCGTTTGTGTTGTCTTATTCATATATAAAAGAATTTTGTTTAAAACATTTATTTACCCACACAAAGTTTTTATTGATAATTAATGTTCCATGAGTTTTTCAATTTTTTCAAATGAAAATTGGATAAGATTGGGAAAAAATTAACAGTTTCATTGTATTTGTTATTTTTATTAAATGGCCCTTAATTTTCCATTTTTTCTTTTTGTTCTTTTTATTCAGTATATGTATTTTATAAACGAATGCAAACAAAGGGTGAAAAGTAACACTTGAATGAACGTCCTGGGTACATCATCTTGCGACATCGCAAGCAGTCTTCTTCAATCAATATGTCAAAATCACACCAGATCAATTTTTTTAAAATTTATATATAATATAGAATTAATTAGACTACTAACTCTACTCATAAAAAAATACGTTAATTACTATTTTTATTTATAGTAGACAAGAAGCAATTTTAGAGGAAATAAGTGCACAATTACATTAAGTTAGAAAAGATTTACTAAGTTCTCTCTCTTTCTCAAAGAATTTGTAAATCTCTTTCTAAATCTTTCAAAATTTGTTGAGTAAAAATGTACGTAAATTTTTGTTCTTTATACTTTATGAAATATGTATGTTTGTTGTTTAGTGTTTCTTTGGTTGTTTGTTTATACATTTTGTATTTTTTATGTTATGTATATTTGTATGTTTCTATGGGTGTTTGTATACTTGTACATGTTTGTTTCCATGATTATTTCTATTTGTCTTTGTCGTTTTGTGTTTCTTTGGTGGTTTATTTATAAGTATGTGCTGTTTTGTTTGCATAGTTATATGTCAATGTGTGTGTTTTATTTTGTATCTATGTATATCTTTGCCCATAGGTAATTCATTGCAATATTCATATACCATGTTATATATCACATTTTTCCTTTTTCTCTCTCACTCTCTCTCTCTCTCCCCTCTTTTTTTAATTTTTTTTATTTTTTATGCAAAATATTCATTTTATAAAGGATGTAGGTTAAAATAAAATTGCTTTATGGTTTATTTGTGTTGTTTTATTCATACATAAAAGATTTTGTTTAAAACATTTGTTTGCACACACAAAGTTTTTATTGATAATTAATGTTCGATGAGTTTTTCAATTTTTTCAAATGAAAGCTGGATAAGATTATCTTTAATATCTTATCCAACTTTCATTTCTCTCTCTGCCATTGACAGTCAGAAAAAATTGAATAAACTCATTAAAATTATTAATTAAAAAATTTTGTGGCAAACAAACGTTTTAAACAAAATCTTTTATATATGTACAAAACTATACAAATAAAACATAGCAATTTTATTTTAGTCTACGCCCTTTATAAAATGAATATTCTGGATATAAAACAGAAAAACATCAAATAGAAATAGGAAAAACAAATAGAAAAAGGAAAAAATATATTAGCATGGTATATGAATGGTACAATGAAACACCTTTAGGTTAACATAACATACATAGATACATAATAGCACATACACACATATTAACACATAACTATGCAAACAAACAAAACACACTTATAAATAAACCACCAACAAAACACAAAATGACAAAGACAAATATAAAAAACCATGGAAACATATGTACATATGAACAAACACCTATAGAAACAAAAATATAAGCAAATAACCAAAGAAAAACTAAACAACAAACACATATATATGTACATAAAGTATAAAGAACAAAAATTTACATATGTTATTACTCAACAAGTTTTAAAAGATTTGCAGATTCATTTGAGAACTTAGTAAATCTTTTCTAACTTAAAAGTATTATTCACTTATTTCCTCTAAAATTTCTTCTTGTCTATTGTAAATAAAAATAGTAATTAACAAATTTTTTCTGACTAAAGTTAGTAGTCTATTTATTTCTATATTATACATAAATTTTAAAAAAATTGATCTGATTTGATTTTGATGTATCGATGGATGAAGTCTGCTTGCTAAGTTGCAAGATGATGGCGTACATTCAAGTCATACTTTTCGTTTTCTCCCCTTGTTTGCACTTTTCAAGAACATGTTCAAACGTTCTTGTTAGATGCCATGGCAAAAATTTTGTTATGCTATTTGTTACGGTATGCCTTAAACTTACACAGTAAATTTCTTTAATTTTATTGTTTGGCAAAATTAATTTAGCTTGTAATATGCCATCTGCTTCAAGTAAGGGATATTCCAATTCCCTTTTACCAAGGGGTTATTGAAGGAAGAATTTTTGAAATATATTTTAAACAATTAAACTTTGGGGAATTTCCAGGATTTTCGGCTCAATACGCCCTTGGTCCAACCACTTGACCTCCACTCGGACATCGACTCCTCATCTCAACCTACAACCTTTCGAATTTTCCCTCTTTTTGCCACATTTTCAAATTTCATGTAATCAGGATTCAATTCTCGGCAATTTATGAAGTGGCCATGGGGAGCTGTTAGCGAATTAAATACTTCTATAATTATTATATTAATCCATATATGTATTTAATAATCATAATTGATCGCATTAATTATTTTAATTAATCAATTTTTTTATCCAATTGTTAGTTGGACATCAAATTGTTAGCGTAGCGACGTATTAGCTGAAAGTAATAGGTTTAAATCCCATTTGTGACAGTAGCTTTTTCATCTTAACAAAAATATTAGATAAAAAGTATAATTAATTAAAATAATTAATGCGGTAAATTGTGATTACTAAATACACATATGGATTAATATATTCTGAAATTAATTCATTCCTTGTCAAATTGCGTGGTCAGGGTAAATTTTCAAACAAGATTAAAATAAAAAAAGTTTTATTACAAAAATGTTTCAATATCCAATCTAAAAAAATGTTATAATAATAAGTAAATGTATTTAATAATTTATCAATTTCAGAACAAATCAACAACAGATTAAGTCTAACAGATTATTTCAATTCTTTTCCTAATGAGTTTAAATGAAAATTGACGTATGTTCCTTTCAAGAGAAGGGGTAAGGAGCTCAGGTTGCCAAAATTATGCAAATAATACAAACATAACACAAAAATCTTAAAAGTAAAAAAAAAAAAAAAAATCAGTAACCAATAAGTAAAATTATATTTAAGATAAAAATAATTTAAAACGTCATTTAGGATTTGTTTCAAGTAAACACTTGAGGGCGTATTAAAATACACGTGTATCTTAATCTGTTAAGATTCGTAAACTCAACTGGTTTAAATTGAAAATAACAAAATTCAACTTATGACGAAAGTTCATCGTCACCGAAGGTGTAAGTCACTGCTTTCCTTGCCCTCTTATTCGTACTTTGACGAGAAAGTGCAGTTGCCTCATTTTCACTTTCTTCATCAGGCTTTTTCTTCTTCGTCTTCTAAAACATTTCAAAAAATAATTAAAACTAGATAATTTAAAATTTGAAGTTGTTTTTATGTATTACATCGGAAAACATGTCTTCGCTGTCACTTGAATCAGATAAGGCTTTCTTTTTGGGCCTCTTGACCGTTTTCTTCACAGCCGGTGCTTTCTTCGGTGCCTTTGGTTTTGTCGCTTTAGCTTTAATAAAGAAAAGAAAAGAAAAATCAGCATGAGCAAAATTTTGTTCAAGTACAGAATCATCTTACCTGCTGGTTTAGACTTTGGTTGAACTTCCGTCTTCTGTTCAGAGCCTGAACCAAGAAGAGAATCAAACAATTTGTCAGAATCTACCGCAGGCTCATCCTTTCTCTTTAAGTTTAGATCATCGTCATCATCATCACTCTTGCCACCATCTGAAGATGCTTTTGGAGGGGTATCAACTTTGGGAATACTATTTGTGCTTTTCGATCTGAAACAAGCGTACTTTTATATAATTTGAATTTTCAGAAATACATGTCGAAGACTTACTTAGGAATTTCTTCATCTGAACTGAAGTCATTTCCATTTTTCTTATTAACAGAAACAAAACCAGCAGAGGAATCACTGTCCTCAGAATCGAATGTAAATTTGATAGCTGATGCTGGGGAGAAAAATAAATGCAGTGTTATATCCAGAAAAACGCAGTGTATATTGTTTTAAAACATTACCGGTACTTCTCCTTGGCACATTTCTACTTGGTATGCTGACAGCACGACTAGGTCCTGAATCATCGGAGTTGAAGTTATCATCATCATCTTCTGAATCTGTCCAAGGATTTCTTTTCTTCTTTGGGCTTTTCTTTTCTAGGTTTAACTTGGTCTGTTTCAGTTCTGAAAAATGGCAAAGTTGTTAGGGTTTTTTGAAATTAATATTTATTTTCTTTTTACTTACGTTTCTTCCTTGCTTTTTTCTCAATCATCATGGGCGAATTACCAAGCCTCTGGGAAAGGGTTTTTTGAACACCCTCTTCCAAGAGATCAAACTGGTCCTTCTCGCCTTCTTCACCCGCATCTCCTTTTTTCTTTTAGAACAAAAAGAATACTTTTTAGGTTTGTTTTTAATAATTTTTTTTTAGATATTGGGTATAATTACAGATGGTCCTTTGAGTTTTTTCTCCTTGAGCCTGTTGGCAGTTTCGGCCTTCTTAATCATTTCCTGGTCGATCAAAGGTTTTACCCTCGTAGAAGCAGCGGACGGGATAATGTCCATCAACACTTTTTTCTTTCCCCCTTTGCCTTTGGCGGCCCCTTTTGTGGTTTGGAGGTTTGAAGCGGCTTCTTCCTGCCTCTCCTTTTCTTCAACTTCTGTCAACTGAAACAAAGAATTTAATCTGATTCGGAAAAGAAAACTAAAATGAAGCTACCTTCTTCAAGAGTTCGTTCAAATCATATTCCCAGATGTCAGCCGGCGTTTTGAGCCTCAGCTCCTCAAGTTCAGCAACCTTGATATTCTTTTTATTAATCAGGTCCTCTTTCCTTTCAAGCGTCAACGTCCACATGGACATGCCAAGCAGGTAGTCATAGTCCATCCCTTCAACTGTTGGCTCGGCTTCCTTTTCTTCAGTTGGCTCATCTTCTTCTTCCTGTAATGTCAATGATAATTGTTAAAATATATAAAATAAAAGACATAAAAACAAACAAAAAATCTAACAAATAAAATCTTACTGTATTTCCACTTTCAATCTGTAGTTTTTTCCAAGCTTTAATGGGATCTGAACGATAACCTTTGTTTTTGAGCTCCTCAATGATCTTGGCGCGTTTCAAGTTCTCAACTTTAACCCTGCCATCACACTTTTCAACGATAAATCTGCAAAGAAAATAAGTTTAAAAAATATTCAAAAACTATTATTTATTAAGACTCTTTTGAAAAATACCTCGCTTGATTTGACAATTTGTCCGCTTCTGCTTGCAACATGCCTTCGAGATAAGCTTTTCTCTTACTGTAGTACTCCAAACGAGTTTCAAAATATTCCTTCATGATGTCGATCACGGAATCGTACCGTTTCAAACAGCCGTCACGATCGAACGCACACTAAATAATTAAATGTATTGGAATATCTCAAAAATACACAATCATCTCTTTTTATTCAATTAATTACCATAGAACTGAGGCTAATAGTGTTTTGAAGTTTGAAAACTTTATGGAAGCCATCTTTATCGGAGCTGATAAATTTATCACGAGTCATCGTCACAATAAATTTGACCACTGTATCCGTGTGGTATTCCTTGAAATCCCTGAATATTATCAAGAGTTTACAATAAAGAAACAACTTTGAAAAGAAATTTTTTGTCTTCTACTTAAAAATTGACAGAGCTTACGTTATTGCCGCAGGCGTTTTCTCGGATCCTTGGAACATGGGAACGAGCACCGTTTCTTTATAAGAGTTTGTCCATACACCAATTGGCAACTCGGATATTTCAATCTTGTCACCTTCGTCTAAGATTCCAACTTCACCAGAAATGACAAATTTGTTACCGGGGAGAGATTCAATTTCGCCTTTGAAATTTTTAAACCACGGTTTCTGCACACACAAAAAAATCAATAAAATAAAATTTGTACTATTGTACAAAAGAAAAACTTGGATCAGGGAATGAGTGGAAAAAAATAGAAATTTTGAAACAGTTGCATGTTTTAATAGGTTTCCAATAGGTTAATAGGTTCCAACACGCTAAAAATGAAAACTGAAACATGTTTCAGGCCAAGTTTGGAATCAGCTTTTGACTGTCAAAACAGTCCAAGGATTTGGCCAGGGTTCGGCAATCAAGAGACATACGCAGATATTTCTACTCTCTTACTTATAACTAGAGCCCAAATTTATGTTAACAAAAATCCATAAACAATCTACATTATATGTACTAAAAACCCCTTAAATAAGCCATATAATTTGCTCTAAAAATATTGAAATACACGTCTTTGACATCACCTAATAAGTGAATTTTTAATATAATTTTTTTGGGCTAATCCAAATTCGTTTTGAAAGGAAATAGAACAGAAAAATTTCAGGGACAAAAAAGATCATGTAATAAGAAAGAAGACTGACACAGACTATTTTTGAGTTTCAAATGAGGTCCCTATTTCCTTCCGTAACCCAACTATGTTAGTAAAATCAATTTTTCAAGCAAGGCAAAATAAAAATAAATAAATGTATTCAGGATTTTTGAAATGGTTTGGGACAAATAAGATTCCGAGTATTTAAAGAGAACAAATCAGAATCAATTTTCAGGCAATCAAATTTTTTTAGGCAAGTGTTCTTTTACTCTTGTTTTTATTTCTGTGCCGCTTTGACCTATATATTTAATATTACAATCATTACAATTGAGTTGGTAAACCCCGCTTTTTGCCAAGTTGTCTACCTTGTCTTTAGGTTTCGAGAGGATGTTTTTTAGTGACCACATACTTCGATAAGCTATTCTAAAACCTTCTTGTTTAAAAATTTTACTAACTTTTTCCGATAATTCTCCAATGTATGGCAAACAACGGAAACCTAATGATTCATTTATGGTGGGGTGGCTGAGTCTATTGTTGATTCTTTTTAAGTTAATTTTTTTATTATTTTGACTAGCAACCTATCAATAAATATTTCTAGATACCCGTTGTTTTTTGCTATGGTTTTAATAGTTTCTAATTCTTTTTTTATAGTTAGCAGGTGTTAATGGAAATTTTAACATACGGTCTATGAAAATGAAACCAACATCCTTTTGGGACCATGGGTGGGATGAATCCGCTGGTATCATAGTGTCTGTAGTTGTGGGTTTTCTATATGTCTATTTCTATTAGATTGTTTATTATTGACAATTTTAGGTCTAAAAAGTTCAACAACCATCTTTGTTAATTTCCAACATTTTAGTTTGTTATTGTGTGTTGGAACAAACCTAATACACCGTATGTGTATCAATGTTTGCCTGGAAGTGTGGCTTCACAAGTTGAACATATCACATGTTTTGTGATATTCTCAGTTTTAGTTACTGCATCAAGTATCTCATCACATATAATACACTCAACATCCTTTTTCCAATTAACCCTGAAACTGGCAAATGCTTTGAACTTATCACACATGTAAAATCTATCTTCTATCAACTATTTGAACTTAAACCGTCTTAAAATCTTCTTGTTTATTATTTCAAACATTTTTAAAACTAAAAAAAAAGTTCCACCTGGGGTAAATCCCACATGAGAGTTTTGAGATAAAACCTGGCAAATACAATAATAATGTGACAGAATGATTATGGATTTGACTTACAAGAGGAATTGATGGTTCTAGATTATTGATCATATTTCTTAAGTTTTCTATAATATCCCTAGGATTATAGTTTGGTATTTTTGTCATCCAGCCGGTTCCGATACCATCAGCACCGTTGACAAGGACCATCGGTATAACAGGTATATACCATACGGGTTCAATTTTCTGATTGTCGTCTTTTTGATATTTAAGAAGCGGCTCATCATCTGGATGGAAGATCAACCTGGCTAAGGGGCTGCAAATGACATAAACGTTAGAAAATAATTGTAAATGTATAAAAAATAATTGAAATTTACCTAAGCATTGTGAAGATATACCTAGGGCTAGCGGCGTCCTTGCCGCCAGCCAATCTCGTACCGAATTGACCGATAGGTTGAAGAATGTTGATGTTGTTTGTACCGACGTAGTTTTGTGCGAGGTTGATGATTGTTGACATGAGGGATGTTTCACCGTGGTGATAGGCAGAATGCTCGGCGACCGAACCGGCAAGTTGGGCGACTTTGATTTCCCTTTTGTCATTCCTCTTCAGGCAGGTGAAAACGACCTTCCTCGAACCTGGTTTCAGCCCGTCTAACACATTCGGAATTGACCTCTCGTTGTCCATGTTGGAAAACAAGACTAATTCTTTGTTTATGAAGTCTTTGAATGTGATTGATTTTGTGTCCTTCATATACAGGTACTCTTCAGGCATGCCTAATTCCTTCCTCCTTTTTCTTTCTGTCATCCAATTAGTTAACCATTCCTTTCTCTGTTCAACTGCTTTTTTACTGAAAGCCTTTAATTAAAAAAATATTATTAACAAATAGAATTGTTACAAAATATAACATAGATTTTACCATTATAATACTTTGATCACATTCTGGTCCACTGTATTTAAAGGTTATTCTATGCTTTTCCATATTGCTAAAATATTCCTTCGCCTCTTTTGAAGTCGAGGTTCCCAAACCTATTAAAAACAATAATATTAAGTATGAAAAATTAAAAAATAAAAATTTGAATTAAAAACCTTTGTAGTATTTGATTTTGTATGAAGACAAATTGTTTATTTCCGCCTTCCATTCGTCAAATTCTGGTATAGAATAAAAGCTGATTTCTTCGTTTCGTTTGGTCGCTTTGATTATAGGCGTGATAAACACCTCAAGGAACGGCATTTTAATAAGCGACGGCCAATTATAATGTATGAAATTGACGATAAGTCCTTTGATATGAGACCCATCCTTTAAAAATTTAATTTTATATAGTGAATTTAAAAATATAAACAAAAAATTGTATATAAAAATTACCTGATCCTGATCTGTCATGATCATGATCTTCCCGTATCTCAGCGTCTCCATATCTTCTCTTGTCTCGTATTTCTTTTTGTACTGTAATCCCATTATCTTGATTATATTGTTAATTTCTGCATTCTCCAGAATCTAATTTAAGATATTAAAAAACACACAAATTAATAACAAAATTTAAATTGTTAATAGGCTATGTCGTACTTGTTTGTGAGAAGCCTCCCGGACATTCAGGAGTTTACCACGCAATGGGAAAACACCGTATTTGTCTCGGCCAACGACGCTAAGCCCTGACACAGCCAACGCTTTGGCTGAATCTCCCTCTGTCAAGATCAAAGTGCAAGAGAGGGAATGTTTTGTCCCGGCATCATTAGCATCATCAAGTTTCGGCACGTCTAAAAACAACAAAAAAAAAAATTAAATAAGTGACCAGCAAGATTAAGCCAGGACAAAATTGATTAAAGATGATTTACCTTTCAGCTTATTTTTCTTCTTCCCACCAGCAGCTTTCTCAAGTATTGTTTGAGCTTTAAATTTAGCCCAAGTTAAGACCTGTTCAACCAATCCACTTTTTCCGACCTAAAAAAAATATGAAATGACTAAAATTTCAAATATTATTTGACCTAATTTTTAAACATTAATTATTATAAATTTCCAGATATTCAACTAAATTGCTGAATTACCTGATTCATAAATTTTTCGGAAATGACGCACTTTGACCCAAAGTTTTTAGCTTGCAGTGTCATGTGTTCTTTCGTCTGCGAATCGAATGTTGGATTTACGATGAGACAATTTACAAAAAGCCACATGTGCGACTTCACTTGGAACGGTTTGATCTGCATGCCGCCTTTGTTTTTCTTTTTTATCATCTCGATGAGCTGCTTCGTAATAGATTCTGCAATGTAGTCGACATGACGACCACCCTGGATAATAATAAATAAATATGTTAAAAAATATATATTTAGAAAAAGTTTGAGTTTGTTCAAGAAAAGTAAAAGGATAATACTTGTGAGACTTAAGACAAAATTATACTTATTTCTAAGCCTCGTTTATATTTAATTTGTTTCAGATGCTAATGGTCTTTTTTAATATTCCAAAAGCATTAAGATTTTAACTTGTGAGTTTATGTTATGTTAAGTATGAGAAAAATTCTGGTAATAAAAATCAAATTTAATTTAGTCATTTACCTTAGTTGTAGCTATACTGTTAACAAAAGAAACCTGCTGGAAGCCCTTTTCGGATGTTGTCAATGCCACTTCCCACCTGTCGTTAACATTCTCATAAACAACCTTCAGCTGGTTGCCCATATCATCATCTTTGTTTTTAATATACAAATCTATATAATCTTTAAAATTTTTGATCTAAAAGTTTTTGTTTAATGTTTAGAATTTTTTCTAACTCAAGTTAAGTATAAAATGTAAAATGTTAAATAACTTACAGGAAGTTTGACATCATTTAAAAACACCTTAACACCCCTGGTAGAAGCTGCGACGTCAAAAGCCCTTCGGGACATGAGATCGATAATATCCTTGTCGAGTTTTTCCATTTTGAATTTGCTCAGGTCCGGGCTGAAGCTGACCTTGGTGTAGTCTTCTTCGGACGACTGTTTGATCTTGACCTCCTGAGCCGTGCCCATGTTGTCCAACCAGGTCTGTTTGAACGCCTTCCTGTACTGCTTCGAAGAAGTCTGCACAGTGAACTTTTTACTGAATATGTTGCACAGTTTGGCACCGTAGCCGTTCCTGCCTCCTGTCACTTTTTCTTCTTCGTCATTATAGTTTGATGAAGTGAGCAAATGGCCGAAAATCATAGTCGGAACATACATTTTCTCATCTTTGTGTTCGACAACTGGTATCCCTTTACCATTATTCCAAATAGTAATCAAATTTTCTTCTCTGTTGGCAAATAAAATTATTATTATTATTTTTTTTTTTAAGTTTGATTTACTTACGGGTCAATATTGATTCTTATGCAGTTCATGCTTGGATCTCTTTGCTTGTTGTCAGCGGCATTAACCAATATTTCATCGAATATTTTATACAGACCCGGCACGTATGTTATCTCCCTCTGAACCATCATCTCCTGTTCTTTGTCATAAACCCACATCAGCTCTGTCACCGGCTCAACAGAACCTAAACAAAAGAAAAAACAATCATTAACTAAATGAAATTATTTACAAATATGTCTCACCTATGTAAGTATCAGGCCTGAGAAGAATGTGTTCCAGTTGTGACTTCTTCTGGTACATCTTCTCGACGGTTAACGCCGCCTTTTTGGCCGTCTTGGACACAGGCGGTGGTGCTGTGTCCATTGCCTCTACTCCATCTTCGGTACTCATTATGAAAACCTACGTCTGTCAAACAAAGTGTTTATTTTAATTTAAAATTACAGATGTTATTTTATGTAATTGCTCATAGATTTTTTTTTTTTTTTTTTTTTTTTTTTAATAAACAACATTGAAATTATACAGTTGTGTTAATTAAAGAAAAAAAATTAAACATGGCAAACGTATGAGGGTACTTTCAATGCGCAATTTCTTCTTACTAACATCCATTAAACATTACTCTCTTCATATATCTTAACACAAAAGAAAATAACCCTCTCAAATAAAAGTTATTTTATGCTCCATTGAAAATAACATTACCACCATTACCATAATTTGGCCTAGCGAGAAAATCATAAATCGCTGACAAACTATTTTTTTTTTGTAATTTTTTATGACTCACATAATATGAGCTCATGTTTAATTTACATTACCAGTTGCATATTGCAATCTTCTCTCTCCCTAGCCCTGAGGCAGAATGCCTATGATGATGGCAAGAGAGAAACAATTTAACATAGAAAAGTTCTTAAAATCTAAAAGAAAAGTGAACATTCTTAGGCACGAATTGACAGTATATATATAATCTGGTAGTACAATGACCAAGAAACACAAAGTAAAGAAAAAAAAGCCAATTCCTTTGGTGACAATAGGGAAGGTAAGTACTGTGATACTTCTTTAGGTTCAAGTACACTTGAATATTGTAGTCGAGACAATCATTCTATGACAGATTCATTAAAAATAGTGCCTTTTCATTTATTGGGTCAGTGCAAAATTAATGCAAGTTTTGAAAATTTGTTTTATTTTCACAGGTGCTTGACATGTAAACAAAGCTAAATCCTCAAATTTCATTTATTGATTACAATAAGTGTGTTGTTTGTAATGACCGTTAGTTAATGATTATTTAGCAACCGTGAGATGTGGGTTTATAAAAACATTTATTTATCATGCCAACATTTCGATCTTTATTAAAATCACCTTCACGGCCTGGTATTTAAAAACAATGTTTAAATTATACAAATACATGTAAGACGTGAAAATGAATTTATACAGTGATGTCCAAAATAAAGAACTTTTAGGTTTAATCAAAAGTGAGTACAAATACTTTGAGTAAACTTAACAGTTTTATCTTTTATACAAAACATTTTAGTTTATATTGAATTTTATAAGAGGGAGGACCTGTGAAATTAAATATGTCCAAACAAGATTTTCATAAAATTTATCTGTACAAATTCAAACTTGGGCGTAGTGCAGCCCAAACCATGCATAATATCAATACAGTTTGGGGGAGGGAAGCATTAGCGAATGCAGCAATGGTTTCAGAGATTTCGGCTTTGTAGATTTCTATCTCGAAGACAGGGAAGGTCGCTGTAGGCAAGAAAAATTAATGTAAGACAACATGGAAAATTACGGAAGAGCTTATTGTTGACTACTCAACTGTTGTTCACCATCTGGAGCAAATTGGTAATGTAAAGAGGACTGGATAAGTAGGTATAAGAACTAAAGCCCAAAGAAATCTATGCTTTGAAATTTGCTCATCTCTTCTGTTCTACCACCACAATGATCCTCTTGATCGAATCATTACGTGCGATGAGAAATTGATTCTGTACAATAACAGGTGTACAGGTCAGTGGTTGGACAAGGATGAAGCATCAAAACACATCCCGAAACCACAAGGTGCTGGGGTTGTTCAATATAATTTCGTGAATTACGGTGAAACTATCACAACAGAGAAAAATTTCCAAGAAATTGACAAAATGTACAGAAAACTGCAACGTCTTTGTCCAGCATTGGTAAACCGTAAGGGGCCAATTCTCCTTCACCATAACACCAAGCCACATGTCACAATGCCAAGGACTTAGGATATGAAACTTTACCGCACTGTCCATATTCACTGACCTCTCTCCTACAGACTTCTACTTTTTTAGACATTTTGATCACTTATTGAGGGATAATGTGGTGAAGCTGAAAATGCCTTCCAAGACTTTGTCATAATAAAAAAATTTATTTGAAAGAAATAAAAGTGTTTATTATTACACGTTGGCAAAGATGTGTAGATTGTGGCTGAAAATTTGACTAAATTTTCTTTATTTTATAAAAATTAGAAATAGTTTTGACTGCCTTTTCAAAACTTGCATTATTTTTGCACCAGCCCTAGAAAAAAAATCCAAATATACTCATGACTCAAGAGGAAATCTCAGAATTTAATGTATAAAAGTGCCAAATTCTTAAAGAAAAGTACATTTTCAAAGGTATGAATTGGTAAAAGATAAGGTCGAGACAATCAGTGAGCATGCCAGAATAGAAAGGAAAAAAAGGCCAATTATTAGGGGGGGAAATAATAGAGACTTTCAAGTACTAACACCCATTAGAATTTTTTTTTTCTTTCAAATTATTCTTAATGAAAATTCCACAGGCAATGCAATGTGATTCAAACAAAGAACCGCTGTGGCAAATATGAGGATCAGACATGTTGACAAATCTACTGAAAGGTCATAATCAGTCAATCGGCAATCCGAGGCTATTTACTGCAACGGAAATGGTTTAAATTAAATTTGATCAAAACTATAGAAAAAAATATGAATAAAAACACCGGTTCAAGTTGTAACTTCTAATAATCAGGTTAATTTGTATCATCAGATTGTCAGGGCGTCAGTTGCCGCAAGGATTTAGGCCTTGACACGAAGCTCACCGTAAGGTAAAGGTCCCTAGTTCGAATCCTGCATTTGAACACGACTTCCAACTGAGCTTTTTTTCATACCGGCACACAAAAAAAAAAAAAAAAAAAATCACCAGATAGCACCTTTATGTTACCAGTCAATTTTCAGGCCTTTGAATAGTTTGGATACCCTAATTATTTACAATTTAAGAAACTCAATTTTCATAAAGATATTTGGTTGGACGACCAAGTCCTGAAAGTTTTAAATTTTAATTTTCACAAAGAAAATAATGTAGGATAATTGTTGTTGATTACAATCGAGACTAGTGATGTCAAGAGTATATATTGGTCAAAGTTAAATTTTTCTTTTTTTATTGTTTGACGTTGTTAGAAAAGTTGAGATGTTAGTAATTGTTTTTAACCGGTTAAATAGCAAATGTGTAAGTAAGATCTGTTTTAATTTAGTTGAAATAAAAGTAGTCTACTCGGTGCTTCGTCGGATCTTAATAACGAAAGGTTAAGTCCGAAACGAGTAAAGGGGGTGGAGGTGAAAAGAGACAAGCCGGCCGGTGCGTTCGGGCCCGTCCCGTTTCGCTTTTTTCGCCCTTTCGAAATGGAAAAGCTTACAAGAACTTGTCAACAAAGTTAGAAATTCGGACTCACCCGGTCGCAAGTTGGGAACCAAGAAGGCGCGGGTAATTTCTCGAAGGTCGACTGATGGTGTAGTGAAGCCGGATCGACGCCGAAACTCGAAATGGACCCCTGTGCGCAGATCAACTCTCCCGCCAATCAGGTCACGCTTTTGACGGCCGCGAATTCCGGTGGAAAATTAATTTTTGCCAATTTAAAAATCACCGATGAGGAAATAGGCAATACTGAAAAATTCGACTGGACCTTTTTTTAATTATATTCCTATTACATTTAAAGAGCGATTAGGGTCTTCTTTCGATGAATATCGGCGGGAAAACACTTTTCCTGTCAGACGACAGTTAACCGAAGCCGTTAAGATTTGGCCGCCAAACGGCCGCACCGGGAATTTGCCACTCAAAAATGAATAATATTGCCAATTTTGAAGTATTTCCTTTGCCTAGCTCTTAGCCTTATTACCAATTACATTAAAATTTATTATAAATTATTGTCTATTATTGAAAAAAAAATTAATTAAGGGATTTTGAACAATAACAAAATCAAAAGTTTTAATACCATAATTTTGTTTGTTGGACACAATAATTATTTTAAATAATACTGTGTATAATGTCCTCTGTTAGCTAAAACCTCTGTGAACCTGTTAGACATAGTGTTAATAAGGTTGTCAGTAATTTCATAAGGAATTTCATTCCATAGATGTTGTACCGAAAAGCCTTCTCTATAAGGCATCCCGCTTGTGCTCAATGGGATTGAGGTCTGGAGACAATGGAGGAAGTGCAGATGGGAAATTTCGAGGTTTTCTAAACAGTGATGGACAACTCTGCCTTTATGGGATCAGGCATTGTCATCCATTAATCAAAAATCCCTGTCAATGAGATCCCTGGTTTGAGGGATGTATTCCTCAATAATTTCTTGGACATGACGGATTGCAGTGAAGTTGTCTTCAACAATATGGAGTCCAGTTCGTTCTCCAGTGTAAATCCCAGCCCAGACCATTACACCGCCTCCTCCAAACTGGGGATTGTATCCCCTGTTCTAGGTAGACATTTTGGCGCCTGCTATCACTATACAGACAGAAACGTGACTCATCAGTAACAGCATTGCAATTGGTTCTCTTCTAGGTGCTCACTGCACCATATTCTTCTGAGTTGCTGTAGTTTTTTTTTTAAATAATATAGCTAATTTCACCAGTCTGCCCATTTCTTTCAGAAGTAATCACATCTCTTTAAGTTTCTTTTCTATTTTATAAGTTTTACTTAATTTAATGTTTTAGAACCACAAGAATAGCACCACACTTTATGCTAATGTGAAATACTTGGTTCAAAATTTATATTTACATCTTAAATTGTCTTTTTTCCAATCAACATACGTTTTGTAATTTAACCCGGCTCTGAAGATGACCTGAATAAATGTCAAACTCAAAACATCGACAAAAAAAACTACCTTATTCTTGACCGCTCCTCTTGACTTCAACAAATTATGAAACTATCGGTCACTAAGAAACACACATTAATTTAATGTCTTAAAGCTTATTTAAGGCTTTATTTGTATACAGTGGCCAGAAAAAAGTTTGATTGTCCCTGGCCATCTGTAATAGGGGGTTGATACTTTTGTAAAGGTGGTTCTACTCACAGATGTAAAAAAAATAAATAAATGTGTGAGTAGAACCACCTTTTACAAAAGTGAATCTATATACTCACCCCGCCATCATTATTTCTAGGGGGTTGACATGTTTTGAACCGGCACAGTCCGTTAAATTTTTTTTTTAAATGAAAATTTTATATAAAATATTGAGCAATGTTTGAAATGATTTTGAACTTCAGATTAATTTAAAAATAGAGAAATGGTTGGAAGAGCTAATGTTTCATGTTTTAAATTACATTTTTTAAATTTTATTTTTGTAACGGCTTTAAAAATTGTTTATATATAAATGAAAATCTTTTAACATGTGATTGTCATTTTAAAGAAATCTTATTTTAAAAAAAAATATATTATTCCTCATATACAAATCTATAGTATTATTTTTCCCCCATTAATAGTTTATTGTAACAACATCCCAAAATGAAGGCCAGTGCAGACAGCCGCAGTAGTATGAAATCCTCAAGAAAGTCCAATTCAGGCATGGCGGAACTGAATAAAATCAAAAATGTCAAGCAAGATAAGAAAAAACTCAATACCGAGCAGACGGTAACAATAATGATTAAAATTGTCATACAGACAAACAAATATATTTATTTTTAACCAGGGAAGCCAAAAAAGTTCACAATCAGGGGATCAAGAAGATCCAAATTTTTGGCTGCAAGCTGTACCGAGCGAAGACTTCAGGCTTAACAGTCCCTCCCTAATCAATCCGTTCAAATTCATTGAAGAAATTGAACAAACCAAAAGAGATTTAATATATAAAAAAAATGTAAAACAGTCGACTGAAAACAGAAAATTGTACCAGGAGATGCAAAGGGTCACAAGTAAATAATAAAATAATGCACAAAAATTGTCTCAACGTCAAAAATTATTGCCTTTCTTTTTTCAGAAAAAGTCTTAATAAATAAAGTCGCTCAGGATGCAGGACCTGATTGGTTTCAAGACTTATCCTTTGAACAAGTGAATCCATACATTCCTTATAAATAAAGCCTAAAGCATAAAGCCTATTATAAATAAAGCCCATTGTATAAGTTTGGTAAATATTTTAGATGGATTTAGTCAATGATCTTCAGAGGCGAATGCTGAGCGATCTTGAAAGAAAATCAATCGATGAAGTCCAAGAGTTTTTCCACAAGTTAGGCATCATCCCTTATGTAGATGGGACAGAAGTGAGTATTTAGGCAAATATATATATTTTTTTAATGACCTACTTTTAGTATTTTAAGCATTTATTTAAATTTTCAAGGTGTGGAGAGCATTAAAACAGTCTGAAGGAGATCCGATACGATTTTTATTTTCAATACAAAAAGTCATTTCAGCACGTGAGCAGGAGGAATTTGAGAAAGAGTACAGCTACCTCGAAGGTAAAGGATAAAGTTACTGTCAGGAATTTAGAAAATAATTTGGAGTTTTTCAGAACACAATATGCCAAGGGCGAGTTTTTCTGTAAACGAACGACTTATCCTGTCAGCGGTTTTCCATTACCATTTTCCCTTGTTCACCGAGCAGCTAAAAAAACTACTACCTGCGAAGCCAGAGAAATCGTACGGTAAGTCTTTCCACTTCTTCTTATAAGATTGATTTAATTGATTATCAACTTAAGTGCTCTGGGGGAAAAAGAAGCCAAAGCCGAAGATGACCTACGAATCCCCATACCTCGAGCCAATGCCTATAAATGAGATGTGCTGGTATGAGGAGAAGGCCGAGCGGGACTTGGAAAAAAAGGTGCTCAAGAAGATGAAAGAGCATGGCAGCCCTATCGTAAAGAAAGACAGGTTCTCAAAATATTCAATCCCACTGATCGAAGCGGGGAAAGTGTTGGCTGAAGCCTATGTCGCAAATATCTCGGTGAGTAGACCAGCAAACCATTTGGTGGCTTTCTCTTATTAGTTTGTTCCAGCTGTCAGAAAAGAAAAAGAGAAAAAAAAGACGCCAGGAGGTATTGAAGAAAAGTAAGGAGTCAGTTATGTCAAAGGACAGTAAGTTGAGGAAAACATAAACATTAAAGTCAATTAACATATACATAAACATTTTTAACTCTTTCAGGCTGGGAGATCAACTGTGAGCTTGAATCAATGATGGACTCAGAGGAAAAATTTTTTGAAAAGTACTCAATATCCGACAAAGAACTGTTAGGTCTGTAAATGACAAAACAATATTTTAAAATCTAAAATCAAAATTAAAATTAATTATCTATTTATTTAACAGAAGGAGGAGTGACAGTAAAGGAAAGTAAAATATCTTTGCATTCTAAGAAAGTGAGTGTCGCACCACCAAATCTTATGTTCAGTGAGTCTTTTCTTATTCAATTTTACCATTTATACTAAATATAAATTTTAGGAGCAAGATTTTTATACTTAATAGCTAATAGCAGGTTTAATCTGTTTGTAAAATTGTTGAATATTTTGACCTTTTTTCTTTATGCTGTGACATTAAATATTAAAGGATAAAAGGAAATTTCCATTTGTTTTGGCTAAAGTTTTATTTACAGTAAAGTTATACATTTTATGCAAAATTAGGCATATCTTGTGGGTCATCTTCAAGACCGATTTCTTGAAGGAGGTGAACCTTTGTTTTGGGATAGCCTTCGAGTATTTGATATACAATGTCCATGCAGACACGTTTTCTTTTTCTGTAGTCACCGACGACCGTGGATTTCCTCTTGCGTACAATTTCAAGCTCTTTTGGGTCTACGGTCTCAGGAGTCTTTTCCTCATTTATGTACTCTTCCAGCTTCTCCCTGAGCCTGTTGTTCGTTTCGACAAGCTGGGCGTTGCGCCTTTCGATCTCCTCCGTCGTATCTGAGGAAAGGAGAGATCGTAGGTATAATTTCTCTTTATCGGACTCCTTCTCCAATTCGGCGAGGGTTGACATGAGCGTTTCAATCCTGCAAGACAGGTCGACCCCAGGCTCCTTAGCTTCTTCTGTCTGCCTGACACAATAAATCTTAGACTTGCCATATGTTTTCTCAAATAGGACGTTCTCCTTGACGAGCTCGTCTAGGCATTTTTGGACGGCAGACTTGGATGCTTCCTTACCGAGAGATTGTTGGACGTCATTAGTGGAGTAGGGTCTATTCCCTCTCTGCATAAACTCTTTGACTTTATTCTGGACCGACATCTCAGACATAAATCATGTTTTGTTCTATTAAACAAAAATGTACATTATATCAAATAATAATTTGATTGAATCCAATCAAATCAATCTTCCCTTAACATTAATATTAAACTCTACTAACATTTTACTATTTGGTAAAGATTATTTGTACAATGGAATAAATAAATACCTTGGATGTAATTATTAAAAACTACAATATTGTGCATGACAATCACATAACATCGAACTTGAACATGTTGGAACGATTAATGAACACGAAAACAATTTGGGAGGTTACAGTAGAATTGTCATCGCTGATACAAAATGTGTGATACACGTCGGAAATTGTGAGTTTATAAGTTAAAGATTTGTGTGATGACGGGATGGGGACGTACGAAGATTGGCCGTGGCAATACAATTTCCCACCTTTCTTTACAATCCAGCCGAATTTGACGACGAGAAAACTCCAGTTGTCTGCTTGGTGCGACCTAGTGCTCAAATACCACAGATACCAGAATCAGTATGTGCTGGATATGCGTGAGGCGCAGGGCAGCCCTCTGTTCAGCAATAAAACGCTCAAGCGGACCCTGCCGGCAGAAGGGATAGCGCAGGTGCTCGCATCCCTGCAGGCCTCGAGCAATGCAGAGCCACTCGACAAGTCCAAGAACCGCTGGTACATCTACTGGCACACTCTGGACGAGTGGGCAGCCCTCATTTATGGCTGGGCGGAGGAGACCGGACAGCTCGGCGCAGTCTGCACCTTCTACGAAATAGCCAATGTACCCGATCAGGAGTTCTTCGGCATCGACACAGAAGTACTGAAGAAAGCGCTGAAAGTACTCGAGAGCAAAAAGAAAGCGGAGATTATCTCCTTCGAAGACAACAACGGCGTGAAATTCTTTTAATCATTATGTCCTAGCATAAACTATCACGAAAATTTTTCTAGAGCGCCAATGAAACTGTGCACATCAATCAGCCCAAGTGACAATCCATGATAAACCAAAGACAATAAAACACACTTGTTAAATTTATTTTAAATTTAAAGCTGGCTGTTGATATTTTTAATTTTAAAATATTGCTATTCTCGAAAGAAAAAAAACTGTTTTCAGTTTGTACAAATATATATTAATATATATATAAATGTTTTTGTTTCTCACAATAAAAGTGCATAATTTTACTAATCTTCCCCTTTATCCTTCTAACATCCTTTTAAAATCAAACTTTTCAAGAATGGTTGTTTGCATTGAAACTTACGAAAGTCCATACAGTTTGGACTTAATTGTATTATAACACTAGTAGGATTTAAGCCATAGTCTCAAGGACTTGCATTATACATGCATTTGATGAATTCAATATCAAAATCTTAATATTTAGTTTTAAATATAATTGTACATAATATTTACAATATTTACAGATGGGAAAATACTTTCTTTTTCCTTGAGTAACAACAATCCATTCTCATGCTCAAGAAATGGCTTTATGTCAGATGCCACGCCTACTTGCTCCCTGTAAGGGACCAAGGCATGGCATTCCTTGACCAAGTGTAATGCACTGAGCAATCTTTCTACAGTCGAATACCTACACTGGGATTGCCCCAAAAGCAGGAGTCTGTATTCACGCATTTTAAACCTTTGGCCTATCAACATGCAAAAGCTTTTCAGGCCATTGATGCCGCAACATTTTTTATTGCATTCTTTACTGATCGTACAGCGATATCAGGCCGATTTGCAGGACTCTGCCTGAAGGCAAGATGTCCCAGCTTTCACCGCCTTTCTGTACATTCAGGGTCCTCCAGCCCCATGTTCAGCTCCGACTCAACATATCTCTCTAATAAGAGAACGAGAGTCCACTAAGAATCTGTCACAAATATCCAAAACCAGGCTCAGGGAGAGATGGGCATAGCCTCAATCATTTCTAACACCCCGTGTGCATGCCAAATCACATATACCTCCAGCTTCCAATAATTGGATTAATAAAATTCTTCATCATTTTGATGAAGTGGTTAATTTTTAGTGTTACTGAATGATTTATTAGATAATAGCATTTCTGATCAATTAAGTTCCTTTAAAAAAGGAAAGTTCTTATACAGTTTATAAACTATTTCAGCTATGATGTTTGCGAAACAAACTCCCAAGAAGTTATCCATTGGTAGCGTTGTGCATTCGGAAGAAGAGATCCTAGAAACTTTGAGGCCAATTCTGGCGACTCACAGCGTAAATAAAAAATATATCAGATAAATAATTGATAAATATAAAATTTAATTGAATCAACAGGAAATCGAAATTTACAATGACATGTCGAACGACCCGACAAGGATTTCTGGGACGATTGTAACTTCGCAGATTGTGGAAGGCCGGCTCGTGGAGACTCGCTCCCACGCATCGCAAACAGTTTACACACCAGAATATGGCATACTACGAAGGATAAACAAAAACCTTTCTTACGACTATCCTCCAAAGCGAACACCCTCAGTGCGAACTCTAATTACAAATGGTAATAAAGAATCTAGTAATTTGCATATTTCTAAAAAAAATTCAATTTTTTTTTAGTTGAAATGGAGTCTGGGTTTATTACACATGGATATTTTGATTATATGCATCCTTGCCCTGAGCAAATATATTTGAAGGGTCTTCTTAAGGAGATCAGATACGATATGGACGTCAGTTTAATTCTAAGTTACCAAAAAAAACCTAAACTTATTTTTTGTTTTTATTTTTAAATTACAGTACTTGTTGAAGATTTCTGCGTTGCAACAAGAAGATTCATTGATTCCGACCGTGAATGTGGATTCGCTACCAATCTCACACCAGGAGTCTCTTGAATCAAGTTTATTGGAAGTCGTCGGCTATGAAGAAAACCCCAGCCAGCTTATGGCCAAGTCTGTTTCGATCCAGAGCAAGGGGACCAACACAGGAGCGTCTACGACTGAAGACAGCATTAATAATCATTTGGAAGAATGCCCCCTGGACAAACGGCCGGTAAGACGCCAGCAACACTTTTTTTTATAACATTTCCAGTTTCAACTCTGTTTCTATATTTTGTGATTTGACTATTCGAAAACTCACATGATGAATTTTAATTACACATGTTTAAATGTGTAAATTAAAATTTACAAGCCAGTAAATATTTTTCTCAGCAGTACGGTATTGAAAATTGTGAACTCCCTCACAGGACTCAAACTCTTTAATACCCATACTACAAAAATAAAACTACCCAGACACATTAAAAAAAAAAACATAAAATGTAACATAAAACATAAAAGGTAACATAAAATTATACGAACCTAGAGGAGCAGTTTGTAAAAAAGTTTAAAAAATAAAGCTAGACAAAAGAAAATTAACAAACAGGAAGCTAATGCAACAATAGAAAACTCAAAAATATCAGCCAAAATAATCTGTATTAAGAATATTACTTATATCTTTAAATTAATTGTTACTATCATAAAATCGAGCGCCCAAAAAAGTTAATGTGAAAGAATTTTGACAATCACTTTTGTATGAAAATTTTCAGCATTTATTTGCACAAAGCAGAATTTGTATGGAGTAACATTTTTATTTTATAGTGCCTTGTTTTAAATATTAATATAAATGTAATGTGTAATGTTATAATGATTCATTATAATAGTTAAAAAATAATGTATAGATAGAGAAAATTAAAATTTGTTTAAATAAGATGAGAATATATAAAAAATTAATTGATCAGATTATACAAAATAAATAAGTCAATAATTGTAAGGAAAAGTTTTCTTGTTAATTCTCCCAACTGAAATAAGCCTGGTCTTTCAGACTAGAATTTTTTATTTGGGTTGATACCTCCAGCTGATGTAATGGCAAGAGAATCCCTTAATTTGAACAAATTAAACAATAAATCGTAACTTTTTCCACACAGTTCAACGTTGAATGCCAAGACGAAGAATGCGGAATCATCGATGACCCTGATACGGAGATACCGATGGACGAGTACACTCTCGCTAGGCGTAAAATAGCTGCGCTCCCTCCTGAAAAACAGCTAAAGGTATCCTTCGAAGTAATGAAAAATAATGTAATTTCAAAAATTTAAAAAAAAAAAATTGCCAGGCTGCGGTCGATTATCTCAAAGACAGAGGTGATGCCCTCGGCGTGCTTCCGGCTATCGAGCAAGTACCGTGGCTGATCCGTTGGTATGAAATATACAGGGGCATAATGGTCGATCTAACAGCTGAAGACAAAGGTGAAACTCGCCCAAAATTGAATTTAAAAAAGTATTGATATTGTTTATTCTTTTAAAGATCAACTGATGGAGGATAGCATAAGAGTCTGGGACACGCCGTACTTCAAAGTAACACATATACCAATCCCAGAAATCCCCATGAAGAAAGTCGTAACATGGGATAGAATTAAGGAAGTCAAGGAAAAGGTAGTAATCAATTTATCTTAATGTATCATATTTTACGTTTTAATATTTTTTCTTTTTTAGGCAGCACAGCTGAATCTCAAATATCAGCGCAAGGTGCGCCAGCAGATGGTGACCAATGCGAGGAACGCCTTCCAATCGATGAAGGTCGAGTACTTCAAGTCGCCGCTGAACCAATCTTTCAGGAGGACATATTTTGACTATGAGCCGTCCAAAGAAGCCGATTGTTTGACGATCAAGCCTTGGAAAGCGTCGGAGAAACACAACAAAGAGGACGGGCCAGAATTCAAGCAATGCGGGTCTTGCAAAAGACAACGCCTTCTCCAGGTGTAACGACGTACGGTTGGTCATTTTATATTTTTAATTATTCGTTTAAACATGTAAATATATTTATAAATAAGTCTTAAGTATTTAAACTTTTTAATTTGTGATTTCATTTTTCTTCCAAATTCCATTTTATAAGAATCGAAAAACAAAAATTTCAATTAATGGTTTTGCCTCTATCGCAAGCAAAATTTAAATTTAATTTTGAAGAAAAACAAAAGTTCCTTTGTTTGTAAAGAAAATAGGTAGGATAAATAAGACGTCCATAATGCTTATCACAGTTGTTATTATTCAATCGCAGTGTTTTTTATCCAAAAAAGAACCAAAATTAAAACTAAAAAAGATCCAAAACTGTGAACCCTACATTAAAAAAATTAATAAATGTACATAAAAAATGTTAAAACTACTTGGTTGTTGTTGTTTTATTTTTTCCGTAGGACACACTCTTTTAAGAAATTCAATATGATAAAATTTCAACAACTGTTTTTTGTTTGTTTTTTTCTCAAAAATTTATTTAAAAAATTTTATTTTTTGGCAGTATTTCTAATTTTTTTCCACAATATACACATAAATAGAAAAAAAAGTACAGATTACTAACAAAAATAGTCATTAGATTAATAAAACAAAGTAAACAATAAAGAGTTATTTGTTTAAAAAAATTATTGTGACCGGTTTAAATCTGAAAAAAGATCCTTATTAAAAAAACAAATATGTGTGATTATTTCAATTAAAAAATCATAATAATAAAGAATAGAAAGAAAAGAAGACTAGTAAAAGTTTTATTAAAGGTTAATCTGAATTTGTTGTATAATCAATGTGCAAATTGTCCAGGAAAAAACAGATTGATAATTAACATTTACTTCTGAGATCTTTCAGTAGAAAAAAATGGGAAAAAAATATCTGAAATAATTAAAAATCTAACACAGACAATGGGGCAAATACCTCATATTTACATTTATGTTATTTACAGATTTAAAAAAATCATAGGACAAATTATTATTTTTGTATGGAAGTAATTACAGTTTTTTTTTCTTTTTCATAATAATTATTTAATACAACAAGTGTACAGCTTATTTACACACTAATATATATATGTACAATATTAATTTAATGTTCCACGGCAACCCTGTGCACCACAGAGACAAGGTATTTTCACGTCCTCTATCGGGAACTTGTAATCGTAAGTTATCTCCTCGTTCACACTGATTTGCTGTTTTGAATAAATGACAATTTTTTTCTGGTTGTCTATCGTTATTATCTTGGCGTAACAGTTAGGGTTGCAGGAATGGTTTATAAACCTAGCCAGGTTGCCGCATTTAGTGGCATCTATTATCGTTTCCGTGTCGATTCTAAAGAGATAAGAGGATCCGATTCCAGTCGCTTCATAATGCCTTTCTCTCAAATCTGCGACTACTGGGCGTACCATTTGGCCCACATACTCTATGACCATCTCGTCAGCCGCGATAGGCTCCATGGCGAATAGGCCCCAATCGTGGATAGAAGATTTGGCAAATTTCAGCTGCTTCTTTCTAAACTTGAGCACGTTGAATTTTAGCAGATCGCTTTCCGTTTCGCCAAACGCAGTCAAAAGACGCCTTTGGTTACTCCTGGCTTCTCTTGAAATTGCAACCATCTTTCCGGTTGTAGTGAGAGTAGCCTCTTCTGGCTCCATCAAACTCGAAGCTATCGACTGATGATGGTCTATTCTTATTTTCTGTTTTGAATCCATTTTGTAGAAACCTTCGGTCCTCGCAGAGCCTGAGGAGTGGGGTTCTTTTTCTTCCCTCCGTCTTCGTTTTGACGGTATAACTACGTCAGTGCAAGGATGATCGACCCAGTGAGTATCATGTAGCCAATAGTTCATTCTAATGCCATCATTGTCATTCAACAATTGATTAAAAGATGTTTTCAAAAACTTGATATCTTCATAATCAATCCCTTTTGTGAGGAATTCGTATAATATGTTCATTTCACTTAGAATATCTCTCTGTTCATATCTTCTTATTGATTTAACAGCTTCTCTCTTAGGAGATTTTGGTTTTTCATATTTTTCATGTTTCTCATGTTTTTCATGTTTCTCGTGTTTCTCATGTTTTTCGTGTTTTTCATGTTTTCTAATTCTATTTTCATGTATGGGCATTAATGGTTGTTTCCTTCTGTCTAAATAGCCATGATCGTGATCGATATATTCTTGAGACACAATTTCACTAGGACACTCTGTTGGTCGACAGTAAGAATGTTCCATAGCGATGTGCCCGCTGAACTCTTCGGGCTCTTGTTCGTCCATTTTAACCACCTTTTCCGCTTCGGTCGGTGGGGGTGGCAAAGATTGCGGTTCGTCTTCGGTCTCTTCTGCGGATTGTGTTTCCTCGTCACTGATAAATTTAGGAGACTGGACCTCAGATACATCGGCAAAACTTTCGGTATCGGCTTCTCGGATTGGAGTTGCGTACCCTTCAGGAGTCTTGGCTTCTTTGAAATCATCAAAATCGAGTAAATCGAGGCAACTCCTACCCGAAGTCGCTGACTCACTCGATGAATCGTCTTCACTCGAACTGCTTGAGCTATCACTTGAAGACGAAGAACTCGATTCTGAAGATGAGGACGATGAAGAACTACTAGAGACGACCCGTTTCCTTGAAATGATCTTTTCTTCTTCAGGAGGTATCTGGAGTTCAGCATCGCTGTCGTTATCAGAATGGTGTACAATTTCTTCTTGGTCACTGGCATTACCCTGTTCAGATTCTTCATCGTATCTCGGAGACGGAGGCTTTCTTTTTCTCCTGAACGAAGGAAGTTTAGGGAGAGCTGCACGGAAGCCTAAACCAAACGAGCCAAGTGACATTGGGTCCAAAGCTTCCATTCCCGAATCCAAAATTGAAGTCAAAATATTCGGAGCAGGCTTCTCGGGCTCATTCTGTCCCGTTCTCTCCTTAGATCTCCTTTCGGACTCGTCCCACCACTTTTCAAAAGCTTTAAACGCCGTATTCTCCACCATTTTCTTGTTAAAATCCCTTTTCAAAATTTGTTTCAACTCTTGCGTTATCTTTTCGACAACAGATTTTATAGTGGCATCATGAGGGGAGGACGGCTCTTTAGATTTTTGCTGTTGGAAGGGTATGTAGCCAGGAGGTGGGTAGCTCATCATAGAACGTATGTGAGGTTGAAAATTATAAGGGTGGAAGGAACCAAAAAACTGCGAGTAATGATGCCTCCACGGCATAAAGATGTCACTGGCAAATAGATTGTTCTGTGAAAAATAATGTGATGTAAAACCGTTAAATCCGGACTGCAAGACTTCAGTCGTTGGTTTCATTTCTTCAATCTTTTGCTCTCCTGAACTCAAGCTGGACAAACTCATCCTATCATCCTCGTCGGCTTTATTAATCATGCTTTCAGGCGTTGGAGGTTTTGATTCTTTTCCTGCTAAAATATCATCCTCACTAGAAGATATTTCACTGTGCAAAGAGCTGTCTTTCAACATTTTTGACTGTTTTTCCAAAAGAGCAGTCGTCTCCATCATTTCCATCTGTTTTAATAATTTTGACTTTTCAACAGCCTTCTGATGACACTCTAAATAAGTTTCTAATGATAAAAATGGTGAAGGAGGTGTTGAGAGGGGTTGGTCATTCTCGTCGGGAGACTGATTTGTACTTTCTGGGCCTGACATTTTACTTGCGATATAATTTTCTGTCTCGAGTGAAAGCCGTTTTGGTCTCAACGGGTCCAAGTCGGGTTCATCCTCGTCAGACTCATTGTTTATTATCTGCAGGAACGGTGGGTTGGGACCACTAACGGATTTTCCTTTGAGGATGAGTTCTATTCTCGTATCAAGGTCCATTTGCTTGCTTTCTACCGGGCTCGACTCTTTCTTTTTAGGTTTTTCAGGCTCTTTGGTCGTGGGTTCAGGCCACATAGGAGTAGGCGGGGCGCTGGTGGGCAATGGAGGGGCCACCGGTTGGCGCACGTCCCACGTGGCTGGAATCTGAGGATGGTGATTGTCAGGCCAGACCCACTGTGCCGCTATTGGAGCCAAGTGTTGGTAATATGATGTATGTTGAGCATAATGATTGTACTGTTCATAAGTCATCTGTGCTGCTCCGGTGGAATAATAATCCTTGGGTGTGTGATAACTTGGAGTGTGATAATTTCTCGGGATAACTGCCTCTAGAGCCGATTGACCGTAATCACTATATTCCTTTTCTTCTTTTTTCATATCTTCCTCTTTTTTCACCTTTTTCTCTTCTATTTTCACAGGTGGGGGTGGTAGTGGTGGAGGTTCCTCGACCTTTTTCTTCTCTATAGTCATGTTGTCAAACAACTTCTGACATTCATTTCCAAAAGGGTCTAAAAAAACTTTGACAACTTTACCCATGACAGAAGTGTCATTAAGTTTTTCAATGCACAATTTCGCCCCTTTGACTGTCTCGAAGGTTATTTTGGCAAGGCCGAGATGCCTTTTTGTCACCGGGTGGTAATATATGTTCACCTCTTCGGGTACTCCATATTTCTGAACGATCTCTGTGAGGAAGCTATTGTTGATGTTGTCGTTGAGGTTGCACATCGTGATCTCGACAGGAGGTGGGACACCGATGTAATTCTCATCGATCCTAAACCTAGGGACCGGGAGGTCCATCGTCTCCATCCTGGCCCATATCCGTGAGAGGTGGGATCTAGGGTCACGGACTTGGACCTGCGAGAACACGGTGTCATTCGGATTCTGACCGTCATACCTGTAAAGCTTGGTGCCACCTTTCACGAGAACAGGGTCGACGAGCAGTTTCCAGCTCTTCGCCTTCTGAGCCGGTGGCAGCGGCGGTTGGGGAGAAGGCGGTGTAGAAGGTGGCGGTGGAGGTGGAGGGGGAGGAGGAGGCGGCGGCTGGTGATGGTGGTGGTTCTGATGATGGTGGTGGTTGTGGTGACGATGGTGGTGGTGGCGATGATGATGGTGATGGTTTGACGAACTGCTCCCACGGTGGTTCCGTGGTGCGAGGTCCATAACTTGTTTCACTTGCCAGAATTGTTGTTAGCCCTCCGGTCAATCAAAATCAATCATAACCCTTAATCCATAATCCGCTCTGCTACGGGACAAAAATCAAATTTCAAAATAACACTAGGAAAACAATTATTAACTTGTCTTAATCACCTTCTATCGCGGTTTTCTTTGATATTCTGATTCCCCCATTATTTCGTCAGCGATCTCGTGTGGGCCAACACGAGTCAGTACTCTCATAATCCGCAGTTAGCTGACCATCTTACGAATTGGCTGGAAAAGAAAACATTATACTGAGCATCAAGAAAAGTAAAATCACATGTTAACACATTCTTTGAAACCTTCCTCTAACATTTTTATACTAAAAATGCACTGGAGAGAACAAAATTTTCTTTAACAAAGCATTTTATTTTTTATTTTAACGATGATTATGATGTTGAAATCATTTCAAATGGTTATTATCACTATTAGTCTTTTCTCTGTCAATTATTTTTTTCTAATATAGTTCTTCTTAAAATGTCTGTTTCAGAATAAGAAAACAGCTGAACGTGATGTCTTTTATAATTGTTTCAATAAACACACTTCATTGACAAAACTGTGTTTTAAATTATAAATTTTCTTCTTTGGCTGTTCACAAATTAACTTGAACAATTGAATTGATTGTTGCAGTAAATTTATTATCCTTCATTTATTTATTCCATTGTGGATACTTTGGATTATATTGTTTTATCAGGCCAGATGAGGCAGAACTTTTTATATTAACTACCTATTTTCTGAGATGGCCTGATAAATAAAAAATAATAATAATATAAGGTAACATTATTTATTCTAACTGTACAATATACTTGTATTTCATTCCAGTGATATGTTTAGAAATAATAAAATACACAAAATACTTAGTCAATTGGGGACTGCAGTGGCTGAGTGGTTTGGGCATTTGCCAAGCTAGTAGTCATGGGTTCGAATCCCAGTAAAATTCATAGATTTTTATTTGAGAATAATATAAAAGAAATATTGGAAAGTTGTTTGACCCCTCGTCTGCAACACCCAACGGGTAAGCCCTCCTGTACAACAGGAATTACTTTATTTTTTTATTTAGTTAATGTTTGACTTTACCCAATGAAAATAATTCAAATAGAAAAAATTTCAGCTGTTCGATTTATATCCACACTTTTTTAAATTAATTAATTCAATCAAATTGAATTATACAAAATCTTTATTGTTACTATTTTTTGTCCATTCTGTGAGAATTCTATATTTATTTTTGTAATCCCAAGTATAGAATCAGGGCCTATTATGGTCCTGCAGATCATCCTTAGGTCAATGGGTCTGCTTTTTTCATTACACAAAATTCCTTTGTGTCCTGACACCCAAGAAATCATCAGGTTGTTGTTTCTCCAGGTTTTCGAGATTTTGTATGCATTTACTTATTAGTTTTTAAATTTTTTTTTTACACACTACTGCTTTAATAGCTGCTTAGCTGTCCAACTTATGAGGATTTTTTTGCCAGTGTAACACTTTTAAAGATTTTCCAAGGCACAATCACTGATGGTACATTATTTCAGCTTGACAGAGTGCTTCTCTAATGAATTTGATTGTTTTGGACTTGTACAAAAAAACACCAGATCCGGTTCATTCGTTTGTTCTGGAGGAGAAAAAAAAAAGAGAGAAAGAGAGAGAGAGAGTGAGAGAGTGAAAGAGNGAGAGAGAGAGAGAGAGAGAGAGAGAGAGAGAGAGAGAGAGAGAGAGTCGATAAACTCTAGGGATGCTAGATAGAGTAAATTTATGCTAAAACAACCATCACCAATACTGGCAAATTCGTCGCAGTAATTGGAAAGGGCCAGACTCAGAGGAGTGACAGGCCTATTAACCAGTCACCAGGCATCTACGGGCATATTAAACGATGATATAATTTGCAGATTATGCAAAGAGGAAGAAACAGTCACCCATATCATCTTCAAATGCCAAGCAACAGCTCAATAGACATAACCTAGGATGCAAAAACCCAGTAATGAAATTTCTAAGAAGGATTTGAGTTGATTACAATGAATTAGGGAATTAGGAAGGTACAATAAGCCAGAAGGTTCCTTCTACTTCCTAATATCCATCATCATCTATTAAACATAACATTCCTTTTTACTGATTTTGTAAATAATAATTATGAATATCTTTCTACTGTTGTCTTACAGCAAACGACACCTTCAGATGTACTTTAATGGACCAACACCTGAAGTATGGTAAGAATGTTTGCCTTTTTTGAAAGGGTTCAAGGCAGCAATGAGTTTTGCTGGGATCATCACTATCTCTATTGCTAATTCAGCTTTATCTGTTAAAGTTGATGTTCCATCATGATGTTTGCCAACTGATGTTCCAAGCTTTGTTGTAGACAGTAAATATTCTGCCTTGTACCAAATATTTTGTAAAAATTTTATTTCAGAAAGCGCACAAATGGTTGTGACAAAAAATGCATACAAGTGATCAAATAGATGTTTTGGCAATTTTCCAGTTTATAATACTATTGCATATAAACACAAGTATACTGTAATTGTATTTTTTATAAAATATCTGTATATTAGAAGTGATAACAGAATTATCGGATCTGTTCATACGCCAGGACTATGTGATTTCTGTAATGCTGTTCATTTGAGTTTAATTAGGGTTCTATTACTTTCAAGTCTGCCTTTGCTGGGTTTTTTATGTGTATATATATTTTTTAAACTTTAAAATGTCATATTTATTAAGATATTTAGTTAGAATAATTTTTTTGTCATTAAATAAAGGCGAGGTTTCAAACAGGCAGGTTATATACGAATATTTTGGTGGGTTTGTTGAGAAAGGAAAATTCGCCCGTGCCCAGGGGGTGAAAGCGCGACGGCCAAGTCCGTGGTCCGTGTAGCTTCGCTGCGTCGCGGTCCTGCTTCCAGACGGAAACGCCAATTCGCCAGGCCCACGGCTCCCCCCAGGGCGGCGATGCTGGATCGTCCTATCTTCGAAATGGCAAAAGGGATTCAGTTCAGCCTCGTCCCAATGACTTGAAGTCACAAAAGCTCTGTAAAACTTCTATTGTTGTTAAACAAACAACTTAACAACCATATAAAGTTCCGAAAAATCCCGAGGTTATGGTTTTTTTTTTTTAAGTAAATAAAAGTTGTTTTGTCTTCCTTGAATTTGATAACAGGTTTACAATAAGGATGTGGGGAAGATTTTGACTTGAAATATGTATGTAAAAAAAAAACATGAGACTCTTAGGTAAATAAGTCGTCGTAGTCCGGCAGATGCTTACCTGGGGGGAATCTTCTGCCCGGGAAGTCGGCTGAGCTGGTCGTACAGCAAAAATCGGACAGATTATGTTGTATAACGATAATAATAATAATAAACGGGGGGTGTAAAAAGGGATTTCGTAGGTGAAAAAGGCCTTATTGGGGGCAGCGCGACTGCCCTGCTCTCTGACTCTCGAAGTCTCGACTGCTGCGGCCTTTTCGTAGTTTGAAACGGCCGGCGAGAGCTAAAGACGTGTCGGCTCGGACGGGAGAGACCGAAATCCCACGATCGCGACAAAGAACGGGCACGTCCTATCAAGCAACATTTCCAACCGCGCATTTACAAATAATTTATTTTAAAACAACTACAAAATATATATTATTTGATTTTTGATTGACAGTTTTTAAATCAATGGCCAGAAACACTGTTTGAACGAACTGCTTATGATTTTATCTAAAACTTCAATAGAAACACCCACAAATCAGGCCTTTTTAAAACTAGATAGTAGAACGTAGAATCTTTTCCCCTTGTTCTTCATTTGTAGTCCTAAATTTCTCATTTTAGCATTCTTTATTGTACCGATTTCTGCTAAAGGATTTCCTAACTTTCCGTTTCTTTTACGCGGTAAAGAATTCTCAAGAGTATGGTAACTAGTTCTATATGGCTCAGAAAGAGCTTTCCCAGGCATTACATTCTTTTCCTAGCTATTGGCATGTTCTATCGATATATATTAAAATTAGCATATATTAGTTTTATGAGTTTTACTTATTCCCTTATGTTGTCGTCGAAATCCAAACAGTGGAAGCTCATGTCACAAGTGAAAGCTCTAGTCGGGCAAACCTTCACAGCTGGAGAGGTTGAAAAATTTCTATCAAGTAAAATATATAAAAAATTTAACAATGACAGATTCCTATTCAGAACATCAGTTATAAAACTTAAAAAAACTAATAGACAGACAAAAAACAGACCTGGAAATCCGAACGGATTCGGTGAGAAAAACGACTGAAATTCTGGATACGACGAAGTTGGAAGGAAGGAGATGATAGGTTCGTGGAACTGCTGAAACGATGATACGAGGTGCTTTCCAGATTCTGGAGAGGACTTTCGACTCCGGTCGCAGCCCCCTGCCCAACACCTTCCACTGGTTGCAGCAATCAGCACCCAAGTTTTCCATCAACGGCGATCAGGTATAACGAAAGTGTAATAACTAAAACTCATCTTGTAATGATTTCAGGCTTTCTGACCGTTCTTTCGGTCTTAAAGTGAACAAATCTTGTACGTTTCATTCCGGCTTTGAGGCAGAAATTGCTGACTTCTACATAATTTATCACAATCAAGTTCAATAGTGATATTGCTTCTGGGTTGTGTAATTCTTTTTATTTTGCAATGAAATCCACTTGACATGGGCTGTCAATACTGTGTGATGCAGTGCATGGATTTTTTTTAAATTCTCCATTGATAGAAAAATATGCTTTCATGTGCAGTCAGGATTTTATGTCCTTCTCTCTTTGGCCTCCCTGACAATAGACTGCTACTCTGCTCTATTAGAAATTGCCCTTGTTTAGGGAAGAGGCTGATAAATAGGCCAAAGAAAGTTTGATGAGGACGTCTACTAGCTAGTTATTCAGATATCGTGAGATGCGGTCGGGTGTGATGTAGGTTTCAGAAAAACATTTTCTTTATCGTGCCAACGTTCTCTCAACACGACACGCAAGGATGGCATAATTACACAGAAGACAAACACTGAGCCCTGAAGATGATCTCAATAAAAGATCGAAACATTGGCACGATAAAGAAAATGTTTTTCTGAAACCTACATCACACCCGACCGCATCTCATGATATCTGAATAACTTTCGATTAACGCTCACTAATCTCTACACTCCTACTAGCCTTGAACCCTTTTGTAACTGCCTTGTGCCAAACTGCCAATAACACGTATCCATTAGACAATGGATTAATTAGTCCTCTGCTCAATGGGAATGTAGCCCGGGACAGAGCCATGTGAAAAAGTTTATCAAAAAACCATCACAGAAACTTAACAGTAGAACCATTAAATCTAGGACTACAATAATAGACTGCTAACTGGGCACTGCAGACTCTGGAGGCATATGTATAGACTCGGGGTGCCAGAAACAAACCTGAGATATTGCCAAGAAGAGGAAGAAACAGCGGAACACGTCCTCTTTTGGTGTGGAGGCCTGTAGGCTGGGATTCCTAATCCTGAGAAAGGAAAAGGAAACTTGAAAACGCTTTGGGGTCTAGTAAAAAGCCTTAAGCTTAAAGAGGAACTCTAGATAAAAATGGAGACGCACAATAGACCAATATTGGTCATGGTGCACAGGTCGTAAAAACTGACTCCTAAATAGTATAATATAATCTGCTCTATTATTGGTTATTGTTCTCTACCTCCTGACTCTTAACTTTCTAAGAACCTTGATGTCATCGCCCACTTCCCTAGAGCTTCTTCTAAGATGCCTTCTACCTGGATGTCCCTGTATTTTTGAAAAATCTTGCTTTCATCCTGGTTAAATGTCCCTCCCATTGCAGTCTTCCGGACTTCATTACAGCCACTAAATCAGGTTCTTTATAAAGCTGCATCATTTCTGCATTCATTCTTTTTTTCCATTTGTGATATTTCCTCATGTGGTCTGCAGTATGATGAACTTGCAATTTGATTTTTACTGATGATTTAGGTCTGCCTGTCCTTGCTTTGTTTCAGTATTTTGTCGTCTTCATTGGGTCACACAGGCCTCAGACACACTGAAGATGGCAAAATGCCAAATCGCATTTGACAAACCAACCCAGTGAGGTTAAAAGGTTCAAAATGATTGGTACTGGTCAAATTGCAATACACTTATTTATCGTATTAATGTTATTTAATGAAATTAAGGCAAATTTTCAGATTCAATAATCTAAAATTTTTCCACAGGTGTCAGTACTACATCAGCCTGAAGATTTCTACAGAACGATTCTCAAAGAGTGTAAAAATGCCAAAGAGAGAATTATGCTCGCTTCACTTTACGTTGGTACCGGCGCTCTTGAAAAAAAACTTGTAAATATCATCCTTTATTTCTCTCTTTCTAATTATTAAACAAAATATATAATTTTTGTCTTGAATATTTGTGAATTGTTAGGTTGAAACGATTGGAACCAGGCTGAAAGAAGAGATCGGATTGAAAGTCAACATTTTGATCGATGCGAATCGGGGCTCGAGGGGAAAAGTCAATTCCAGGCAGATGCTTATTCCACTTCTGAAAAAATCCGATAGGCAATGCCAAGTCAGAATTTGCCCGATTTTTTGACTGAAATAGTAGTTTCCCTTTTGTAATTTCTGTGTCTGCAGGTGTCTTTATTCCACACACCATTGCTCCGCGGGCCTCTTAAATACATTCTACCACAACGGTACAACGAGCTCGTCGGACTTCAGCACATGAAACTGTACCTATTTGACAATTCAGTGCTCATAACCGGGTTAGATCATCTATCCATCTGTTTTTCACTCTAATTTAAAGTTCTTGAACAAACAATAACGCTTAAAGATTTTTTAATCGTCTTTTTAATTATTTTAATTCTGTTAGATAGAGCCAACCTTAGTGAAGATTATTTTACAAATCGCCAGGACAGGTATATCATGATCAAAGACTGTAAACCGCTCGCTGATTTTTACTGGGGGCTTGTCAAAAGGATATCCTCGGTTTCTTTTGCCCTGGATAAATTCGACACTATAACCCCAAGGTACAAATAAATAAATAAATACAAAATGTGTAAGCATTTTAATAGTATTGATATTTAGGTCATTTCATCCTTACAAATCAGACCAACAAATGTATATCAGAGAGGCAAGAGAAAAAATCTGGAGCTATTACAAATCGTCTGTACAGCATACTGAAACCGATCCAAGTAATATTAAAATCTTTCATTTAAAAAGATAACAAACAAATGATAAATGAATTTATTTAGATCATGACACATGGATATACCCGCTTCTCGAGCTGCCCCCTCTGGGCGTTCATCAGGATTCGAACATGACAAAAAAACTGTTGGAATCAGCTGAAGAAGGCAGCGTACTTACTTTATCCACCGGTTATTTCAACCTCACAGAGCAATATTCGGACACGATAGTGAACAAATCCAAGGGCAATTTCCTTATCATTATGGCCCACCCTACAGTAAGTTTTCGTTCCATTGTTACAAAATGTGTAAGCATTTTAATAATATTTATATTTAGGTCATTTCATCCTTACAAATCAGACCCAACAAATTTATATCAGAGAGGCAAGAGAAATTTTTAATTAAGTTCACTATTTTTGTGGTCCGCTTGACCAATTAATACTTTACAATTACTTAAGGTTTTTAGTTGAGATGAAAAAAAAGCTAATGGCACGAGAGGGATTCGAACCCACGACCTTCGGCTTGATACGCCGCTGCTCTACTACCTGAGCTATCGTGGCCTCGATCCACTCGGACACCAACTCCCCATCTCAACCACATCTTATGAGTTTTCCCTCCTTTTGCCATTTTTCAAATGTCATGTAATCGGTTTGGATTCTCGACGACAATTGAAATGGCGATGGAGAGCTTTAGTGAAGTGTACTTCATTTTAATTCATTAAATTCACTATTTTCGTGGTCCGCTTGACCAATTAATACGTTACAATTAATTAAGGTTTTTAGTTGAGATGAAAAAAAAGCTAATGGCACGAGAGGGATTCGAACCCACGACCTTCGGCTTGATACGCCGCTGCTCTACCACCTGAGCTATCGTGACCTCGATCCACTCGGACACCAACTCCCCATCTCAACCATTCTCTCGTGCCATTAGCTTTTTTTTCATCTCAACTAAAAACCTTAATTAATTGTAACATATTTATTGGTCAAGCGGACCTCGAAAATAGTGAATTTAATGAATTAAAATGAAGTACACTTCACTAAAGCTCTCCGTCGCCATTTCAATTGTCGTCGAGTATCGAAACCGATTACACATTTGAAAAATGGCAAAAGGAGGGAAAACTCATAAGGTGTGGTTGAGATGGGGAGTTGGTGTCCGAGTGGATCGAGGTCACGATAGCTCAGGTGGTAGAGCAGCGGCGTATCAAGCCGAAGGTCGTGGGTTCGAATCCCTCTCGTGCCATTAGCTTTTTTTTCATCTCAACTAAAAACCTTAATTAATTTTTAATTAAGAATAGCCTGTCTTGCTTTTATCATTTTCCATATTCTTTTGGCCAAAAAAAAGCTCTAATAGTTTTTTAAAATAATTAATTGTTCAAAATAAAATAAAAATGTGTGGTGTTTAGTGTAACGGTTAATTAATGATTATTTGGACATCGTGAGATGTGGTCTGGTGTGACGTAGGTTTGGAAAAACATTTTCTTTATCGTGCCGGTCATAAATCTTTTTACTACAAGAACATAAAAATATGCAAACATATCCTACATAACAATCACAACCCTAAACACATAATCAACAATTACAACTCAACACTAACACCATCTGCTATTACTAATAATCCTATATTAAATCTATCAAATACAAACAAACCAATATACATATCCATGCCATTCATTCATGGCCTATCACATAAATTAAACAGATTTTTCTTTTCTGCTAACTTTAAAATAGCCTTGAAAAACAATACTTGAAACAACACTTTTTTCCAAAATTAAAAATCCCACACCAGTAATAAATAAATCTGATGTAATTTACAAATCAATTGTTTAAATTGTCCAGCAACTTACATCTGTATTACATCCCAATTTCTGGATAAGAGAGTAAAGCAACATATCTATGATTGCAAAAAAACCAAACAAAATCCTACAGCACTTGTTACCCACCATCTTGAACACCAACACAATTTCGACTTCAACAATCTAAAAATATTACACACAGAACAAAACATAAACGTAACTTTTTAGAAATGGTTTACATCAACTGAGATAAACCCAGCATCAATTACAGAACAGACACATTAATGAAATTTAATATCAATAATATACATATATCATCATCTCATCACACATAACATATAAAACAATCATTACTTTCCTCACATCAAACATTTCTACATAGTCTAATTCTTCAACAATTGGCTTTCGTTTCCCTAATTATCCCCGGCTGTATAATCCTGAAAGGATAAGCAGACCGAATCATTACCCATTTTTTCCCATTGTGGGCTCCTTTCACATCAAACAAGCCGATTCCTCACATAAAAATATTTTTCTATCCTTGTTTCCTTCCGTACCCCTTCAAAATCCAACGTATATAAACATAAAACTTAGAAATACTTTGGTTGAGTCTAAAATTTCTAGCATTGTATAAATTCATTTTTTCACATTCTACAGGTATTTGTATAATTTCAACAATGTTTATAAATCCCAGGCCCTGGTTACTCAATAAAGATCGAAATGTTGGCACAATAAAGAAAACGTTTTTCTAAACCTATGTCAAAACGATATTTTTGCCCAAATCTGTAGGAAAATGCTTGAGACAAAAATCATGGGAAAAAGGGTGGCATTGTGTTGGGTGAAAGGGCTTGCAGGCTTATGGCATAATAAAACTGTGGACGCACTTGCAAAGGAGGCTGCAACATCAGGTCCAATCCTTGACATTAAAATTCCTAAAGATGACAGGAAAAACGTTTTGAAAAATTTTTATAGAAATCTGTGGCAATAAAAATACAACACATCAAATGTCGGCAATGATTACAGGTCACTGTTCCCTGAGCTCAAGAAAAAAACCATGGTTTTCGGAAGGCGATAGCCCAGAAGGAATGTCAAAGGAGTTCTATTCTACTATTTTTAGACTGAAGACAAATCATGGCCTATAGGGTAGGTACAAGAAGAGAATCGGTTTGGCATCGTCTCTGAACTGTCCCACTTGCGATTGCCCTTCAAATCCTTCCCATGTAATTTTCGAATGCCCAGAATACGAAAATGAAAGAGATAAACTGCTAAAAAATCTGAGCAAAGTCCCAAACATTTCCAAACCAATAAACTTAGAATCTGTTCTAATAAGCAACAATCCAGCAGCATTCAACAAAATCTATAGATGTCTAAAGTCAATAAATGTTACTTTTTGATTATCTTCAACCATTAAAATTTAGAAGATGATTGAGCTGGAGTGGGTGCGGCGGGGGCCTAGTCCTGGTCAGCCGATCCCGTTGCGGTGGACAGGGCGAGTTAGCCCCAGTTTCTTCGAGGACGTGGACTTTACCAAAATTATCTCGATGTTATTGGTTTTTATCCATGTCCTCCAAGGAAGGAGGACACTGAACAAATAGACGAAAGCGAAAAACCTTATGGGTCTTCCTCCTCTCCTGCCCTGGCAGGGGGGATATGGGCGGGGTTTTTCGCCGGGGGACTGGGCCCACGATCCCGCCCGACAGTAAAATTAAAATAGAAAACTTCATGGGTAATATGCCAGCGTAACCCCCACCCAAAAAAAAGCTGCATCACACCAGACTGCACTTCACAATCTACAAATAATCATAAGAATAAAACATGTGCAATTTGTTTGTTATTGCTGCACTCAGCACCTTGGCGTTGAATGTTATTTCCTTTGTAAGATCAAAACTTCATCCTACAAAATCCTTAAGTGCAAATACCAAAGATGATTGATTATGATAGTGGATGTGTGATACCCCATAGACACTAGCAGTCATGTTCCATTTGTGATATTAGATAAATAGTATTCTATTTTTTTTTTTTTTTTTTTAATATATATACTTAAAATAAAATGTAAAACTTTCTATACATAATTGATAGAATTTTTAGTTATTTAATGTTAATTTTAATTTGGGTCTAATTAGGCTAAAATTGTATATAATATCCAAATGAAAGTTAAAAACTTATTTTAATTAATTAATCTTTATGTAAGGTATTGGTTGAAATGAAAAAATTAGTGTCATGAGCGCGATTTGAACCCATGACCTTCGGCTAAATACACCGCTGATCTACTACTTGAGCTAGCGTGACTTCAATCCACTCGGACACCAACATCCCATCTCAACGTACCTTTTGAATTTTCCCTCCTTCTTGTCATTTTTAATGGATCAAAGTCATGATAGCTCAAATGGTAGAGCAGTGGCGTATTTAGCCGAAGGTCGTAGGTTCAAACCCTGCTCATGACACTAACTTTTTCATTTCAACTAATACCTTACATAAAGGTTAATTAATTGAAAGAAGTTATTTTATCAATTGGAGCATGAAATGTAATGTTTTTAAAAACTTATGTTTTTTTGTAGGCTAATGGGTTTTTAAAAGCAAGTGGTCTGGCGAGTGGTATCCCAGGGGCGTATACAGGCCTTGCACTTAGGTTCCTCAATATTGTATCCAATAACGACCAGAACCACCGCATATCAATGTGTGAGTATCGAAGGCCCGATTGGACCTATCATGCCAAAGGCCTTTGGTACACGTTGCGTGATGAACACTTGCCCTCTCTCACTTTAATCGGATCTTCAAACTTTGGTAAACGAATTCGGTCTCTCGTGGGAAAACAATCTCTACTGTCTGTTTTTCATTTCAGGATCTCGTTCGGTAAGGAGAGACATCGAAAACCAAATAGCCATCGTCACAGAGAATCAAGGTCTGAAAGCTCGTCTGAAAGAGGAAGAGGAATCTCTAAAGTCATTCACCACTCCTTTTACGATAGAAGTCGGACTCGAGCCGAACCGTAAACCGGCACTCTGGGTTTTAACAACCATGATATTATTTAAAGATTTCTTCTAAAAGAAAAAAGAATTTAGACAGATTAGAAACACATAATTGCCTCATTATTTTGTTTTGTAAATAAAGACAGTTAATTTACAGTCTGTGATATTTATTAAATTATTGTTTTGAATTTACAAAATTTTGTTTTTTCTTCCTTGTGTTATGCAATTTGTTTTTTTAAAGAGCCTATACTCACAATTGTACTGCAAGGCTCACCATGTACAGAACAATTTTCTTCCTATCATTACTACTTCAGGTATGTCAATTATATTTAATTTTAAAAAATTTAAATTAATTGCACCTTGTTAAAATACATGTGTAAAAATAATTATTTAAAAAATATTATTTTTATTCTAATTAGGTTTAAATTAATCAATTTCAGGTACTTACTCATCCAATAAATGAATCAACTGATATTAAAAATGTTGAGAAAACTTTGGCGCATACGTTAAATAATATTGTAGGTGGTTGTAAAGCGGATTCGCTCAACATTGACAAAAGTGAGTGGTCTAAAACGACTTTCCTTGTAGAATTGTTAAGCCTAACGAATTGTTTCTTTGTTTAGTAAAGATATGCACTGAGCTTATATCAAAAATGAAGGAATCCCCATGCCAAAATCCGGTCCTTCTCGCGTTCTGCGGCCTCCAGCCGTCCAAGGCCTGTCCGTACAGCCACCACTTGTTTGGTAAAAAGGGCCTCCCCGTGGCTGACATGTTCGGCTTCCAGCGTAAACCGAGCCTTTTGGATCCGTTGGGTCTAAGGCCTAAAACGTTCAACCCAATTATAACGAGGCAAAAGCAGAGACGCCTTTTTGAAGGTCTTCTCAGGTACCTTTACACAATCCACCATTTTAAGTTTACATCAATTAATCCTGTCTTACTTTAATATAGAATATTCCTTTTATAAATTTATGCGAATAGTATGCAAACATGTATAACTGGCCAAGATCTTTTTTTCTTTCTTTTTTAATGAATATCTTTGGCTAAACAACTTGGCTATTATTAAATTGTCCTAAATCCAGAAAGTTTCTTATGAAAAATTATTTAAAATAAAGTCACTTAACTATAATCTGCTTGCGTTGTATTTTTTACAACTATTGTTGTTGTGCAATATGTGAAAATGAATTTGTAAATTCATTTTTACAGCTGGGGCAGCGGAACGACCGCGTTGTCTGTACACACTTTAAAGCAAATAATTTCAGATGTTATTCATATAATGGCCAAGTTGGCGGAGGATACGATGAAAAGTTTTGATTGATATGTAAGTCTTACAGGACTACGAGAACGCGTCTTCTATTAACGACTGTACCGTTGCCTTTTTCAGATTTGCCACCCTTATTACGCAGATTGACGAGTTCATCACCGAAAAAGGGAAGCACATCATAAGCGGCTTAAACCGTATGGTCAATGGAGATTACTAAAGGCGATTCATTTTCTATTTATGTTTCTATAGATATGTATATTTTCTACTTTTTTGTAAATAAAACGTTTTAACATTCCGTTGGCTCTCTAGGCACTTTTTATTTTGTAGATTTATCGACCAACTTATGCAGATAATAATTCTCTTGGTTTTTATTAGGGATGTGTTACAACAATAATTTACTTTTTGTTTTATTTTACTTTTTCAATTTACTTAAAACTCTTTTGTTATCTGTGATATATCATTTCATAGTTGGAAAGGTGAAAAAGAAAGAGAACAGTTTTAGTTTTAATACGAAAATTTAAAATTATATACTTCTGACCGAAAATCAGTAAATACAAAAATGCGTAAATCATTCTAACATATTTTATGTTAATTTGGCCAAAATTAAAATGTATAATAAATACTTTTGTAGAGCCCTGAAGAAATTACAAAAAGTGCCGAAAGGTAGGTGAAGAATAATTTAAAATATTTTTCGTTGATCATATCCCTGATAACAACTGAGAGAACAGGTTTTTCTAAAACAAAATCTCAGATTTAGGAAATTTTTGTAAAAAAAAATTATTTACCTTATTATCAAAATGTAATTTCAAGTCAATAATATACAGTTTAAAAATATAGTACAAATAAGCAGAAAAAAGTATCAAAATTTTATGCAAAACTTTTTTTTTTGGTATCACAGTGAAAATTGCAAAGATTGTCTATTCATTATTACATAAGTCGTGATGACGATAGCAGCTGTTCCAAGTGTAGCCAGAGCTAAGTATCTACTCTTCTTCTTCTCTCCTTCTATCTAAACATAAAATTAATAATCAAACACGAGTGTACAAGTATTTATATGGGTCTATGCTAAAACATGAAAAGGTCCAAATTTGCTTTTTTCTTTAAGACCTTGATCCAAAAAGTTCTTAAGTGAAAACTAAAATAATTCTAAAACGTACTACTCTGCTCTTACAATGGAGAGAAAAATACAGCGAAACAACTCGGAATACAATTCAGTTGTTTTACTTTTTAACATAAAATATAGTTGTGGTAATTCGGTATTTACAATATTTCGATTTTCTATAACATTTTTGACATGAAACTTTGAAGCTGAGCAGCCATGCTCCCTAGATTTGTTAGGGAAATCTGAAGCACCAGAACTATCAGCATTATAGGTCATACTTTTCTTCTTGCCCGTCATCAAAATGTAATGAAAAAATCCAACATCCATGATACTATGCCCTAAAGCCAAAGAGGTGGAATTTGAAAATTGACTTCGTAACAACTATTGACAGCAGTTTCCTTCTTGTTAGTTGTCAACGAATTTAGAAAAAGTTTGTCCTCATGATGTAAGTCATTTTTACAAATATTATAATATATATATTATATATACTATGCAAATAATGTACCGCTTAAAGTTACGATCCCTTAATGCGCAGGAATGTTATGTTAAAACGATGTGTCGGTTATTGCAATAGTAAGTTATTCCAGGACCACATAAATTCCTTCACTAAACCAGAAGAAAACTGACCTAACTAGAAATGTGCCATTTTTCCTGATAAATACTTACACTGATGCTACGAAACTTGACACAGACATGCCACTTTTTGCAAATGGAAATAGTGCGATCCCACCAATTCAAGTGGCGCATGGTGCTGCCTACCAGAAGAGTTCACTTACAGTGACGTCTTTATTCTGTAGCATCACATACCTGAATACTCAAAAAAAGCTAAATAATCTGGTTTTTAGAATTTTTCGACGTCACTTTTTTTGCGGGTGTGTAATATGTCTGGAATATGCAGTGTCTTGTTAGCAGTCCATTTATTATTCTAGTTCTAAAATATCCTAGATTTCTCTACCATCAGTTACTGCAATAATCCTTTGATGAACTTTTTCACATCCATGTGAAATCCCCCCCACAAGGGCTTAATTGTCATTGAATAGAATACTTATTTTTAACCCATTGTCTGATGGCTCCATGTTTTTGGAAGTTAGGTATAAAACAAAAGTATTTAAGACCAATAAGTGTCCTCTTTGAACTTTCTTTGGCCAATTTATCGACTCCTTCATTGCCCCTCTGTTGTTGTCTTACATGTCCAAGTATATGGCTATTATTCTGTTTAATGATACATAGAATTTTAATCTCCTTGGCACAGTGTCAAACAGCCATAGTTTCTGCTTGAAGAACATAGGTAAGATGAAGCAATTAAGCAGTATAATGTTGTAATTCAACTTGAGGTAGTATAGTCAGTCAAGGGAGTGTGAATTTGAGCCCCCGGTGTGCCAGTGTTCTTCCATCGAACAAACTCATTTTTGAAAGGGGTTGGGACCAATTCAGGGTCGCTAAGATATGACCCCGCTCCTTCCATTGATGAGTGCCGTGTCAATTTCTTTTCAATTGTGACCACCGGTCCCCTTAGGCGTCAGAAAAAGTCCAGGGGCAACGGTGGGGATCGAACCCATGACCAAACAACATCCCAAACAGCCACTGTTTCTGCTTGAAGAACAATGGCATAAGGTTAAAATGAAGCAATTGAATCGAGAAAGTCAAAATTAAGTAGTATAATGTTGTAATCCAACTTGAGGTAGTATGGTCAAGGGAGAGTCTAGAAAGGTGTTTGATATTGTTTGCAGTAAATGTAATTTCCCTAAATGAGTGTTGTGTCTTGAAGAATATTAACTGAGATCTATAATCATTTCAAGAAAAAAATACCAAATTATTTTAAATCAATATGCCAAACTAATGATAACAGAAGTTTACAATTTTTTAATGCAATTTTATATAGAAAACAACCTACATTTCGCAATATCTGCTTCATATCGGATTGTATTAGGGAAACGGAATCGAGGGCACAGTCGGCAAGTTTCACAATAGCTGAGGCTGCAGAATTGGTTGTGTCGATTAATATATTCTTCGGCCTGTTCTGCTTGAGCAGGGTGCGCCTTAGTACGATCAGGTGGCCGAGCAAGTTACGCAGCTGATTCACCTCGTTACCGATTATGAGGTCGTCCCGGATCGGCGGGAGCTCATTAACGTCTTTGTACAGGTGGAGAAGAGGCCTAAGCGTTTCCAACAAGAGCGCCTGGTCCTTCTTGCTCCTGATGCCAACGATCGCCATGTCCTCCTTCGTCATGTTGACAAACGTGTCGAATTTGATGGCTTTTTTGTTTAAAAGCTGGGTGTACTTTTCGAGTTTCAAACCTGCCAGCATCAAATCCAGATTATCCTCGTTGACATGCCTGTAAAAACAAATTCAGATACATACTCAAGTCTCATAATTTATTTCTGTTTACTTAATTAAAAGTTAGATTGTAAAATTGGTTTTGATAGTAATTGGACAACACGTGGGAAACGAAATGGTGACATCACTTTCATTTTGACCTTATCATTAATAATTAAATTAAAGAGTATTTAAAATAAGTTTAATTTATGTTGAAGGATCGTTTACAGAATATCAACGCGATTTTACCCCATGATGAATCAGGTGGTTTTTGACACGAGAGCTTGCTTAAAATTTAAAAAGGCATCAATTGGAGTAAGATTGATGGCTGTACGACTAAGTAGACTTTGTATTTTTGAAGATAAACAAATCAACCGGACTTTAAATTTTAACAAAGGTTAAAAAAACAAGCCTTCAAAAATCGATATTTAAGTTCAAACGTCACGAACGGATAATTTAAACCCTCCGGTCAAATTTAATTTTTTAAATATTTAACAATTGGTAAAGTATGGTTCATCTAATGAACTAAAAAATAATACAAAATCTAAACTTTTTTTTATAGTTCACAGTTAAAGTTAAAGCTTCTAGTGTTGGTCAGCCTCTACTGAGTACTACATATTATAAGGATGCTCTCATTGATCCGGTTTTGGAAAATTCGGGGGTACCTCAGGGTTACAATTCAGGCCCCATACTATTTTCATTATTCTTTAATGATGTCTGTGATGCCATCTCTGTTCATCTTTATGCTGGCTGACGATTGCAATATTTATGAAATTTGTAATCATCATAAGTTAAACTCAGACAAATGTTACAATTTACTTTTCTAGCAAAAAGTTAACCAAATTACACTCGTACTCTAAACTATCCTTATAGTGTCACAGATGAGCGACTTAGGAGAGATCTTCAAGACCAAATATACATTTGAAAATCGTTATACTAGTGTAACTAACAGAGCTCTTAGAAACCAAAACTTTCTTAATAGAATGTTCTCTGATCTTTAGAATTTCCACTATAAATAATTAATATTTTAAAGAATATATTATTGTCATTATCAAAGGCTGAATATCAATAAAGCCTTTAGTTTCAACTGTTTATTAGTTTATTTAGAAAGCTTTTCACTTACATTGTAAGCACCTTCAGGGGGCCACAGTAGCCGAGTGGTTAAGGCGTCAGACTGTCGGCTAGTAGATCCCGCGGTCATAGGTTCGATCCCCACTGTCGCCTCTGGACTTTTTCTGAACCTTTGATAATGGAGTTCCATTGCAAAAATACAAAAAAATCAAAAAACCTGAAAAAATGGTACTGTTATTATTGTTTTGTATATTTAATTAATTTTTATGATTATTATTTTACTGTTTATAAAAGTAAATTTATTTCTAATATATGTACTTAAAGCCCTATTTGTGCCTTTAAAATAAATATTTAAAAAATGATGATGTTGTTTTTATTGCCCCGGTGATACATAGGTTGTTTACCAGTCTTTATGTACTGCCTAATGTTTGGGTAGTTTTGCTGAGCTTTGGTCCACTACATACCATCATTGTTTGATCTTTAATTCCTTTATGTACATTATAAGATACAGATAAGGGTAAAAGAGGCGACCACAAGGCCTTCTGTACCTCGGACATAGATCTATTGTGCTCCCCTGTTTTTTTTTAACCCACTGGCCAGCTAAAGATTGTTAATTAACCTTCATAGCCTTGCCAAAAGCTCCTTAGTGTAGATATTGCTTGTTGTTTTTCTTAACATAAAATGTGCGTGCAGTATCTGCACAGTGTTTTTTCTGTCTGTACTTCTATCCAGTGCATGTGCTATCTTAAGTGGTAAGGATTTCAACCAGAATCCTGGTTCATCTGTTCCACCTGGTTTTGGACTCATTAAGGATCCATTTTAAGATATGTCCTCTTTTATGGCAGGATGCTAAGCCACAGTAGAACTCAGGACCTATAGAGTCTATATCTGCACCCTCTTTGGCCATATGTCAACCTTTTCGATGTTCCTATGCCCCAAGTGTCCAAGGACCCATTACAAGGTCAGGTCATTAGTGTTGCTGAGTGCCATCAGTACCCCCATGCTGTTTCAAACCTCTTGTTGCCTTCACCTTGCATGAGGCTAGGGCCTTTAGTGCTGCCAGTCAGTCAGAGAAGATGGCTATCTTCCAGGAATATATTCCTAGCTTTTTTATTTTCCTGGCTATAGTGTTCAATTGCTCTGATTTCAGACTGGAAAACTGTAACATATTTACCTAGCTTTACCGTCATTTAGGTTTTCGGATTCATCCCAAAAAATCCATCCTCCATGCCTTTGTTGGTCAATGTACCAGTAGGAGTTTGTCTTTAGCGGTGTTCCTTTAGCCCATTCTTTCCGTTCTGGTGTCACAACCTTGTACTTTTTAGTAAAATTGTATTTTGGAGTATTGGTATCAATTGACATGCTTGTATCTCCTCCCTCAATTTCAATTGTTTATTTACATGGCCTATCCTTGCAGATGGTTGTACAATTATAAGCCTGTGGGGTGCTGCTCTGGCTTCTCCTTCAATTATGATATGGTGGGAGGTTTAACAACACCTCCAGGGCCGCAGTTGTTGTGCTCAAGACTCCAGTCAGAATGGACAAGCTTGTCTTTGGGTGCCACTTAATAACCTGATTGCTTTGGCCTGCAGAGTCTTGGTCCACTACACTACCGGCCCATATGTCAACATTGATCTTAAGACGTAGGTATATAGCCATAGGGTCATTTTGGCGTTTAATCCCCAGTTTTTGGCGCAGAGCCTTCTGCACCTCCCCCAGGCAATTTTGGCTCTCTGGATGGTATTCGCTGCTGAAACAAACCTATTTGTGGAAATTGTCAAAGTTAGAAAAAAATGGTTGTTTCTTAAAAAAAAATTGGCCATTGAACATTTCTACTAAATAGAAAATAATGATGTCTTTAAAAATATTTAGTTCGGCGAAAATAAGAAGAAATAGTTAAAAATAAGAATGAAAAATGAAAATTGTACGTGCTTTCGAATTTTGAAGCGAAACGAATCGGCAGCACTGCACTGCACTCTGAGGCCTGAGCATGCAGCAGTTCAACTTGGTGAGGGAAGCGGAAAGGAAAAAGGCTGTGTGTTAAATTAGTGCGTGTCTGGACCGTCAGAGTATAACCGTTCCTGGGTATCCTCGGGCAACATAAACGCCGCCGTTCGACATATTTGTGCCTCTGTTATGTTTTTATGATGACCCATTGAAACTGGACAAAACCTCAAGAACGACGACCAGGAGGAACTGCTGACTTACGGACGTCCACATGAAGGTCAGTACGTTGACCACCGAAACCCGAACGTTGACGGCCCAAATCGATATTTACCAACATTTGTCCGATTTGTGCATCATTTTGACGTCTAAATACGACCCCCCAATCGTCAATAATAACATTCACCGAAATATAACAATTAAATGGATTAACAAAAATAATTTGTAGTCAACAATTACTTGTAATATCTCTCCCGCCTAATTGACAATACTTGTTTTCCTCATCGCTTGTCCATTTGTACTCAATAAAAACACGTTGGAGTCAATTTGTTGCCAATGCCAAAGCCAAAATTTAAAAGCTAACAGACTTCTGGTGCTGTATATAAAATCAAAATCAACAACACCAGATGAGTTTGAAATCTCCATTTGTATATTTGGTTGTTTCTTGGTAGACGAAGCTCTAGTACGAACTAGTAAAGACAATTTCTCACTAGTTCAAATAAACCTGTATGGTTAGTGAATAATGATGAAGAAAGTGGGATGTTGTAAATCGGAGCGAACACAGTCGAATCCGATGAGTTTGAGGTCTCTGATTTTCTATATTTCTTGTCGTTTCTTGAGTCAGTCTAGTAGTTTAAAAAAAGTATAAGTTATATACACAATTAACTACATTGCTCCACGTTCAATTGGCACACTTTAAAATATTTATGTAACTTTTCTAACGACAATGCTTTGGATACATTTTTTGTTTTACTACTTTAAACATGGTTTAATATAATTATAATTAAACGGCAAGTGTTTGTTGTTGGTAATTGTTAGGCAAAACAATTCATTTTTTAAAATGCCATTATTCACTATTATATGGCATGAAACAAGATTATAAAATTGTCCATGATCAATGACCAAGTTGGCCGTGTCATTGCACTCGCTAGGAATAGAAGAAATCATCATTATACGGTGCGAGTTTTAGGTTTTCCTGAAACGACGGTCCATTGGGTGTACAGCAGTTCTGAAGCGGTATTTCAGATTGTAAGCAAACAATGAAAGATTTAAAGAAATAATAATGCATGGAGAATTTCTTTTATATGTGCGTATAGAATGTGTCATCCTAGTGGACAGCTAGTAAAATGGTGGGACGCTGTATACAAGAGCTCCTCACAGCGAGAACCTGATGAGTCTGTAGCTGTTCTTTTCAATTTATGATCTTTAGTTGGTAGTTGTAACCCTTTTTTAAGCTAATAATAAAGTAACAATGCAAAATTTACAATTGTTGACTAGTTGCTTATTGATATTTAAAAACAAAGGAAAAAGTAGGATGTGGTATACAAGAGCAATTATAATCAAAGATAGTAAGTTTCTAGTTGTTTCTTGATAGGCAGGTTGTCTGTCAAGCCAGGAAGATGACAATCTTATGACAACGTGATATGTTTTAATATGAGTTTATTGTAGTGTACATAAGAGAAAGATGGAACACTATAAAAAGCTCATACATCTGTTCTGGATTTGGCTGGAATCTCTATTCTTGAATTCTTATTGGTTCTGAAGTAGAATAAACTAGTCATTCCATTAATGATGTAACTAGCAAAAACGGTGTTATATTTACAGTTGTTGAGTAGTTTGATGATGACAAACTCTTGTCCAGTCATTCCTGTTTTTATAATCGTATATTTAGCTTGTATACCAAGTTTAAATTTAAATTTGATAAAAAAAATAAACGGTTTATCTATGTAGATAATACTGGAAAAAAAGTGGTTGTAAGTAAAATCTTCTTACAACTGATCACTACAACCTGTCGGTAATTATTGTGAATTTATCATTATGACCTGTTTCAATGTGTTTTTATTTTATTTATCTTCTATCAGCAAGTAAGTCTTAATTCATACAGGTCAAATGCATTATTTGATGAAATTATTTATTTTATTTTATTATTATTTTTTAAATTAAAAACCTGGTGGAAAAAGCAGGGGGCCTAAGGTCAAAAACGGTTTTGAGTGTTATGCTTTAGAGTATGTACTACAATGAAAAATACAGCCTTTTTAAAAAAATTATTTATGGGTTTTTTGTTTCAGGCCATAGTCAAAAAGGTGAAGAATAAAAGCTGAATTTCCTGTGATTTCTAATTACCATTATGCCAGCATGTGTGCAGCCGTTAAAATTGAGGTATTCGTTTTGTCGTCTCCCTTGCGACCGAACATCTGACAGTCAGCGGAAACTGAAAGGAGAGAAGGCGTCAGTCGAAGATTGTATTTTGCAGGACCAGCCGGTCGGGACTACGGTGTTGGGCTCTGGAACACGCAAGAAACCTTTCAAGTGCAAGGACTGCTGGAAAGGTAAATTTGAATTACATTGGACAATGCATTCACCCTTGAAGTGTTATGTGTGCGTTGTTTGTGGCGGGACCATTTCTTCAATTTCGGAAATTAAAAGCCACCTGTGTTTTCACAAATCACAGTTGCATTCTAAACAGTGTGAATTTAATAGAGAAGTGAAGAATGATCAGACTGACATTAACCTTTATAATGCAAATAAGACAAAGCCCAACACTCTAAGGTGTACAGTAAAATCCCATAAATTAAACGGTGATAGACTGTCTGAAGATAACCAGAAAAAACAGTATTCGTTACAAGATTTTAACCAAGAACAGGAGGTAATGGAAAAACCAGTAATTAAAGATGAATTTGAAGCCAGCTTGACCCCCAAATGTATGCAATGGTCGAGTGAGAAGGAAGAGAATTTCAATTTGGCACGGAGATATGTTTTAGTAAAAACGCCGTCCTCTTTATCCCAAATTGATTTAAATTCGAATGTTGGAAATAAAGAAATGGAAATAAATTTCCTCTGCTATAAATGTGGTGCAGGGTTTACGACGAACGAGGACTTAGTGCAACACGAGTCTATTCACAACGATGAAGTCCTAGGATATGAAGCGTTGTTAAGTTCGAAATCCAAAACTTCCAGCGGCCCATTTTTGTGCAGCTGCTGTAGGGCACATTTCAAGTCAAAAATTGGATTGATGGCACATGAAACACTTCACAGGTCCACTCTTGACTCTCAAATAAATATTGAAAATTCCGAAAATCTAAAATATTCCGGAGGTTCGTACAAAGCAACAAATTTATTTTGCCTGCTCTGCGACTTAATCTTGAAGTCATCCAGCGACCTGATATCACATTTAAGGGATGCCCATCCTGATTTGCCCCAGTATGTGAACCTGGAAACATATAATGATTGCGAAGATAAATTTGTAGAAGAAATGCTCCACAGTTACGGCAGGGCTGCAAACTCAAATAGAGAGACATCAAATAGTCAGAAGGTAAAAGACAACAGGGTCAAAGAACCCCTTATACAGGATTATAAAGACCCTGGTAACTATTTCTGCCTGCTCTGCAACTTCGGGTCGTCGTCGTTTGATATCCTTGAGCAGCACATTAAAGGTGTACATCCAGATTTGAGCATACGCCTGGAAGAATTGCAAACGTGCAAATATTGCCAATTTATGTGTGAGAATAATAGAAAATTAAGAATTCATATGAGGAAGTGCAATACAAAAAGAAAAAACAAAGCCAAAATCAGGCGGTCTAAAAGGATTAAACATATATCTGTTATGCGGAATATTATAAATGAAAGAACCAGATCAGCACATCTCGTCAAAAAGATAATGTAAATAGTCTATGTTCCAATTTTTTGCCAGTTGGAATCTAAGTATAAAATCTCAAAACAAAATAATACAAATTTCATTAGACAAAAAATTCACGTTTCAGCGAAGTATCGCATGTATTTATAAAGTGTCACTCTTTTTATTGATGCAGATACTACAAGAGGTGAACTATTTTGAGATATTGTAAATGCTTTAAGATGAACACAATTTAGTTATACATTGTATACATAAAATTAAATATATTATCTCATGGTTTGTATTCTATTTAATTAAATTTAATTTAATAAATGTAATTTTTATTCAAAAATTTCCACTTTGTACAAGCAAAAATAAGCTTTAACACATTGACTGCATCCTATGCTTGGCCATTTTGGTTTGTTTGGAACCGAATTTATCTCATAAAATAGCGTTCTGGTACTTATAAATAAGGTAAATGATTGTTTTATTTTTATTACATTTATCTAAGCGATATAAATTATATGACTTCGCATGCCTCGCAGCGTTAAGTAAATGAAGTAGACAACCCACAGAATGTTTAATTGTGTGTAGTTGCTTAAAAGTTGTTTCTACTTTGTGCAATAATTTTTCCTTTATTTTACGTAATCATACAAAATGGGTAAATAATCTATCATAGAAATTAAATACGTTGTTTTCAGATTAAATAAAAAAATCGTTTCCTGGTTTAAAAAAAAAATTGAAATGACCATAGCCAGTGAGATTACCCTAGGAATTTCAAATGGAATTGTACAGCAGGTGAAGAGGAGGGAGAGTTTAAAAAAGTATAAATGAGAACACGCAGGCTGTGCGTCCACCACACCTAGATGGACAGTTGGCATGCTTCTTACGCTGTTAGGTTCATCAGTGCACATACATCATAGAGAATTTTCACATTACACATAATTTTAATTAAGTATTATGTTCAATTGATATATACAAAATGCGTTTCTTGTATAGAACAACATACTTTAATTTAAATTAATAAAAATACTGACTTATACAATTTTCTTTACGGAATATAGGATTTGGGAATTAAAGAATAGCAGTTGGTTCAGCAATTAATTAATAAAGACAGTTACAGGTAATTTGGTATACTAATCAGTTACAAAGTTAGCATAAACATTGTATTGTTTATTATGATGGCTATCAGTACAAATCAAGAATGTTTAATTTTTTGGTCATAATTTAGAAAAAAAATAAGGGTTGTAAAGATGGCATAGTTCAGCTGAATGGCTTAAAAACTTTGCCAATTTTTCTTTTTTTTTTTATTGATCCTGTTAAAATAGATATTTTAAAATAAGTTGAAAATGAATCACAAAATCAAAACCAGAATTGAACCACTACTTTCTCGTGGGGAAACTTTCAAGCAGCATCCCATGTTTAATTGTCAACTGAACTCTCCAGTGTGCTTAAAGCATATTGCAATTTTTTCAGACTCCAGGAGTGCGTTAGAAGGCATATTATATTTCAAAATCAAAACCATTTTGATGCATATAATTGTGTTAAAAAAAAAATAAATAAATAAAGAGCTTGTCAGTTTTGACAGCAAATGGCATTCAGTAGTTACATCTATGGATGATTCACTGGCTTAACTTTTCTCATTAGAAACACCAGTGAAAACTGTTGCATCATTAATCTAAAGAAAGCATTGAAAACGCCTTAATACCAGTACTTGGCATAAAAGTATATTTTCATCTATTTTGAATGGTCCATAATGCCATCGCAGTAGGCCAATTTTATATATCCAGCAATCCTGTCTTAAGTATTAGTAAGAAAATATGGTAGACACTAGGTAAGAATAGGAAAGACTGCTCCAAATATATTTTAGTTTATATCTGTGCTCTTATTGTAGAGATACTACAAACTCAGCAAAACAGTGGTTGTCATCTGAGTACCTGGGCACATAGGTCTGGAGTGTAACAAAAAGGCAGATGAGGCAGCCAAGGCCGGGATGTTTCAACATGCAATAAAAACACAACTAAAAGAAAGTGGCAACGTAAGTGGGCCAGAATGGTTGAGAAGCTCCAGTATGTACAAAGCTGTAGGGTGGTCCTCTTGACTCTGACTCGTAGAAGAGGGGCATCTTCACCTAATTAAGAATAGGCCATGGGAGTTGACACAAAGAAAATTTTAGGCCACAGTCCGCATGTAGAAAAGTTACTCAATGTGTCCTACCTAATATGTCCATCCTTTACTCCATATAGAGTGGGCAGGAATGCCACACGAGATATGAGAATTGGGCCTAAACGCTTCAACGAGTATATGATCCCTTATTCCAATATTTGGATATAGTATTGATAGTTTTGTGTACTTAGCGTGAGTTTTAGAGTGAATGTATTTATTGGCGTGAATGCATTGTAAGAGGGCCAATTGCAGAATATTGAATACCCCATTACCCTCATTCAAATTAATAGGTGTAAAGGATGATGGAGGGATCATGACTTTTGTAATTTTCAAATAAATTACCGGCAGGCCTTGAGAATTACCCACCCTGGATCAGACCTTGGTCCTATTCATCCAGCTGCCAAGATTGATCACCCACCAGGGGCTACCAACAGCTAAGTCATTTCTGCCCCCAATGCAATCTGTTTCCTAAAATCAAACCCATTAACTTTCACTCTTAAATACATTCTTTTTTATTTAGATACCATTCACTATTGTGGTGGAGTACTCACTAACTGGGTACTGCAGACTTCGGAGGCATATGTATAGACTTGGAGTGGCAGGAAAAAAGCCTGCGCAGTTATTGCCAAGAAGAAGAAACAGTGGAACATGTCCTCTGTTGGTGCAAGGGCCTGTAAGCTGATTCCTAATCCTGGGAGAGGAAAAGCCAGAGCCTGAAGGATACATACTGGAGCCTTTGAACAAGCTTTGGGGTCTAGCTCTAGATAAAAATAGAGATGCACAACAGGCCAATACTGATCATGGTAGTAAAGAGGCTAGCTAGTATGTAATCTATCTACATGCAACTGAAGTGTCAATCGACAAGCAATTTAATTAAAAAAACATTGCAGTTAACAATCACTGAAGTGTACAAAATTTACTGCTTAAAAACAATATTGTCATTAAACTGTCACGTTCGCAGAATTTAATGCTGAAAACAGTGCTAGTGAAAGCTAAGATATTTCTGTAAATGGATTTATGTCTGGTTTAAGTAAATAAACTGTGTAATCTGTAGTATTAAAAAAAAGGAAAATTTTTTGAGAAGAGGAAAGTTTAATAAGAAAATTCGCGACTGAAAATAAAATAACATGTGTCTTGTCCGTTAAACGGTCATTTCACTAGTAAAAAAAATCCAAAAAGCATGACTGAAACAAGGTAAATGATGAGACGTTCTGTTTTGAGTAAAGGCCGTCAGGCCTGGAACCAGCGAGGTGCCGGGGACCGGGTCAGGGATTTGAAAGGAAAACTCGGTGAAAAAGGTGCTGCCAACGAGGAAGAGTACTTTTACAAAAAGCAGCAGCAAGACCTGGAAAACTTAAAGAAGGCCGTCGAAAAGAACATCGAAGCTCTGGAAAAGGAGAACGAAAGAGAAATGGAGATCATCAACAAGGCGAAAAAAATCGATAACAAAGGCAAACAAAATAAATAAAATTTCAACGTTCAAGTTTTATTATTTAACTTTTCCATCGGGCTTCCTCAGTACGACGTTCTTGGCGTTTTTTATCACCCTGTGGTGCTCCTGGCTCTGTTTCTTGACCTCTTCGATGCTCTGGGTGATCTTCTTCTTGAGGTTGTTCAAGTCTTCTTTCTGCTTCTTGTAGAAGTAGTTGTCGTCTTCCGGCTTCTCACCCCTGCCGGATGAAAAACCCCTTGGGAAAGAGAAATTAAGCACCCTTGGTTTAATACGCCTCATAACATCACATTAAAAGCCACTAAATATAAAAGTTGAACGGATTTATTACTTTGAGTTTTTAATGTTTTAAATATGTATATTTTTTTAGAGAGACATCTGTTTTTGTTGACAATCGATTAAAAAAACAAAAATCTTAATTATATTTTGGATATTATTCTTTAATCATTAAAAAAAAAAATGTTAAAAACAAGAAAGTAACGTCTTTTTTACAATTTTATTACCGTTTTAAAAATGAATCTCTTAAACAGTTCAATCGTCCTCCATTTTTCAGTTCCGCTTATTCTCGATGTTTTGGGCGAAATTCAAATCGGTTGGCTATTTTTTTACATTTAGACGATGAAAATAGCGAAAACGGACCTGTACAATCAAACGGGACTTAGAATTTTTATTACGATTTTAGAAATACTCAAGAGTCGTCCTCAGTTAAATCACCATCGATTATACACGTTCTTGTCTAAAACAAGTGACGAAAACAGCGAAAATAGACGGACCAGAGAACGAATCGGCTCTTTTCAAATAGTTCCTAGAGAATCGACTATATTAACACAGCGGTGAATTTCTGAGTTCTTCTCTTCTACATTCGCCTTTTCTTGAAAGTTACCGCTCCCAGTAGCTATTTCTTCCTTATTAGACAGCCCTGAAAACGTCCACAGACGGGAATTCAAATCTGCCTGCATCCTCAGCTAGTCCTGCCTGTTTCCAATGGAACGCTCCCCCAGTTTTAACCTGAGTGATTCATCGTTGGCTCCATGCATCACGTCCCATAAACTGTGTTTTTCTTACTTTGATTGTGAGCAGAAGTTTCCTGGGCTTGCTCAATCTACAAAGCATATGCGCCGGTATAAATTTCAAAGGCCTCAAGTTCTTCTTGGTACTTGGTTCAAGTGTCCAGCTTTTGCATATATGCAGAATATGTAACGTAGCATCTTAACATTTCCATTCTCAACTCTAAACTAAGAGTAAAATTAATAAAAAGCCTTTTTATTTGAAAGAAAGTAGCTCTAACCATCACTATCCAGGCCCTTATCTACTTTTTAGGGTTGTACTGACTTGGGAACTAAGGTGGTACAAATAGGTACATGTTTTGTTCCATTTTTATTTGAATTTATTTAATGTTATTTCTTTAAATCTTTTAAATTATTACTTCACTAAGAATTCATGATAGCATTTTATTTTAGTAAAATAATTCCTGAGGATGGCTTAATGTCCAATTACCCTTTGGGTGTTACAGATGAGGGGTCAAATTACTTTACAATAATTTTTCATACTATTATCGATTTTGTGATTGATCCCAGCCATGGGCTGTACTGTGATTCGAATCCAGAACCTTTAGCATGGCAAATATAATTCGGATACCCTAACCACTCAGCCCCGTTTTATTTTAAGCAGGCTGAATCAATTAAAATTCTGGTATTGATTACTTACCATCAAAAGTGAAGTTTTACAGGCGTATTTGTTTATGAAATGAAAAAAGACTGTCTTTTATATTTATTTAACTATTCACATGTTATTTATTGTAAACACACACACACACTCACACAAACGTACAAAATGCTAAGTTTGAGCACATTTCGTTACACACGCCGTTTTCACAATACCCCTACGGCGTTGCAAGGAGGGCGGTCTTCCAAGGATGATGATGGTGGCACGGGGTGGAAGGGTTTCGGCAGGTCATCTGTCCCATCGGCCGGGAGCGCATATGACAACAAGGAATTCCAAGAGCACGACTACCTGAGCGAAGAGCAGAAAAAAACTGTACGCAAACTCAAGGAAGAGATCGAAGAGCACATCGATTTCGATCCCAAGAAGGGGGAGTCTTTTCAGAGCGGAAGATCGAAAATAAAAGACACAAAGGATAAAAACGAAGATGAATAAACACAAATGACACTTGGCAATTATAAAACTTATAAAAAAATTACTCAATACTTTTATTAAATTCTATGTCTATCTTTACACAAATTTAGGGGGCAGCACAGTTAAATTTGTAGAGATGGTATTTTCTCAATCCATGGTAAAGCTTTTGTCTGCAGCTCTCATTTTGCACTTTCCAGCCTACACTGTGCGAAACTGGTTGTGAGATTATTTTACATCACCCTGTACTCTAGCTAATCAGCTAATCTGTTTCCTTTAAATCTTCCTATACAGATCCCCAAGTAAAGATTTGTTAAACTATTTTAAAATTGAAATTATCATTAATTAATTAAATAGTCATAAACACCTTTTAGTCCATCTTTGAGTATTTCCTGTGCTTTGTTCCACTGGTGCTCTATTAGGACCAGCTTGACCTTTATTATTAATTATTACACTAGTATCTGCACAATAAAATCCATAAATTCTAAATTAATTGAATTTAAGTATTTTTATGATGACTAATGTTTAAAAAAAGGAATGAAAATAAAATGTGAAAACTGTGACTTTTGGTTAAAACATAAAGAATAACTTAATTTTGTATAAAATAATTAATAGAAATTATACATATATATTTTGTTAAAACATTAGAAAAAAATAGATGATCAGTTCTTCACATGTCAAATTACATGCTAAAAAAAATTATTTAACGATAATGGAGTAATGAACTGTTAATATATTAAATATTTAAGTTAAAAAAATGAAGAAAAAAAGACAAGCAGTGTATTAATACATAAGTTAATTTAAACAAAACAATTATTCTTCCTCGAGATTAATTTGGTCGCCGAATTTCGCGTAGAGTTGTCTCTTTAACACTGACATTTCGTCGGTGAGTAATTTCTGTTTCGCCTCGATTTCTTTGATCTCTTCCTTCCTCTGCTTTATGCGTTCTTGGACAGCTTCCTGAAAAAGTAAATGAGATCAAAGTTAGAGGGAGGAGGAAAGAGCAAAAAGCATCACTACGTACCATGGCTTCATCTAACGGTCGGTACAGAAAGCATTCACCCATGCTAAACGCCACTTTTTCATCCGTGCACAATTCCAATTCCTCGCTTGCATACTCGAGGTTTCTACTTACGGCCTAAAAAAGACAAATATGTAAACTTCATAACTTATTACAATTTTTTTTTGTCTTGTAAAAAATTAATTGTTTACTTGTTTCGCTTTAATTTCAGCTTTGAGATCATCTTTTTTTGCGTTTAACTTAGCGAATTGGTTGATACGCTGTTGATCCTGTAAGGTAATCTGGATGTCTAAGTCCTAAAATGTTAAAAATACATAATTAAAAAATTTATTTTCAGAAACATTGAGTTTAAGATTTGGAATAAAAATTCAAGAAATCAGTGATGTAATTTATTGAAAAAAAATTCCCTTAAAGTATATACTGATAAATATTATTATGGTTATGCCTAGATGACAGATATTTCAAATAAAAGAATGCAAGGTGTTGCTAAACAAGACACTCTCAGCGCAACAGGTTTTTAAATAAATATTTTATGAACGATTTGTACAACAGTTTAGAATATGAAGTATTTATTGTTATCACTTATAACAAATTATTAGCTTGCAAAATAATGAGTTTTGTATTTGAGTAAAATTGTAAATAATTTTGTGAATTAAAGCACCGAAATAAAATAAAAAAAATCCCCTTGCAATTTTTATCATACACAAATAAAAACGCGACATATTTTATAAATTGTGGAATTTCTTTTGATTTGTCTTTGTAAGCAGTCTTTTTATCCTAGATGAACTTGATAAATCAGTCAATCATTTTGGTAGGACGCTACAATCATTTCAAAAGCCATAAACAATACTGATATGCTAAATGCTTCTGATTCAAATTCAATTTTGTCAAATAAAAATATTTTTTGTGGAAATGGGCTAACATTGCTGACAACAAACTGAAAATGACTCCAGTTAATTTCACAATTTTCAATAATGATATAGTGTCAAGTTTTGATTGATTCTTGAATTATGAAGTTAAAACGTTCTGCAGAAGACGAGAACGGGCAGGTATCAACCAATGACAAATGCTTAACAAATTGTAGTGAACTCCGAACATTTTCTTAAGTATCAAGTGTACTGTCACTTATGTATAATTAATCATACAAGTAACTTTTGTCAGTCAGAAGTACTTGAAGTATTGATTCAAATTAAAATGATTATCTGCAATTTCGTCAAATAATTGTCAACAGTTCAGGTTAATTTTAAGATCAAAAGTTCTGCTTAAGACAACAAGAACAACCAGGCCTCAATGATACTATCTGTATATATAAAACATGATTATTTGGAGATTGTGAGATGCACGTCAAATCTTTTCTTCAGGGCTCAGTGTTTGTTTTCTGTGTAGATGTGTCATTACTGTGTGTCGTGTTGAGAGTGCCTGAAGATGATTTCTATTAAGATGAAAACGTAGGCACGATTAAGAAAATGTTTTTCTAAACCTACGTCACACCAGATCGAATCTCATGATCTCCAAATAATCATTAAATAACGGTCACTAAACACCACACATATATAAAACAGTTCGTGACTGGCTGACAGACAACACACAGACCAAATTGCTGTTTCTAAAGGCCTGAAATTTCTACAGTGCATTCTTATGACATGGATAGACACAAAGAAAGAATTTTCTGAAATTCCATCCCTAAGAGGATCATATGGACAATTTTTTATCATGTATGGACCAGAGTGAACTGAAGAATAGAAAAATTTGAGAATCGAGACTTTATATTAGAAAGCCACACTAGCACTCTGCATCGTATTAGGACGGTACATTAAAACAGAGTCCCGCATGGACGAAGTTGCGGTTAAAAGCTAGTCTGGCTATAAAATTGTCAAAAAAGTGCTGGTCACTAGGAAAATTTCACAATTTAAATTTAAAGAAAGAAACTTGAGAGCCAACTGTAAGCTACTTTTATGACAGAAGGCGATACTTTTAATTTCTGGCGATTTGCCTAGCTGTACTTGTCCAGGTGTTACATCAAATAGCGAGGACAGGCGGACCAAGACGGAACAAACGGAAAAGTTCAAATTTTAAAACGAAGTACATTTTTTTAATCAACCTTTCAATTCAAATAAAGTATATTGTTTTTATTTCTATTTTTTTACCTTTCCCTCTCCGAAATTCGACTTGGTTTTACTCATTTTAATAAAGCGGGCCCACGCTAGTCCCAGCAGACCCAGAAATTACAAATATAGGCGTGATACTACGGATAACCTTACATCAGTGTAACCCACTGTCAAATGTAATAAAACCTGATTTTTATATTATCATATATTTATTTTTTTAAACGACCTTTATTTATTCTTTTATTGAAGTTAAAATAAAAACTAATTATAGAAATTCTATAAAATGAAATAGTGTTTGTTGAACAACAATTGAATAAATAGTCTTTTTTTAAACTAGATTATCTATAATGTATATGTCATTGGTTTATTGCGTTTGTTATTTTTTAGCTGAAATATACAATTTAATCCTTGATGTTATGTTTTTTAATGTTTTTTTCGAAATGGAAGCTTGAACATCCACCGATCCCCGGGAATACGTGTAATCACCAGGGGGCGGTGATGGCACTGGACTGTCAAAATTTTATTATCTTCTAAAAAAAACATTTTTGGACCTTTTTTCCATCGCGTTTTTGTGAAAATACCCTGGCCGTCGGCCGAAATAAGGCTCTTCTCGTCCCCCCGGTAAATTACAATTCCGTCGGGAACATTGTGTCTTTTCGGTGGCATTGGTACGGTGTATGTGTAAAATGGTCGACATTTGATAATGACAACTGTCTCGGGCTCTGTGATGGGTGATTAGAGCGTTGGGACCCAAGAAAATAAACAATACCGACTTAAAAAAAACATTATAAGATGTAGATTATAAAGTGTGTCTTAGTTGTACGTTTAAGATAGTGTTTATTTTTATTTTTTAAATAAGTTTTTAGTAGGTTTTTTTTAAGTTTGTGAAGTTTTGTTTTTGAGACTTGGCTTCTTCCGGTAGGTGAGATAGTTTCTGTGCCGCTTCAGTGCTATATAATGAACGAGATAGAAGCCCAGGCGCAGGAACACCTGAGGCACAGGAATTATCTGGTGGCCCTCGAGCTGTTCGACCACCTCCTGAAGTTGCCTAGAGTGAAGTCGGCGACGAAAGAAAGGATCGTCGCTTACCTTTTCGGCCGTTCGGAATGTTTCCTGGAGCTCGGGCAGCATGAGGCGGTGATCGCGGACTGTCGGAAGATCATCAAGTTGGTGGAAGGAGACGGGAGCACCCGGGCCTGGAGGCGGCTGGTCCACGCTCTTTTCCTCCTCAAGCGTTTCGACGAGGCCGAAGCGGCAGTCGTCGACTGGATCAACACCTCCGGCGGAGTGGACTCGACTGACACGGAGGCGGTTAAGATGCTCGAACACGCTCGTGAATTCTTGCAGGGCGGTAAGCAGCGCATTGAGGATTCCGTCTTCAGGCAAGAGGCGACCGAGCCCTGGCGGCAGCCAGCAGCCATGGAAGAGTCGTCAAAGCGCACGAGGAGTTATCCCGTTAAGCTGGTCGAAACCGACTCCGACCAGCCTGTCACCTCTTCAAATTCCAACAGTCAAATTATTTGTAATTATAAAATTTCTCTATTTCCTTACAAACTTTTCATTTTATTTTAATGAATTTTTGTTGTTGTATAATATGCACAGTTCCATTCACACTTTATGCAATGAAAATCTAATTTACATCAAGATAGTGACACATTTTGCATCATCGAATTGTAGAAGAAACAGAGATAATTGTTGACCTGCTGTATTAATATGAGCTGAAGATTAGGTTTTGGTTTGTCAAAACTTCCACACAAAAGAAGTATTTTGTATTTCGACTCTTAAGGATTTGTATTCTCATTCTAAAGCATCTAGCTGACATGAATTAGGTATGGGGTATTTGAAAAATGACAGTGGTATAAGAGATTTTAGTGTTTATTCAATCAAGTACATAATGCCAACTAGGTTGGCTAAGGACATTTTTGATTTATGAATGTAAAATAAATTAGATAAGCTTTATGCATTGATACCACAATATATAGCTAGTGATGCGTCTAGCATCATCACGCTTTAATAGAAAGCTGACCTACAGTATTTCTATCAGTTGAAAAATAGATATTGTGTCTGGAAAAGGTCATTAACTAAAGATTTTTTATGATTCTAGTGTGTACAGTCAATCGAAAACAAAACATAGACTATACTGACATAGAAACCGCAGGGTAACATGATCATCATTTTGTAATGTATAGAGATGATCAGTCAGTCAAGTAACATTTACTAAAAAGTTAGTAAAGCTACTTCATGTCCATATAGGAGGGTTTAACGTCCGACTATCCGTTGGGTGTTGGGGATGGTGGTCAAACCACTTTACAACACTTTCATATAATTCTCAATTAAAAAGCCATGGGCTGTGCTGGGATTCGAACCCAGGACTGTTAGCAAGGCAAATAAGAATTGGTCGCCCTTATCACACAGCCACTACGCCCCCCTGTAACATAACTATTTTCACTTCTTAGAATATTAGAGAATTCATATTCATTATGAAGCTGTACCTAAGTTCATATTTAGGTGGGTCAAATCAGTCAAGTGGATATATTGAATTGTAAATTTAGAAAAAAAAGTTAAAAAGTACTCACTGCTTCATCCACACTGTGTGTGATGTTAGTTCAGATTAGAGCACCGCATGATGCAATATCATCACAGATATATCAGTTTACCTGGTGGATTTTCACGGGTTGAAAATTAGGTGACAAGAGTTTTTTTTGTGTATAACATGGATTGTTTTCGCTTCTATGGATTATTGGATCATTTGGCTGAACCCCAGAGTTCATAAGTCCAAATTTAGGTGGGTAAAGTCAGTCGAGTACAAACATATACAGTCTTGTGCATTTGGATATTGTGACATTTGGCTTACTCCAGATTCCTGTCTGTCCTTTGATATATGTTGTGTCTCATTCAAAACATTCTTTTTGTATTGTAAAATAAATAAGGAAAGGATTATATAATGTACACACACGTTTACCCAATGCTGTTTTATGATACGGTATGATGCAACATATAGTATGTAGATGTTTACCTTGAAGATTTTGAATCAGAATTAGCTATTGGATCTTTGAATAGGTCATTGGCAATACATTATACATTGAGAGTACATAATATTGATTATTTATTTTCACTTGTAGGGGTATTGAACCAATTGGTTAAACCTTAGAGTTCATAAGTCCAAATTTGGCTGTGTGTAATCAGTCAAATCCAAAACATCAACTGTTTTAGCCTGTAGCTAATTGTTTTTTGGACATTATCTTGTATAACGACATAGTATTGTTGGATAAATTGTTGTGCATATTATAATACAGTATATTTTCCCTAGGAGGGGTGGACCTCCAGAGTTTGTAAGTTCAAATAGGCTTCAATTTACGTTCGTGCTTCATTATAAATTCTTTTTTGATTTTATAAATGTGAAATAAATTAAATAAGCACTCATTCAACCACATAGGAAGTATAAAGATGACGGTCAACCTGGATTTGTATTGTTTGAAAATTAAGTATTGGGTCATTGAAAAAAGGTATTTTAGTTTTTGTAAGCAGTGCAGTACAGAACATAAAATTGTTGATTTATATAATTTTAAATCTACATACTCGTGTGTACAGAGTTGAGCTTACCACCTTTATCAGTTCGCTGGCAGTTTCAGCTCTTCTGTAATTTACAATAGATTACAGGCAGGCCTTGAGAATCAACCGCCTCGAGTTGGCAGACGGGGGTCAGACCTCGGTCTTATCCCTACAGCCGCCAAGGTTGGGCTCCAGGGGCTGTCAACTTCTAGGTCATTTAGCCCCCAACACAATCATTTCCTAAATCAATGCACACTCTCATTTATTCTTAAATACATTCTTTCTTTATATGCCATTCACTCATGGTGGTAGAGTCGATATTCCTCCATCACCTTTTACATATATTATATAACTAACCTAATTTTGGGTCGAAGGGGTGCTCAGTACTCCACCATCAGCCTTCTCACACTACAAATTCATACCAATAAAAACTTCATTCTCAACACACACTAGGGACCATTTAAAAAATTAAAAAAAAATAAAACAACCCTGTTTCCTACAAGAATAAGAACAGTAACCCAAATACTCGCTACTGTGGTCTAGCACAATTCTTATGTCATTCCTATATATTAAAAAAATTGTATTTGTATATTTGTAAATTAAGGCATTTGCTAAACCACAGAATTTGTAAGTCAAAATTGGCTTCAGTTTTGTTTATGACAGTTGCACAAACAAATTTACAAAGCTTATATAATATTACACAATTGTAGAGGCTTATTGAAAGATAAATTTTGATTAACTTTTTTATCATGATTTGTTTATTGACTGAGTAAGCAAAATGTTATTTAATGTAGAAAGGAAAATTCTAATAAGTTAGTATTTATACATAAATAATAAACCATGATTTTCTAACGTTAGAGCACATGCATAATCATATAAAGGAAGTGTAGTGATTTGATGACCTGGAGGATTACTATGGGTGGGAATTTGTCCGATGTTTAATTCATTATAAATGACAGGATGTTGAGATCGTTTTAGAAAAGTTCTCAGATTTTGTTGGAGTGTTTAGATGAATCAGATCAAATACTACATTTGTGTTGGTCTTTTAAATTTTGTGCGTGTCTCTTTAAGTCCCAGGTAGACTCATATTAGAGTATGGTGTGGGGATATGGTTCAACTGAATAATTGTCAAATAATAGTGTCAGCTGAACAAAGACAAGATCAAATTAAAGATACAATATTAAAAGACAGTATGGATAATTTGGGTACAGGAGGAATAAAATATGAGGCTTGGGGTGATTCCTTGTGCAACTCGCAGTTAGGAAAATAGACTTGATTATAATCGTCTCAGAAATTTATGTAACCTGTATTTGCTTAATCACCAGTTTTGCGACATCTTACACAAAATCTAATTTTTCAAACTGCATCAGTTGTTGAGTTTGATTTTCAGCATTGTCACTGGAATCGTCAAACATCTCATGTACTTGTATTAATAATAACTTTTCTCTTTGCCTAATGTAGAAAACAAACATGCATATAAGGTTACATATACTTGAATATTTTTTTAAATGGCTCAACAATTCACACCTAGCCAATCTTTACTTGGTCAAAGATGACAGTCATAAAAATTTAAGTGCTAGTTTGAAAGATTGTAGCAGTTTTTGTTTTATGCATTAGGTTTTTTTGGCAAGTTCAAAATATTCTGTTTTTATTTTTTATCTTCTTTATCCATCATGCCTCATAACCACAAAACTTTTTCTATTATTTTTCCACATAAATTTCACGGAAGTTAAGTTAGTTCCCTTGTTAATTTTAGACAGATTTTACTCAAGCTGATGTAAAGGATTTGAATTGTACTGTAGTTGAACATTTGCCGATGCGTTTATGTTTGTTCTAAGATAGAAAAAAAAAAATCTGTATTTTAAACATAATAGTTCTGTGTAGTACCTATTGAAGAAATGCTCAGTGTGCTTTAAGAACTACAAAGAATTTAAAATCTCTAGAATTCAAATCTTATCTCTCTTTCCTAATAGAATTTCTTAACAGTGATAGTCGTAATCAAGTTTTGATACAACTTGTAAACTCCACTTTTTAAATGTCAGCTAGTATTTAGTAAAAATTGATGTTTTGACAGCGTGTAAGTATTAATTTGGCTTGAAAAAACAAAAATCCTTGGTCAAATTGACAAATAAAGACAGTGCACTTACTTTATAATTTTACTTATTTAAAAATATGTACATTGAATTAAAATGATTGTAAAGAGTCATTTTTCAGTGGCTTCGGAAAGTTCGGCAGCAATGAGCCGTTTGCAGAAAGATATTGTGCAGAAGTCACTCGCCTGTATTTACTGCGGGCTCAGTTTCAGCACGAGATCCGAGCTGAAAGCCCATTGTCAAACGGAGGCTCATCAGACAGTTATTATGAGCGATGAGGGCCGTGATTGGAAATGGCGGCCACCGCCGAGAGGTCATATTGCCGACAATTACACCCTGTGCGAAAATTGGGTGGAAATGGTATAAAGTTTAGAAAAGAATTGCACGGGCATAGATTAAATGTTACTATTTCCAGGGCACTTGTCGCTACGGCGCTCAGTGTGTGGAAGCTCATGGGGCTGAAGAACTCTCAGAATGGAAACAGCGGTTCGAGTACAGGAGGATGAAGCTCCAAAGAGCTTGTGAGAAAGAGCTATACGGCAAATCATACACAGAGCAACTCCTTGAAAGGTATTTTCTATAAAATATGAAAATAGTATTTAAATAAAACGTCTGTCGAATCACATAATTTTCATATTTTCATCCATTTATTATACCAAAATAATTTTTCTTAAATAATTGAACATGGCTTAAATAACCGTTAGGGTTGATTAGCCATCATAATAAAAATAAATAAAAATTAAAAAAATCCAATTGGAATTACTAGAAAATTAGTTATTTCACATATAAAACACCTTCTTTAGAAAAATTTATGAAAATGGTTATAATAGCAAACAAATATCCTAAAAATTAACTTAATCTGAGAACATTACTTGCCTTTCAAGTTGAAAACTACAATTTAAATTAATAATAAATTGATAAAATATGAAGTTAACAAAAGAAGAATAAAATGCAAATTTCACTCTTTCATTAAACTCTGAATGAGCCCAGAAGATACTGATAAAATAGAAGAAAATTGTGTGTGGGAACTGTTAGGCTCACAAAGTTGCTATCAGATATATCACTCTTGAAGTTAATAGCAGACATATACAACTTTTTTTCACATCAAACATTTACATATATAGAAACAAAAAGGGTAAATAAACAATACTTTATTTATTTTTTTAAATTTGTTTTGTTATAATTATATTGAAAAAAAAAAATGTATTGTGCTTTCAAATCTTGTATTCCATTATATACATTGGTTTCTAACTTAATGTGTTTTTTTGTCAAGATGGTCCCAAACATCGGAGCCATCAGATGTGATGAGGGAAAAAATAGATGACATCAGTGATTCCTGTTCTTCCCCTTTGGTCACTACGATGTCATCAAAAGTAAGCCGACACTTGTGGACATTTACAATAAATACCCATCTGCCTTTGAAAGCCGTTGCACTATTGCAGGATACCCATCGGAACCATTTCAACCTTTCGTAAGTTCATTTTAAAAGATTTTTACGTTGATTTTATATTATTGGAATAATTTTCATCTCGATCTTTTTTCCCTGGCCGATAGACGAATAACGACAACAAAAGGGGTTCAACAGCTCCTGTACGTTCAGCTTAAAGGAGATCAAGAATGGACAGGGGATATCCCGGCAGAAGAAAACGCTGATGTTCAATTGGTCCACACAGTTGAAGTCGGTTTTAACACCGATATCTACGGAACATTCCGCCAGTCTGTCGTTTTTGATTTTGGAACATCACCAACACTTGTGAAACACCTCTGTGTCGATGTGATGCCGGTTACTGATGCAGACAAAATGAAAGAACTGAAAAAAGTAATAAATAATAATATATAACTTGTTATTAAATCTCTTTTTTTTTTCTTTTTTTTTTTTAATACTGAAATTTAATATTAGGAGCTGGTCCTAACTGCAGCAGAAAGGTGGAACTCTGACAACACGACGATAGTCCCTTATTCACCATCGACCGACTGTGAATTGACAAAAAGAGAAAGAGAAAGAGATCAAGAGCTAATGGCCGCATACCCGCCGCCGAGCCCAGACACTTTTACATTGACACAGTCAACCGTGACAGAAAAAAGGCCCAACAGGGCAAATTATCGTGCGAGAATACATGAGCTGCTTTATGTTGAAGAAATGGCAAGGTACCAATTGGTAAGTTTCACTTTTTCATTGTATTAATTTCTCCAAGAACAAAATTACGTAGCCTTATCTGTTTGGGGGCGATAATTACATTTGCTTTAATCTGATATGCTTGACCGTTTACAGGTATATTCATAATAAGGGTATTGTATAATAGGATACTTGTACAATACAATAAAACCTATCTGTTACAAATTTTACTTATTTATGGATAAACTTCTGGATTAATTTAAAAATAGCTCACAAAAAATATATGATAGATAGATAGGTATACTTTATTTACAAAATGAAAGAAATTTAGAGTTAAAAATAAAAAACAGTATTATTATAGCATGGTATTAAGACAGTCAGCCAGAGTTCGGAGTGCATTACTATTCCAAGAATATACATAATTATGTAATTATAAGAAAAGGAGAATTTACAATATCAACTTCAGAGGTTACAATTATTTACAGGATTTTCAAATTACAAGATAGAAATGCGATAAACTTTGAAAATAATAAAAATGACACTTCAAAGAACCAAAGCAAGGATTCCAACTCACAAAGGGTTTTCCACCAGCAAACAGAATTCGCATTTAGAAGCCCATAAAGTAGAAATTATATGAATTACCTGCGAGAGCAAAAAAGGAAACAAAATAAGACAAACAGAAAATTAATTCCGTACATTCCAATATATTCATATCTGTAAAACCAGGCTTTACGTGTACAATCAATAAAACCCCGGCAATCCGAGCCATTTAGAAGGGCTATAAGCTCTTCCCTCGTCAGAAAACCCTTACCAACATACAGATAACTCAATTCGTTAAGGACTGAGCATCTAGTGAGACAACTCCCCTCGAATTTTAAACCACCAGCGAAAAAAAGAGATCATTTGCTGGAGCAGAAAAAACATTGCAAGGAGTTAGGGAATGATTCAACTCCTTGTATCTATTTGAATCCAAGGCACGAGAAATACAACTCTCCCGACGACGAGCCCCATAATATGAAGAAGATTGGAAAACATTTCAGACCATGCTGCAGGATTATCCAAAGAGAATATGCTCCAGTGTACATGTTGGTCTCAGGGCATCTTACTCTTGGACCCCTCAGCGAGTGTGTACTTTGACCTCTAAAGGAACAAATAAATCATTATTTGGCGGTGGGAAGGGGGAGAGAGAAAATGTGAAATAGTGAATGAGGGAAAAAAAAGGAGTGAGTGAGAAAGAGAGTGTGAGTGACTAAGCGAGAGAGAAAGAGAGAGAGAGAGAGAGAGAGAGAGAGAGAGAGAGAGAGAGAGAGAGAGAGAGAGTATGTATGAATGAGTGTAAGGGAGAATGAGTGATTGAAAGAGAGAGATAGAAATACGAAAGACCAAGACCAACTTAGATTATACAAATTTGCTAGAATTTCTTTTGTTCAGTGAATTCCTCACCACATCCCTTCACTTGTAAAAAATTAAATAAGTCAGTCTACATTTTTCTTGTGTTAAGTACCTACTACCTACAATAAGTGAAAAAGAGTAAGAAACAATAAAGAAAATATTAAATAAATTAAAAACTATATATATTTAAAAAAAAGAAAAGTTGACAGGATACACCCGAATATGTCCCCCTTTAACAATTATACTGAGAGAGTACTGTATCTCTATTTTTGAGTAATTATGCTGAGCTTGTAATGCTTGTACCTTTTAATATAGTTTTACTGACACATCTTAATTTCTTAATATCATAATAAACACTTTAAAACGTAATATTAATTAGGTGGCAAATTACAATCTGGAAGCGAGACTTCAATTGGCAAAAAATTACCTCTTGTCGCCGAGTGGGGTCGCAGCGAGTACGGCTAAGTATGCACAGAATGGTGAACTCTTTGCGCTCCTCTCCCTAGGAAAGAATGTCAGCGAGGACACATCGGCAGGAAGGCTGATATTGAACAATTGTGCCACAGTACTTTTGTCGCCTGCCAAGCAAAAAGGTACAAATCAGAGTGTTTATAATTAAATTTAAAAAATACTGCTCATTTCTATTTTAGGTGAGAAAGATAAAACAGAAGGTGAAGATCAAAAGAGAGTTGTGTATGAATCGATAATAGAGGACAAGGGCAAAAATATTGTCTATCTAAGACTTTCAGCTTCAACGGTGCAAGCTTTAAACTTAAAGGTAATCATTTAAGAATTTCCCTTAACTGAAAATTATTAGTACCTAATAATAAATAAAATATTCACATTTTAATTGTAAAATAAAATAAAAAATATTTTCACTTTCAGGCAGATACAAAGGTTTTGATGGACGTTCAGTTCCAACTGAACCGAGTACCTTACTGTGAATGGCATCAGGCGATTGACAAAATCGCAGATTTCAGAATTATTTTTCCAGAGACTTACGTAGAGCCTACAATCCCTTGGTCCCCACAGAGGTCAGTAAATTAAAAGTTTTTAGTAAATTGAGCTGCAATTGGTAAATTGTATTAATTTTTACAGACAATGGAGTGGTCCTGAGTCGAAGTTGAACCCCAAGCAAAGAGAGGCTGTCATGGCGATTACAACTCCATTAGAAATTCAGTTACCTCCAATTCTCATCATAGGTTTTTTTGTTTTTCTTTTTATTAAAAAAAAATCCAATAGACGCAAGCTGACAGTGTCTTTCTCCAGGACCGTTCGGCACGGGGAAAACTTACACTCTGGCCCATGCTATAAAAGAGGTACTTAAACAACCAGGCACGAGAGTTCTCGTCTGCACGCATTCAAATTCAGCTGCTGACCTCTACATCAAAGACTACCTGCATCCTTATGTCGAAGCTGGCCACGAAGAAGCAAGACCTCTTAGAATATTCTATCACCGAAGATGGGTCTCTACTGTAAACCACATTGTTCAAAAGGTACTTTTTTTTTTAAATATGAATATGTATTAGACATTTCCTCAATTTAATGCATTGGGAGAGAGATAAAAATCCTCATTTTATTGCCCCAACATAATACATCTACTGTCACAATAGTCTATTTGTATTTTTCTATATTTTTAGTTTGTTATCATATTACTACCATATAGTATCAGCCTTTCTCAACTTTGAATAACTTAGAATAATAAAAAAATAAATTACACTGCTCTCCTAATCTGAGCATTCCAATAATCCATACTGGATAAAAATTCAAGAAGTGAGAATTTTAAAGGAAACAAATGAAACATTATTCGGGGGGGGGGAAGGAGAGAGTAAATGATAGGAAATCATACGAAAGGCCAGGACCTTTTAAAAGTATCATTTAGCCCAATTACAAAAGTATTAAAAGAAAACCAAAACACAGAAAATATGATTGGCAATAAAATGGTTCACTTTATTAAGACTTCCCTAAATAAACATCTAATACTTACCTTTTCTACTTATATTTGATAGATCCTATTAAAAATGGCACTACAAAAAGTAAATAATACCCTGAACCTTTCTTTTTGTTTCAGTATGCTATATTTGAAACAAACGATCAAGGTGTGAGGACTTTCAAAGTGCCCAAAGTCGAAGATATTTTAAAGCATAGAGTCATAGTTGTCACCCTCAGTATTTCAATGCACCTGTCCAATATGGGACTTAGAAAAGGTAGGCTAAGTTTCTGATGCAATTTCAACCTGTTAAAACCTTTCTATAACAGGTTGATTATATTTATACAATCATTATACAAAGGAACTTGTTTTTGAAAAATGTTTTCAGGCCATTTTACACATATATTATTGGATGAAGCTGCCCAGGCGATGGAGTGCGAGGCGATTATGCCACTTGCTCTGGCAACTGATACCACGAGGATCGTTTTAGCCGGTGATCACATGCAGGTGTGAAAACATACTTTATTTTCAATATTTGCACAAAACGTTTAATATTTATAATAATATGACCCATCAGACAGGTAGTTCACCATGGGAGTACCGCCTTTTCACTTAACTTTATCTAACTGTTTACGTCCATTTTAGGGGTGAACTACTCTGATGGGGACTGACGGCAATGTTTGCTACCGGTATAGAGGGTTTCCGATATAGAGGGGTTTAAAATGTACAGAAAGCTTATCTTTTTTGTCAGGAATGTAAAATTTGTCCATTAAAAGGGTTTCCACAATTTAAAGATTGGAACTATGTTATTTTTCTGAATGCAATCTCTTTTCCTCTATTTTCCATTTTCTACGAAACATTTATAAAACACATAATCTCTATATTATTTATTGTCTGGCTCTTGGCATAAGATGTGTAAAAATATGAAAGGAACAGGGGAAAAACTGAAGGAAAAAAAAACTTTTTACTGAAATCAAAATTTAAAATCAAATACCAAACATCTAGGGGCATTGCGATGGCTAGTATAAAATATTTCCATTATGTAAGCAGACAAATAAAGAAATAATATGATATATATATATATATATAAATTAGAGTTAATTTTGTGAATAGCTTAATTTAGCTAAAATTCAACATACATTATTCAGAAATCGTGAGATGTGGTCTGGTGTGATGTAGGTGATTTCTGAATAATTATCGATTAACGGTCACTAACCACCACACATTCAACATTCAGTGGAAACCCGTTTATCCGGACCCGTTTGTAAAAATATTTTTTATTAATTATTTGGAGATCATGAAATGCAGTCTGGTATAGTAGTGTGTATTGGTATAGTCTCACGATCTCCAAATAATCATTAATTAATGGTCGCTAAACACCACTCATTTTTTATAAATTTTTCATAATTCTCAATTTTTTTAAATGCATAATTCAACTATGGGACCTTTAATTCGGCTACCAAATCTCCCTTCCACTCACTAGTCACACGACCGGAGAGGCTGACAGTCACATTTTTGTTTAAAAATAAAATAAAAAATAGACAAAAAAAGGTGTATGCTATTTTAAAAGACTATTGTCAAGATATTGTTGTGTTGCATTGTTCGTATGTTGGCTTCCATTGAAAATGGTTTTTATGTATATTTTTATTAAGTATTTTTTATGTATAAATTTTGCGAGAAACGCGTATCCGGACTTAAACAAAAATAAAACTAATAAAAACTATCTATTACTTTAAATGTCACTTGATGTATGAATAAAAGTGTTACTTTTGTATCTATTTTTTTCCCCCCGTTTTTTTTTACACAATACTAATAAAATCACAAATTTTCGGATTATCCATACTTTCAATCATCTGGACAAGTCCCGGTCCCTTCAAGTCTGGATAAATGAATTTCTACTGTATTCTATTTTATTTACTTTCACTAGGGCAAAGATGTTCATAATATCTCCACAGTCAATATGCTAACCACGTAAAATTAAGAATTTTAATAAAAGAATTATTTTCCCCATTTCAGTTGAGTCCAGAGCTGTTTTCTGAATTTGCAAAAGAGAGAAATCTACATATATCTGTGCTTGAGAGGCTGTATGATCATTATCCTGCATCATTTCCTTGTAAAATATTACTCTGTGAAAATTACCGTGCTCACGAAGCGATAATCCAGGTATACAGAAATGAATTGTAAAATATATTTTTACATAAATGCTGTTTTTTCTAATGTTTTAACTATTTGTTACAGTTTACGTCGGAGTTGTTTTATGAGCAGAAACTTGTGAGCAGCGGGAAACAGCCGAGGCACGATTACTTCTATCCTCTCACATTTTTTACAACTAGGGGCGAAGACGTACAAGACCACAATTCAACGGCATTTTACAACAATGCAGAAGTGAGTTTATTCAGATGAGGTTGTCGAGGGGGGTAGCAAAGACACCTTTGCATCGTGGGGGCCTGATGCCAAACGTGTAAGCAGGCGGACTCTTGCAGACAGGTTTAAAATCGACGCAGTATTCAGTCGGGCCTGGTGATTTCACAGTCGCCACCTCTTTAGCCTTTGTAGGCATAATAGGACGTGGAGACCGATACTTGTAAACCTGCGTATCTGGAAGCAAGTAGTCCCCTGGCCCGGGTGTTTTTTCCGTATGCTCAAATTGGTGTCGGCCATATCTGAAATAGATTCAACTGTTTATAATCTGCCTGTATTCTAGGTTCATTTCTACTTAATTACATTGAAAATGACGGAGGTGATGCTAAATGAGGTACATATTGTCCTAAACAATCTGGTACTATGTATTGATTCGGTCCTGGTGTCACTTGTTTCTGTTTTAAAACATGCCTCCCGGCAATTGAATATCCCGGCTGCCTAAAATCAATCATGATTGATGGTCTTTCAGGTGAATATTCACCAGGGCCAGGATTCTCGTTAGTTGCTGTAACACATATCCTTTTTGAGTAATCAGAAATAGTAATATTTAAGTTCTTTCTGTTGTCAAATTGGATAAAGCATTTTAACATAAATATACTTACTCTTGGCGTGTCCTTTTGACTTGATTTTAAACCCGTGAGACTTGATCTTGCCAAACCTGGTCAGCCCTGAGACATTGTAAATCGGTCCTGGTGTCTGTTCGAGCTCATCTAGCACAGACGAGACTCCTGCAGTGCGAAAGCTGAATGCTGGGCCTCGCCAACGGTTTACCGCGTGGTTCTCATAACCGACCATCGGGGGCAGGAGGTATTTGGCAGGCCCAGGCCCTATATGCAAACAAAATGAAGATTTCTAATCACCATTGTTCTCAATTGTTCAACAAATTTAGACTTTCATTTAAAATAATACTTCATTTAGATAAGAAAGGATTGAAGAGTGCGAAAAGATTATACATTTTGATTGATAGGAATTATATGGGGGGTAAAAAAAAATTAGCCAGGAGGAATAATATATTAAGAGGAGTGATAGATATGGATCAATTTGATTGAGACAGAAGGGAAGTGATATATTTGATTGAATGAGTGAATTAATTGAGGGATAGGTGGATAGATTTGACTGTGTTAGATTTTAGATAGTGAGTGTAAATTTGTGAAGGCACTAGGGTGATTATTTTCTAATTAAAATTATGTACAACATAACTAACGTTTGGTAGAATTCAATTTTTTATTTATTTTTACATTAATGTACGCTAGATGGTGGTTAGGACCTTAGTAGCAATTATGGATCAGAGGAGAGCACTTATTAAAAATGGATAAAAATAATAGTTGAGGGTCGTTTAAGACTATATGCATTCGAAGCATACCAACTGGTCCACAATCTGCTGCCATCTTTTTTTTCTTTGGGAGCTTTGTCTTCTTTAGCGTAGTCATTTTCTTGGGAGGGTAAAAAATTTGAACACAATCACTATATCTACACAGAAAACAACAAATAAAGAAATAAAAAAATTCAGCTGGCTTAAAAAGAAAAAATCATATGTTCCAGGTATACGAGGTTGTGGAGAGGGTGTGCGAGTTAAAAAAGCGATGGCCACCGTCCTGGGGCAAGCTCGACGACCAGTCCATCGGTATCATGACACCCTATTCTGACCAGGTGTTCAGAATAAGGTCCGAACTGAGAAAACGTAGACTGGGAGGAATATCTGTTGAAAGGGTCCTTAATGTACAAGGTGGGGTTTCCTAATTTGAAGATAAATAAAGATCTCTTATAACGACAATGCATAATTAAAATGGTCGCACAATGAGAATAAGAAAAACAATGATCTCATAGATAATAAAATGATGTGTGGAATGATGTATACCTTGTCTTAATTTGAATGATCTCAATGTTATGTCTATTGTCTTAGCAAGTTTTAAAACATTTTCTATATTAAAAAAAAAATAAAATGTTAAAAAGTTTAGATATAATAAGTATTTTATTGTCATTTTTTCTTAGTAAATCCTGGTGATCTGTTTTGACAAGGTGTTAGTCCATGACCAATTTTTGAAGTGTTCAGAGACGTGTTATGAATTTTTCCCAGAAACTGAAATGCTCCAAGCCCTTTAGTTTTGTACTTACATAAAAATGAAAGTGTTTTGTATTTCTTTTTCCAGGCAAGCAATTCAGAGCTATATTTTTAAGTACAGTTAGAACAAGGAGGACGTGCAATAACAAATCCGGCGCCGAGGTGGACTATGGATTCTTGTCCAATTCAAAATTGCTTAACACGGCCATCACAAGGGCTCAATCACTTGTTGCCGTCGTGGGTGATCCCATCGCGCTCTGTTCGATCGGGCGTTGCCGCAAGGTCTGGGAGCGTTTCATCGAGATCTGTGATAGGAATGGTTCATTATTCGGCATCAAATGGTCATACCTGAGATCCCAGTTGGATGGTGTAGAACTGAAGAGGGTGTACACGTTAAACCCACTCGCGCCTGAATTCATCCCGAGGCAGTACCGTGAGCCGAGATATTTTGTGAAACCTCTTCTCGGCGGGTATCCTCTACTGCGTTACGGCCCTCCTCCGCTTCCTGTCCCTCCGGTGATGTCCTACCCGATGTACTACCCTCCACCGGCCATCTTTTCAATCCGTCCCATCTACCCGTACCTCAATCCGTACCAGACGAATGTGCCCCTGTCTTCGAACCAGAACTTCCTCATAAAGGATATTTTGGGTAGCAACACAAACACAATGCCGTTGCACTCTGTCCAGCCCCCACCGCCTCCTGCAATGCCCAATAGTCCTCTGTACTACAACCAACTGCTCGCTCAGCAACAACAGCAGCAACAATTGAAACAGCAACAACTGCAACAGCACACATCGCAGCCACAACAGCTTCAGCATATGCCCCAGCAGCATATATCTCTCCAACAGCAAAACTCACAACAGATGCTTTTGGAGAAAAAAACTGAAAAACGGGACATCCAGTTTTTAAACAATGTTCATTTCCCTGAAAGACAGGTAATTTAAAAATAAAATTTCAGTTTCTTCTTTTTAAAACAAAATTTAAATTGTAAGTTAAACTTTAATTTAAAAGCCTGTCATCTCATCATTTTATTCTTGTAATAGTTCAGTTTGTGTTGAATTTATCCATGATTTTCTCTCATCCTTAACATTCGAAAATCAAACTTTTGGGCGAGTGTCGAGTTGTTCCCTAAAAGAAGATTTTACTTGGGAACTGTTTTAGGAATTTTAACATTAATTATGTAGAAAATTAAATTTATTTTAAAAATTATTGGTTAAAATACAATGGTTTTTTAAAATATATTTTCAGTGTGTGCTTCCTCTTTTGCCTAACGATGTTTCTATAGACGAACTCTTGGATTCTCAGACAAAACAACTCGAATGGTTTAACTTTCTTCAAGGGAATGTTGGTTTGGATGCTGCAGCCAAGTAATTATAAAAAATATCTCAAAGTGAGATAAATTTTAATATTAATTATTTGTGTACTTTTAGGTTTGCTGATTTTATAACAAAAGCTTTAGCAGCGAGAAAGCCGCCTCCTCAGAGTGATCTCTCTGGATTTGGTGATCTTCAAATCGCCAAACCACCTCCTTACAAGTACATCACATCACCACAGGTGAAAAACGTAAGTGTATCGTTATCTTCTCTACATTGTGAATTGTCTATTTATTTAATTAATATTTTGAACAGGGGCCGTTTAACACGTCCAGCGCCGATCCACCGAGTTGGCGCGTTTTATCTGAGAAACCGCTGTCTCAGCTGGCAAGTCTTTTTGCAACAGATTGCTCGATCACCGATCTGCCACAGCCGCGAAACGGTTCGGTACCGCTCTACCAGCGGCAACCTGGTACGACAAACACTTACGCGAATGCGGTCAAAGCGCAGAACAGCCAGGACGAGGAGAAGGATCTTCTCGCCGGACTACGCGATCTCGGCAACAAAGCGCTCGGCGTCTATCAGTATTTCTCGTGAAAAGCTTCACTCTGATAATCTTCTCTTTAAAAAATGATTAATCATTCACATTTACATTCGTCAAATCATAAAGAAACAGTATTTACTTTATTTTAATATTTTAGTTCATTTTTTAAACTTTTTGAAGGGTGATTTTTTTGTACATAGAAACATTGATTAAAAAATTATAAATTAAAAAAAGGCAAGAGAGAAAAGCTAATTTTTTTCCAAATTTGAACATTTCGCTGAGAGAAAATTAGAATTTTAATTAGATATTTGAAAATAATAAAAAATTATTGTTTTAAAGATGTTTTTCTATTGAATATATAAACGTATGGCACAATTATAAATAATATAATTAGTAATATAACAATTATTATTTGCTTTAAAAGTTATTATAAAATAAGATTAATGATTAAAAAAAATATATTATGGTGGTATTTATATTTTTTTATAAAATGCATAAAAAATGTAAAAAAAAAGCTTTATTATTTAATAATTTTAATTTGTGGTGCTGATTTTTTTTCTAATCTTTTTATACAAGTTTATAAATTAAGTATGTAAGATCTGGTAATAAAGGAAAAAATTAGCTTTTTTTTATCTCTGCCAGAACAAACAAAACTTAACAATTTATGTAAATTTCATGTTTATTCCAATGTAAGAAATTTGCATTTAGCTTTAACAAATTTTCCCTTTCCCATCAAATTATATTCCAATTATATAATTATCTAGGTGGTTAGATGTAGCTCGTATCATTGTAAAGGCGTAGTTTAACAAGTAAAGTTTTTGGACTTTTCCAAACTCGGTTTTTAAAAGTTGAATCAGCGCCCAACTGTACAAAACGGTCTGGAAAGTTCAAACAATTTTCATTTGTAATTATCAAATTTTTTTAAGAAAAAAAATTAAATATATTTGTGAAATTTTCCTTTTATTAAATGTTCTCCAAATATGCATACTAAACACCTAACATCCCACCAAAAAAAAATATAAATATCATTAAAGGGGTTTAAAATGTCAACTCTAAAATTATATTAAAAAAATGATACCTGTTTTGTAAATGTATATTATCAAATTTATCACTCTGGGTTGTTCAATTTTCCTTCTCCTGTTAAAGGATTCTATTAATAGATTATATGTATATAATTGTATGCCTGCCTGTTAATATTATAGCGTCTTCTTCTCAACAAATATTATCCTAAGCTTTAAACTTTTAGAGGAAAAGGGGGAAAACAAACGACTCAGGTGTGATATTTTTTCATCAAATCTCATTGTCCCGCGACAAACAAAAAGGTATTATTGTGAAATAGGAAAATATTAATTTCATTCTTCAAGAAAAATTCAAACTTTTGTATTTATTTTTTACAGTGGATAACAGAATATTTCACCTAATTTTTATATATAATGATGTACAATTTATTATTTTTTACTTGGAGTTTTTTTCTTCCTTTAAATTAGATTTTGTGCGGTTTCACCAAACACTCCCAGCGTTCTAACTGTAGATAAATCCCTCACTTATTCTTGAATTTTCTCTCAAGACTGTATATTTTGCATGTTTGTAAGAGTATGCATGCGTGTACGCGTGTGTGTGTGTAAATTTGATGTCTTTTCAAAAACCTTTCTTTCCAAATACTTGTAACATATATGTGTATAAAAATATAAGGAAAAGGGTTTATATTGTAAATCTTATATATTGTACGTACAGAGAGGACAAAAAAAAGATAATAGATTTTCTTGTTTATTTATATATGTGTATAAATAATATTATATAAAAGTATTTAAATAAATAAATATATATAAATGTACATAGAAAACAAAAAACAAAAAAAAATAAAAATAAACAAAAAATACAAAAACAGTAGTGAGAAGAAGAACAAACAGAAAAAAAGAATTATTTTATTTACTGTCCTATATCCATATACTTACTATCTTACAGAATTTACTTCATATCATCGATATATAGCAAATTTCACCAAAATTTGTAGATATCAAAGAGTAGGAGATTTACTCATTTTTACCGTTTTCCATTATTATTATTATTTCAATTAATTAATGTTTTTATGTGAGGTTTTAGTGAAAATGAAAAAGTTAGTGTCATGAGCTTTTTTCATTTCAACTAAAACCTCACATAAAAAGATTAATTGAAAAAAGTAATTTGGCCAATCAGACCACTAAATATAACGGATTATTATTATTGCTATGATTTTGTTAAACGTAGCATGAATAAACAGTTCATAATGAGAGAAATGTTTAGCAAAAAATCAATACAGGAATTTGTTGATGTAAAGCATAACTGACACATGTCATTTTTCTACTATTCATTATTATTTTTATCACTTTTTATATTTTTGTTAAATGCGTTAGTGTAAACAAACAATTTATAATGAAAGAAATTATTAACAAATGGAATAATTATCAAAATTGATAGAAGTAAGAAGCAGCTGCTATACACAATTTTACATTCTTATTATTGATATATTTAACAATTTTATATATTTTTTTGTTAAATGTAGCATAAACAATTCATTACGGAAGAAATGATTAACAGATGGAATAAGTATCAAAATTGGTAGATATTAAGAAATAACAAGCTGCCATTTGAATATATGAAATGCCATTTTATTACTTTCCTATATCATTATTTTTATATTTTTGTTAAACATTACAAATAAGCAGTTAAAATTAAATTAAAGATTAATTAAATTAAAGAAACGATTAACAAATGGATTAAGTGCAGTACATATCAATTGGCGTACAATCAAGAAGTGGTAGATACATGCATTTTGCTACTCTCCGTGTACTTACTTTTTTGTTTTAATTTTTGTTAAAATTTAGTCAAAATAAACAGTTTATATTAGAGTAAATGATTAAACAGGTGGAATAAGTATGAAAATTTGCAAATTTTAAAAAAGTAAGAAGCTGCTCATATATACGTACATAATAAAGGCTAGTTGACCGCATAGAAAATACTGTTGGTAAATGATATACGCTTTTCTATATTAAGATATAGTCCCATTTATTAATTTTATTATCTCCTATACCTTTTCCATTATTATTGAGATTTTTGTTAAATGTAGCATAAACAGTTTTTGATGAAATAAATGGATTCAAATACTAAAATTTACAACATCAAGAAGTAAGAAGCTGCAGTCATGCGTCTTTTTTTTCTGAATATTTGTAAAATCTAAGTTGGTTTGGTCATTCTTCTGACCCTCCTCTCACACTCACCCATTCTCTCATTTTCTTTTATTTTTCTCTTCATATTCTTCCTGATTCACTATCTCCCCCTACAAATAATGTTACATTTGTATGTTAATAATGCTACATCTTTATAATTCTCACTGCTTGAATTTTTTACCAGTTCGAATTACTGTAATGTACTGTTCGGAATGCCAAAGTTTCAATCAATTTCTCACTTGGAATCCTAGCTGTGCTTTTGAAGTTCTGAGACTTATGGAAAGGCCATGACTCATGTCCTGTGCAGTGCTAATTGTTCATACTCTAATACAGTTTCCCAATGTGGGGCCTACACCCCACCGGGGGGCAATTTTTGTTTTAAGTGAGGCAATTTTAAAAATAACTCGTTTAGGTTTTTAGTCAACTATGGGCTAATTCTCATTCGTAATTTTGTTGAAAAATCATCGAATATAGTAGCTTCTGTCTACCATGAAATAGCAAAATTTATTTGTTACACCTCGGGTTATTCCGAACCTCAAGCATTTCTTACTATTTTTTAATATCCTGTAATAATTGCTGTCTGTATCTTATTTTCACAGCTTTTCAAGTAAGGCTTATCGTCATCATTGTAGTAATTCAATCTATTGTTCATTAAAATCCTTGCGAAGACTAGCTTTTTCATGATTCAGTACAGTTTATTAAACTGTCAATTAAATGATAAGTATATTAAATTGTCAAGTAACATTAATTTAGTTTTTAAAGGTCCAATTCTAGAATAATGAGAAACAAATGTTTTTTAATCTTTGGGTAAATTTAGCATTAATATAAATTTGCAGATAAATACAAGCTAGTCACGTTTTTATTCAAAGGAAAAACTTAAAAGTAAAATTTCAATAAATTTAAAATAACACTAAATATAGACTTATATGATTTGTTACTGATCTTTTTTTGCAGAAGGCTAAGGCTTTTGCATATCAACACGTCTACAGATTACGCCAAATCAATAAAGCAACAAATTGAAATTTTTTACTTTAGCTGGATCCGGCAAATATTTTTCAACGATGCACCTGTTAAAGTGCAAAAAGTCAACAATCGTGTGATGAAGTCTAATTTGGATCTATCAGTTGCCCGTTTTAAAAGTAATTTGGACTTGAATCTCACGTCTTGTGTTTATATTGGTGCGTTAAAAGAATATAACTTATTTTAAAAATTGAAAAACATCACAAGATGAGTTCCAGATCATTAATTTATTAACTCTCATATTCGTTCCGACACCCTAGATGCAGAACATGGTTTTCAGTTTTACAAAAATTTGCTTACTGTGTTTTAACAATTATTCGATAGTAATTTTCCCAATAATTTTTAACTTTATTCAGTTTTAATAAATAATATAGATGATGTACATTGTGGTTGAGGGATGGGGCGGAAGGGATTTGAAAAATACAAAGTGGGACATGGCACAAAAAAAGATTGGGAAACATTGTTTTAACAAAATATATCTCGCAGTTATTAGTGCACTGCCCAGGGGCATCTTGAGGCGTTTGTTAATGAGATGATGCCCATGTGTCAGCATGGTGTGGCCTATTCGCAATCGAGTCATTGCTATTCTTTCTTTTGGGTTCTTTCTCCATAAAATCGTTATCGAAATTTGCAGATATATAAGAAGTAAAAAGCGGCAGATATATGTTTTTTCTACTTTCTATTATTATTAACATTTATTATAAGTATTTTTTTTTAATGTTAAATAACCAGTTTGGAGAGGGCCAACAAGACTAATATCTTTAAATAGTTTTATATTAAAATTGTAACTGTTTACAATGTACATAATGAAAAATTGTTTTCATTAATATTTCCTGCACAAAATTTGATAAATATTTATCAAATTATCAATATCCTTCAATTGCTGATATCCATGGATTCTGTAACATCGGGCAGTTCCATATCCTCTTCCTCTGCCTCTGATTGCTGTAGAGAGTTATTTCTGAAAAAAAGTTGATATTCAACATAATATGCTTATAAATGAAAAGTTTGACTTACTTCTGCATTCCTATTAAGAAGCCTGATTTCATGAGGTTAAATTCTGAATTGAAGATGTCAACGAGAGTTGGATTGAGTTTACGTAAGGCCTCACTGTGAATGGCCGGAACGTTCTTGGCGTCTCCGTAGTTGTGTTCGAATCTTATGTAATTCATCCAAACTTCTAAAAAAAACGGGAAATCCGGTTTGAGATAGGTTGTTCTGGTATCTAATATATGATCCAACAGTACCTGTGCTGTCTATGCCGAATTGCGATGTCGCAAGGAGGTGGCACTTTCTTATCAGCTTGGAGCAGATGTTGGGCTGCGTCTCTTCCAAATCCATCATCTTCTGGTGGAGTTGCAACGAAAGAGGAGGAATATTGGCTAGTTCAGCGTAGAGTTTCCGCCCGGAGCAAATGCCTCGATTTAAAGTCACCCATTCTAGATATAAAGGTTTGAGCGCTTTACACACAGCCTGGCTTGATTTTAAACTCCTCTTATAAAGCTCTTCCACCTAATGAAAAATTTATTTTTAAAAAATTGTTGAAAAAAAGGGCCATACGTTTTTAAAAAATTAAATAGTTTACTTTTCTTAAATCAGTAAGTTGGTAATATTGCAGTAGGTATTTCCATAAAGGTAGTGCTTCATCATCTCTACCCTTGAAAGCCTGTATTGCTTCATTGAAGATTTCGAGGCCGGTCACATTGTCGCCCTGCTTTAAGAAGAACATGATCCTGCGGTACCATAACTTGCAGGAATGGGGTAAAGCTTCAGTGGCCGATTTCAGGAACGAGGGAAGCCGTAAATCCTTGTCCTGAAGCTGCTCAAACCAAATCAGGTAAAACTTCTCTGTCAATTTGCCTTTGTTGTGCGCGAGGAGAAGGGCGCGTACGAAACAGTTTTTTCTTAAATTGTGCATCGGGCCGTTCTCGTTCTTCAATTCGTACATCTTCTGCACATACATCATTATCATTTGATTTGTTTGGACTTGTGCAACCGCGCTTTCGTAGACTTGACAACAGTTCCTGTAACATTTGAAAAAAAAAAATTACTTTGTTTCCCTGATTTTTGTTTTAGAATTTTTTTTATACCTTATCCTTTCTCTGAGTGAAAGATGACTTTTTTCAAGTTCACGTTTAGCCAGCATGTCCCAGGTTTTCTCTGAGTTAGGAAATTTAGTCACCAGATCGCTATTCACACACACACATACATTAAATAATGTATAAAACATGCCTAGTTTGAATTCAACAAAACTTACTCGATGATCTTCCCTTGGAGTTTTTCCGTGAAATCGAATTCGCTCGCTATTTTCATGAGTTCAATTCCAAAATCTGGTTCGTTCACTTTTTTTATTGACATTTCATAAATCACCTCTGCCAACTGACCACACAGTATGGGATCTGTGGGTTGTACGTCCTTGTTCTCTTTTTCATTTGTTTCAGCGCTGTCTACAATATATAAATAATCATGTATTTAACAAAAATATTTGGGCCAATTTTTTCCCAAAATTTAGCAAGCCAATGCATAAGCATTACATTTGGCATGTTTTAACACACTGTGTTAAAAGATTAACAGTGTAAATTAAAACCTTGGCCTTAAGAGAAATGCCTGATGAATGTAATAAAAGAAAAAAAGAAAAATTGAAAAATAAATAAAAGAGAGAGGATGAAAAAAGATGTGTTATAAAAGTTCAAATAAAACCAAAGCAGCCAAAAATGGACGCGAAAATAAACCTGGATCAGATTTTTTCACATTTCCTTCTTCCTTGGCAGAATTCACTGAAAAAATAAACAGACTATAAGTAAAATAATTATTTTAATTGTCAAAAGTTAATACTCACATTGGCTAAAATATTCTTTTCGTTTCATAGCAGCATATTCTAATTCAAGTCTAAAACTGGCCTCATAAATAATTTTTGAATCTTTGTGTATGTGCAATCCTGTAAGAAAATATTTCCTAGCTTTTTCAATACAATTGCACTGTTTAAACTCAAAATCTGCTGCTATTACGAACAGACGGGGTTTATCGCCATGCCTGCTCAGACACTGGTCAAGTATTTTGCTCGCACAGGTGTAGAACCTCTGGAAAACAAAAAGCTTAACAAAAGCCCGACATTTACGCGAATACTGATGGAAATCGACTCACGACTTCTTTGCAAAACTTGATGTATGACATCCAGAGTCTGACATCGTCTGAAAACCTCCTTACGGCCTGGTTGAGCAATTTGTTGACGTGGTTTGCGATCATGTAGTCGATCTCGTTCTTTTTAATGGAGTGGCCTTTTTCCTGGCGTTTTTGTTTCAGAAGCTTCAGCAAGTCCATCTCGTACTGGATGTATCTGAGCATGTCGTCTTTGCACTTTGTCGTCCTAGCCAGCTTGTACTCAAAATCCTTTCTTTTCTTGGCGATAACCCTATAAACAGTGTAAAGAGTAACCAAATAAAATACCTCCAAATTTACCCACAAAGGCATGGGTCTACCAACGGCAGTTTTTTACTCTGTGCGTTTTAAATTGAACTGTTGATTCTTTAAGAAAGTCTTTGGTTGAAGATATCGCTTAGATATTTCAATTCTTTGGAGAACAACTCAATTTATCAACTGTTTAAGTTGGTTGAATTTATTGGGGTTTATTGACAGCCAATCATTGTAGCACCATCTATACAAGAGTGGTTGTAAAAACTTCAAAACTTGAGTAAAACGCAGATGGTCAACCCTTTCATTTTTATTGAGCGACAGAATGTTATCTCTTATGAGATAATTCACTTGAAATGGAACTATTTTAATAGAGATTTTTTTCATACCTTATTTCGTTCTTGTCGAAAAGTTGAGTTTTCTCCATCAACTCCAACAGAGGGATCATCTCCTCCGTCTTCAGTTCCACGAACTCTGCCATTTTTCGGCCTTTTTAATGCGATCCGGAGACGAATTGTCAAATAAATCTTACTAACAATAATAAATTAAAAAATTAAAAAAACAAAAACAAATCCTCAACTTTTGAGGAAGGATCAACGAGGTACCAACTATCACACACAACTCACGATAACCTTCCACTAGCAATTAAAATCCTGGAAAATGGCCAATCACAAACATCGATTCCTCAATAAATCGATACTATTAATATATCTACAAAAGGAACAATATTTATTTATTAAATTATTTATTTTTTAAATATTTTTTACTTAAAATAATATGTTGAAAAATAATTTTTAATGGAATAGTTTTAAAAGGTAAGTAGTGAGAAGTGATAAGACGTCATAGCAATCGATACAACTATCGATAATCCTTAAATCAATCAAATATGACAACTTTCAAGTTTCAAGTAACCTGTCCTATTTCCTAGTTGTTTATCTTAAAAGCCGGACAGGACTTATTTTATTTTTTCTAATTCGGCTTCGTTTCCTGCCATGCTTCGTAGACGTGATGGAGTACAAGTATGACGGTACCGGCTTGCCTCCTCCATTCGAGAAGCGGAAGGAGGTACGGGTCGTCTTCTTCGACGTGACAGACAAGAGTCCCAGGGACCAGTTCGTACTCTGCTGTTTAGCCGTCTTCGTACTTTATCTCGCCTACGGTTTCCTTCAGGTGTTGTTTCTCAAGAATAGATCTCGTTGTAGTGATTGATCATCTATCATTCTTCACAGTGATAGATTTAGACATTTGTTTATTATCTACTCTCATGCCTGCTTGCCAACACAATTTCAGTTAGGTTTCTATGTTGATTGAGCCATGCTTCAGTTTACATTTTATAAAATTGATTAATCATGTATATTTCTTCACAAATTCAATTTTATTGATTGATGAAAAAACAAGAAAAAATCTCAAATAATAATTATTTACGAGCTACTCCTCGTAATTTCAGTTTAATTTAGATATAAATCACCAATGCCAACACTTTAATTCCTATTTTATAAAAGAAACGATTGATCATCCAGCATTCTTCAATTTCAATATGCTAGCTAGTACATTTCGATTTATACAAACACCATTCAAAAACAAAATAATCTCGAATGTTCTAAAATTGTTCAAACTGTCTTACATTTTATAAATAATCTGAATTATTTCAGGAATTGATTTTCACCCAACAGAAGTTCAAGTCTTTCGGATGGTACATCACACTAATTCAATTCGCATTCTACACCGTATTTGCAAAGTTGGAATGCATCCTGTTCAGAAAATCTGAGAGAAGGTGAGACCAACAGGCTTTATTCATTTAAATATGCAATATTTCCAAAATTGACGTCATTATATGCTTCTAGGGTGTCTCTGAGAATTTATTCTCTATTGGCGTTTTTGACCCTTGGTACAATGGGTTTGTCAAATTCATCGTTGATGTACCTCAACTACCCTACTCAGGTAAATTTATAAAGTCAATAATATATTTTTTTTTATGTTAATTTTAAAAACTTTTTCTCCAGGTGATATTCAAATGCTGCAAGCTAATCCCTGTGATGATCGGATCGATCCTGATCCAGAATAAAAAGTATAAGTGTATGGATTTCATTGCAGCCCTCTGCATGTGTGTCGGGCTGAGCTATTTCACCTTGGCGGATAGTGGAATCTCGCCTACTTTTAGCCTTATTGGTAATAAACCAATAAGCCTAATTAAAAATTTATATGATTTTCCAGGCAGATGCATCTGTTTATAATTTTGTTCTCAGTCTTTATCCACAAGAAACATTATAAAATGTTATACTTTTTATAACTTTAATAGGGAGGTGTTATACCCTTGCTTATTACACACTCTAATTTTCTCAGCACGCTCATAATTAAGCCTTTAATCATGTCTTGAAAAATTTCATTTCAAATATCAACTTAGTAGGCTTAGCTAAGATTGTACAAGGGTTAGAAGGGTCATTTCTTCGTATTAACCAATGTCCAAGCTTGTCTGAAAAGTGCTCAACGAGTTTAAAGGTTGGCCTGGCCATCTTAGAGTGCGAATATTGTTATCACGAACGTACTGAATAACACCAGTGGCAACATTTGGTCTTTTATTATCTTGCATAAGGAACAATTGCTCGCCAAGAACTGTAGAAATTGGCACCATGTATTCCTCATGTAATTTCTGAATTATGTGATGGGCTATTACAACAAATGTGTATGTCCATTTTTGCCTCCCAAAGAAATTCCACCCCTCCTTATAACTGAACCACCTCCGAACAAACCTCTTATGGCAGTGTTGCATTGGCACTCTACAGCTCTTTGATAAACTCAAAGACATCCATCTGGTGATGGATAAAAAAACCAAGACTTTTATGCAATGTCAGTCTTCCCTTGCAAACTCTAAGCAGACCTGACGATGGCCTTTAGTAAATCCAGGACTTGTTGGCCTTCTGGGATGTAGACTCTATTCTGCAAGTCTCCTTACTGTTTCAGTACTAACAGACACATCCCCCAAAGTTCGAAGTCCGTTTCAAAAGCGGTGGGAAAGCAATTTCTCAGACTACAATCTGATAAATCAGTCAGCGGCTGTCCCCTGGCTCTTGGTGTACCCTGAATGTGTGTACCTACCACTGAATGCCCGACAGATTGTGCAAAGCTTTGCAGGCAAAGCTAATACTTACGCCATCTTTCACAGATGTATTCCATCCTCAATGAGTACAGTAGCACCAGCAACATACTCACTGATTATGGGAATTTCTGCAGTAGTTTTGTTTTGTGCCACCAATACAGTAGTGAATAAAGAGCATTTTTAAAGGATTAAATGCCCCATTTGATGATTTATTTTGTGGGGGGTATTTGAAATCAAATTAAGACATAAAAGGGTTTTGCCTCACAATCAACTAAAAAAAAAAAAAATGGCCAAATATTGTCAAATTAAAAAATACATTAAAATTGCAAGGTGTGCCACTTATTTTGTGGTGCAGTGTACCTGTTTTAAATTGTTTCAGGTGTGTGTATGATTTCATGTGCTCTCGTGTGTGATGCTGCAATCGGCAATGTTCAAGAGAAGTACATGAAAGCGAATGGAGCTTCCAACACTGAAGTTATTTTATACTCTTATTCGATTGGATTCGTCTATCTGTTGTTTGTCCTCCTCCTGACGGGTGATTTAAAACAAGGGATCCATTTTAGCAGCGAAGTGAGTCGAAATAATTTTTCCACCTTTTCATGGTGTAAGTATAAGTTTTCGCTTTCCAGAAGCCTGTAGTCTTTTGGTATACGATGTGGTTTTCGCTGACCGGCTATCTCGGCGTTCAGGTCGTGCTGACTCTGGTGACAATGTCAGGTGCTTTGGTCGCTGTCACGATTACAACTTGTCGAAAAGCCGTTTCAATAATTGTCTCCTTTGTCTTTTTTACAAAACCTTTTACAATACAGTATGTGCCTCTTAACTGTGCTTTATTTTCTACTTCAAATTTTTTTTTAATATATATATTTTTTAGCTATGTTTGGGCAGGATTGATAGTCATCCTTGGTATATACTTAAACCTTGCAAGCAAGAATGTCGGCCTGCAATCTAGTCTGAAAAAATTTATTCATTCGATCAAACTGCTGATATTAACAAAACGACCTGAAAAATCCATTGAGACGACTGTGTGATGTATGTAATAGTTTAATCAGCTTCGCCTTTAAAAAAGTGTTACCAAATTAAATTATTACACTTTTACTCATATGACTTTATATTATCAATGTTATTTGTGCATTATAATTTATATAATGCAGTTATATTCCAAATGTTATAAATATTGTTTCGTGTATAAAGTTTAGCATATAAATATGTATAAATATATATATAATGTGATTACAAAAATTGTTTTAGGTAAATCTTTTGTTTTTCTTCTTAAAAAAAAAGAGAGAGATTGAACAAATTTATAGTTAATTCTTGATAAATTTAACTTGTTCAATTGAATTGTAGTTAATTCAAAGAATTTCTTTGGACCCATGTCATTATATGAAAATATTACCTAAATAAGTCAAATAACAGTAACAATGCCTAAATATAGGGGCAGCGGTGGCCACAACGGTTTGGGCGTTGACATGGCGCTTATCACTGTAAGGTATAGATCCCGGGTTCGAATCCAGCAGAGGCTTTTTTCAAAAACACCGACACCCTAAGGGTTTATGTAACACTGTTGCAACCGTCAAAAAAAAAACCTAAATAAGTTAACTTATAAAAAATGAACCAAGTAGGGGACTTATTTGCAATTTCACCTCTACGAGAAAAACTTTTTAGCGTCATTACCTCTCAGTACTTGATCTTTTGGTTTGCCTTAAGATTTTTGATAGTGAAAAGCTTAAGTTTATTCACAAAGTGGAGAAAGGTGAAAAAAATTCAGCAGTTACAAGAGAATTTAACATCCGAACACATTTTTCAGTTGGTCATTTTTCTTTTTAATTTGTTTATTTATGTTTTTAATGTTTAATGTGTTACGCTTGTATATTTTCAAGTTTATTTTATTTTATTATTTTTTTGGGGGGGGGTCAAAACATTGTTATTATTTTAAACATCGTTCCCCAGTTATTTTCGCACCGCAGACAGGGCTTTAAGATGACTCAGATGAAAATAGTTCATAATTGAATTTTTTGAAAATCTAATCTGAAATTGAAAAATAATCATAATTGACATCTTCAAATCTTTTCTTTCTTGTTTTTCATAATTTCATTTACACCATCCACCTAGACTATTATTTTTCTACTGTCTCTAGAGTGTCTCTTAGTAACGACTTGTCTCATCTAGATGATAAAGCTAGGGAATATGAAATGGGCGTTAAGTCGAATTCTTGTTTAAAGTTAAAGAATATTGCTTATTTAACATATTTGTCATCAAATTCATTGTCAAAATTACAGTTATAGCGTTTAATCCAATTCATTTTAATTTTCTGCTGGGGCATTTTCAATTCCTGTAGTTGATTACTAATTTTTTTCAAATTAATATATATCTGTACATTTGAAAGCATTTGAAATGTCACCTGGCTATCATTGCATATTTATTCTTGCTGATTAGAGAAAGTTTTTTTCTGTTCATGTAGTTTTTAAAGTTATTGGTATTCCTTAAGCGCATTTCTTTCACTTGATGAAGCAATGTAAAGAAAGCCTCATTTTTACTACCTTTTTTGAATAATTCTACAAAAGCACGACTTACAAAGTCTGTGATGCATAACTTATTGAATTAATAACACATTTCTTGATCTCATCTTTTTTTATTATTTTTTTATATTTTATTTATAAATATAGAAATTTCCTCTGAGTAGTTGTATACTGTTTCGTTTATTTTAATTCAGAAGTTTGTCTTGTAAATATTATTTTGTTTTTGTAATAGAGTTGCACTTTCTAAAATGTTGAGCAACCCTTATTCGATTGCTCAAAGCCGTTAATCTACAAAACAACAATTTCACAAAACCAGCACAAAATACTCTCCTTGAAAGTCATTACTTTTATTTATTTGTTTAAACTTGGGTGAGTTGTTGCAATGGATTAGGCTTGACAAAAGTACCAAGCATATATTTATACAATAAACAAAAACAATCATAAACTTTCTTAATATATGTGAAGAAATGAAGTTAAGCGAATAAAATTTATCTGCATAAGCCTTAATAAACAGCGTATAACAATAAAATACTTTATAGAGGTAACTTAGGAAAATGGAAAATAAAATAAATGCTTCATGAACATGTTGCCAACATTAAAATTGTAGACACAGTAGAAATTACACAGGGCGTATTGTGAGGCAGCACAAGTATTGCGACTGCTGTTGGTGTGAAAACTATGGGCTCAAAAGCAATATTTGCCTAACTTTTGACACCAAGTTTGGCCGTATTTTTCATACAATTCACACTTTTCATGTGTCTATGAACAATAACTGTGGGTTTTTCCCATATAGTCAATTTTAGATCTAAATTTGTATCTTTTTAATTTAAATAAAACAAATAGCTTTAAACTAACAATAACGTGGAAACACACCAGATGTTCCCCCTCTCATATGCAATGAGTTATTTTTTATCCAGGGTAGGGGGTCAAAATAATTATAAAAGGCTTACTTTTAAAATTCTGAATATTGAAGGATTTAATAATGTCTAGATTGTCATATGGAAGGCATTTCTTGTTTTTTATGTAAGCAAATATTGGTGACTGGGTAATGAGGCAAGTGATCTGGCTTCAAAATTTGAGGGTCAGTTCAATGATGAAGAGGATCATCAAACTCAACAACTTTGGTACTACCGATAGCAAGAAAATGCCCAGTAGACCAACCAAAGAGGCTGGCTTGTATAAAATCTAACAGCAAGAAAGCCAGCTATCATGTGGCACAGTTGAAGCCGTACCACTTTGAAGAGACATCCCCTAGCCCATTACACCTGCAACCTCTACCACAAGATTTTCCTGAACCCAGTACCGCTCAAGGGTTCTCCATTTCAAAAGAAGGAGGGAGTAACCGGGTAATTAAGTCAACCCTCCTTCAGGGCAGAGGCAATGGAAAAGTTGACATATTGGCCAAAGTGGGAGACAACATGGACTCTCTAGGTCTTGAACCGTAGGGGCACCAGGGAAATAAAATGGCTGGAATTTATCTTCCAGAAGATAGCCATCTTCTCTGACAGCCAGGCAACACTAAAGGCCCTAGCCTCATGCAAAGAACTTTTAAAACTGACCCTGGCTTGGATCCCTAAGCGTTCAGGGCATAGAGGCAATGAAAAGGTTGACATGTTGGCCAAAGAGGGAGCCAATATGGGCTCTCTAGGTCCTGAACCCTACTGTGGCTTAGCATCTTGCCATAAAGACAATACATCTCACAATGGATCTTTAATGAGTTCAAAACCCGGTAGAATAATACCACAGGCATGAGGCACGTGAAGAGATTCATATAAGGGCCATCCGCAAAACTTACAAAGGAATTACTGGAAGGCAATCGAACCAGGGTTCTGGTTGGACTCCTGACAACATTGCCACTTAAGAAAGCACATGCACTGGATAGAAGTACAGACAGAAGAAACACTGTGTAGATACTGCAACGAAGAGGAGATCACAGAGCATATTTTATGTTTCTGTGAAGGCCTATGTAGATCCAGGTTCTTGCAACTAGGACCGGAAAAACCACAAGCAAGATGACTAAGGAACTGCTGGCAAGGCTATGGAGGTTTTTAACTATTAACAACCTGAAGCTGGCCAATGAGTTATAAAAAACAGGGAAGCACAATAGATCTACTCAGGTCAAGGTGCAGAAAGCCTTGTGGCCATCTCTTTTATCCCTATCCCTTTTCACACAGAGCTATCTTGTCGCCAACAATTTAAGCATTTCACATGATAGTTGATACCAACGACTAAACACGTTTATCTTTAACATTTATTCTGAATACAGGAGTTACAATGCAAAAGGTAGAGATTTTTAAATAGAAAGGGCACAGTAAAAAAAATTTTCTTTAAAAAAAAATCTCCAGGGTGTAATTTTTCTACAAAGTAGAGTCAAATTCGAGCCATTTCAATGTTTTTAGGAAGTAATTATTTGTAGCCTAGGTTCAAGTAATTGAATGATATTCTATTTTGATGGGATAATTTTTAAAACAATTGAACATTATTTCCATATGTAATCTATTTAAAATTGATTGTATTAGGACCATATGTCAGCATAAATAGTGGAAATCAATCAAGACTAAGTTGGAATCTTCGATAGTTCGAGTTACGCTTGGCGAAGTTGACGAAGAGGCCCAGCCATAAGTCAGGCAGTAGCGAGACGTTTTTAGCCCGGTGGCGAGTGCCAACTGCCAAGTAGTAGCGGGCGACTCGTTTCGGATCGTAATCGCTAGTCGGTCGAGAGCGGCCAGCCCTGATACGTTGTCAGTACACCTACATCGAGATGAACTGTTTGCGGCTGGTTTGGTTGAAGGACGCCCTCTCTCAACGGAGGCCGAGTGCCGTCTTACCACGGCTGTTCAACCTCGACCATCACGGAAGGAACATGTCGTCCGCCAAGACCCTTACCCTCGACAACCTCAACCCATGCATCAAAGTGATGGAATATGCTGTCCGAGGGCCCCTCGTCATAAGGGCATCGGAAATAGAAAAAGAACTGAAGCAGGTTTGATTTATTAATTTTGCAGATGTCACAACCGAACGTCAATAAATTTAAAGGCACGCCCTTTATTTTTGTTCTGTTCTAATTCTATTTTCACGTCATTTTTATTTCCTACGATTTCATCTCAGCTTCAATTAAACCTTTCTCTTTCAACAAAAATTAACTTAAAATAACAATTTTATATTCATTTTTTTTAATGGCGATCCGTAAAATCGAAAAAATTCTGACATTAGATTTTTATTTATTAACAACGTTTAACCTTCCACCTAGCCCGCTGTTCTGTCACTTTTTCGAATTTGAACTAGATTTAAGTTTTCTAAGGATTTTGACTCGATTTTTAGTTTTAATTTGAAATAAGTTCATTTTCGTTTTGGAACAATTTTTGAAAGACCTACATTTACGGTTGCCCAAGTATCTAGAACTTTTTTCGAAATCTTCTGGACTAAATTAAAAAAAAAAAAAAAAAAAAATAGTCCACTTGATAAGAAGTGACTTAAACACATTTAAATTTTTTTATTTAAAAAGTACATTTTATCTTTGAACAATTTTAAATGGACAATCATGGAAAATTTATCAATGTAAAATGTTTTTTATATTTCAAATATTTAAGCTTCCAACTTGAATTTGAACTTGATTGAAGTTTTTGAAAAATTTGTCCCAATTGTAATTTTAATTTCAAATAGTTTAATTTCGTTTTTGGAACAATATTAAAAGAAAAAATGACCAAAGTTGAATTTTTGTTGGTCTTGACACATTTACGGTTGCCCAATTTATAATTTTTATTGAAATTATTTTAAATGAAATTAAGTTCATTTTATGTTTGAACAATTTTAAATGGACGATCTAGGAAAATTTATCAATGTAAAATTTATAAATGGGCGATTGAAGTCACAGTAGCACGAGCAGTGGCTTATTTAGCCGAAGGTCATGGCTTCGAATCCCACCATTCATATCGAGAAAATTATGTATAATTAATTGTGTATAAGTACGTACAAGTTTAACTACAAAAAATCCATCAATACATGTTCTTTAATTATGAATATTAAATCAATAAAATGGTATTTTTAGATATAGTTGCCCAACAGACTTAATTGTCACTTGATAAATTTGCAGAAACAAATATGCCTGCACCAAAAAAAAGTCTACTAAATACAATGTATTATTTACTTGGTCAATGGAGTATTTTTTAAACTTATGTAACAGTACCCTAACCATTCCTAAAACTTACATAACAGTAACCAATAAACAACGAGACATAAATAAACTGCAAGAAATCTACGTACAGTACAATCATAATGAAATAACAATAATTTTTTAGCAAATTGAATTTTAATATTTTGTAGGTTCTCTTTTATATACTATCAGTTCAGAAAGTCTATTTTTCATTGAAGAATTTTTTCTAGTATTATACAGTCTATTTCAAAATCCCATAAATGCTCGATCACGTTTGAATCAGTAGATTGGGGAGGTATTTTTACCAACCAGGGTGCATTATTATATTAGAAGACAAAAATTAAATTTCAAGTAATATCACTTAAAGGAAAACTGTAAATGAAGGCATAATTAAAAAAAGATGCAGTGCGATTTAAAAAAAAAAGTTGATACTCGAGCGGCCATAAATATGTCGACCAATAAAAAATTAAACTGGTAAATTTTTTTTTCTCCAAATTCAAGTTGGAAGCTTAAATATTTGAAATATAAAAAAACCTTTTACATTGATAAATTTTCCAAGATCGTCCATTTAAAATTGTTCAAAGATAAAATGAACTCAATTTCATTTAAAATAATTTAAATAAAAATTATAAATTGGGCAACGAACATGAGTCAAGACCAACAAAAAATTCAACTTTGGTCTTTTTTTCTTTAAATATTGTTCCAAAAACGAAATTAAACTATTTGAAATTAAAATTACAAATTGGGTCAAATTTTTGAAAAAACTTCAATCCAGTTCAAATTCAAGTTGGAAGCTTAAATATTTGAAATATTAAAAAACGTTTTACATAATTAAGAATAACTTGATAAAAGTTGGTATGTACATACTTTATATTTAGGGCTCAAGTTGAATTTTTCAATAATAAATAAATCAATTATCTTGATTGATAGTGCCTTTCACTATTAGCAAAAATTTAGCCATTCTAAAACATCTTGAACCATCTTAACCCACCTAAACCATTGTCCATTGACAATTCCTCAATAGTCAATAACTTTCTATAAAATTCTTCTACATTATTACTATTATTTTTTAATTAAATCCGCTTATAAGTATGCGATAGGCCCTGCTGGATAATAGAACCTTTCACTATTTTTAATGAAATAATAATTCATAAAATCTGGCAAGATTGTCTACCTGCTCGCCGTCATCACATGGACATTATCGTTTAATATTATCAAAAATAAATTAACAAGAAGTTAACAGTTTACGATGAAATCATATTTTTGAGAAAAATAATGAAATTGAAGAAAAACTGTAATTGGTGCTTTAGGCGGTTAATAATGCATTTAAAATGTATGTAAAAAATATTCATTGTAATTAAAAGGAACATCTTCAATTACAGAGTTATCTGATAGACTCTTATATCCACTTTTTTCCGTAAAGTGTCTGTGTGATAACTCACTTGATAAATTTTATCTACAAACTTTTTTTTTTACAGGTTTAGAATTTACAGTTTAGTGTTAATTAGCAATTCTTAATAGTTTTAAATGTTGAAATACTACAAGTATGGTTACAAATAGTCATAACACTTTACAGATCTCAAATAGAACTATATTAAGGGCAGGCCATTTATTTTGGGACTTGCGTTTGTACAAGTATATTTAGTTTTTGTATGCAACACAATTACAATTATTTAATCATTGCGTCTTTGTTTTATTCGTTTTCACTCCTCCGACATAGTTGCATTTTTCCGTGGTAGTGATTTAAAACATAGATGTTTTAACTCATTTCCATATCTGTTGATTTAAAACGTAGATGTTTTAATTTTTTACCTTATCTGTCGGATAGCTCGACTTTGCCCTACTTCTCGCGTAATCTTTTTTTCCTGAAAGATATTTTTCATTAATGAAAAAATTAAAAATTTGTTTCACTATCATTTGTACACTTGATATGCAAATTATGACTTAAATCACTGTGCATTTAATGTGATCAAAATTGTTTGATCTGTTTTTTATGTTATGACATATTCTAATATGTAAATTTAGAAAAAAATATTACCATGCCAGTTTTAATATAATTAAAAAGAAACATATTTAAAGTAAATAAACATCAGTATTAAATTATGATTATTTCAACTGATTCCTTTTTACATCTATAGCATATTAGGGCGGACCTGATAAAAGTCTGTTGCTTATCATTTATTTTATCAGTTATAAAAATTGAAATGTCTGTGATTATCCAATTGAGAAAAGAGCGCTTGTTTGAAGAGAGCGAAAGTTCACAGATAACTGCTGACCAATAAATTTTCCACGGCAAATTCGCCAATGTTCAAACAAACTTTAGAGAAAATACAATCTTTTTTAATTTACTATTACTACTAACAAAAGGATTTATTCAAAATTAATTAGAAATTTACGTAGTATAGAGCAAGAATCTATACAAAAGCGAAGCTTGGAAAATATGTTTTATTAATCTTTTTATGTAAGGCTTTGGTTGAAATGAACAAGTTAGTGTCACGAGCGGGATTGGAACCCATAACCTTCGGCTCAATACACCGCTGCTCTAACAGCTGTTTTGTTTTTTTTCAACCAAAACTACATAAAAAGATTAATTAATTGAAAGACGTAATTTGGTCAATAGACCACTAAATATAATAGATTTGATATGTTTTATGTTGAAACATGAAAACATTAAATTAATAGATTTCAAATCAAAGATAATAAACAAGCATCACACAAAAGAAATGTAATATATAATTTTTTTGTTAACTAGGGTATAAAAAAGCCATTTACTGAAGTAATGAAAGCAAATATCGGGGATTGCCATGCGATGGGTCAGGTGCCGATCACATTTATCAGGCAGGTGTTAGCCCTGGTTAGCTACCCAGCGCTTATCAATGACAGCAGGTTCCCCGAAGATGTAAAATGTAGAGCCAAAGACATTCTGAAAGGCTGTCGTGGAGGAAGTGTAGGTTTGTATTTGGGTTTTCTTAAAAAGATATTTAATGAATTCTCATATTTATAACTATTAGGGTCTTACACGGATTCACCGGGTATTGAAATGATAAGAAAGCACGTCGCTGAATATATTGAAAGACGAGATAATCAACCGAGCAGCTGGGAAAATGTATTTCTTAGCGCGGGTGCTTCTAGCGCCATCAAGGTGATTCATTATAGCCATTTATGATTAAGCATGAGAATTAATTTTACGTTTTATTCCAGTCTGTATTGAGCCTTCTCAAATACAATCATGAAGGTAAAAGACCGGGAGTTATGATCCCGATCCCACAGTACCCTCTTTACTCAGCTTCTTTGGCAGAGTTCGACATGGAACAGGTATTTCATCCCCCATTTCAGCCAGATAAATCTGTTTATTACAATCTTTCAAAATAGATAGGCTACTACCTTGATGAGGATAAAAACTGGGCCTTGGAAGTCAAAGAGCTCGAAAGGGCGGTGTCGGAGGCGAGAAAGGTCTGCTTCCCGAGGGCGATCGTCGTCATCAACCCCGGCAACCCGACAGGGCAAGTACTAACCAGGCAGAACATAGAAGAGATTATTAAATTCGCAAAAAAAGAAAACCTTTTTATCTTTGCAGACGAGGTTTGATCTTTGTATATTTTCAGTTGTATTCTATTTATTAACAGTTTTTCATATTAGGTTTATCAGGATAATATCTATGACCCTGAGAGTGAATTCCATTCTTTCAAGAAAGTACTGATGGAAATGAAAGACCCTTACGACAAAATGGAGTTGGCGTCATTCATGTCCTGTTCTAAAGGTACAACCTTATTATATTTATTATTTTATATGTAATTTTGTCCAATTGCATATTTATCAGTAAGAAAAAATTAAAAGCTTAACATATGACTCTTGAGTAATAAATGTTATCGGATTGATTTAATCATTGATTTAATGTTAATGATGATAAGGGAGTTGGTTTTTTCCCAAATTATATTTTATTTAAATAGGAAAGATAATACATATTATTAAATTAAATATTTAAAATGAATGTGCAGTCTTTACCCTAACATAAAAATTTACTTTACATGCCATAGTATAATAACAAGAGTATTGAAGTATAAAATGTGTTTCTGCTTGGAAACATTTTGAAAGTTGAGTAAAATCACATTGCACCTCTTTAAAACAAGCATTACTCTTATAAATTAATTAAGGTTTTTAGTTGAGATAAAAAAGTCAATGACAAATGAAATGGCCACGGAAAATGTAATATGAATTTAATAAGTTAAAATGAAGTATACTTCACTAAAGCTCTCTGGCCATTTCATTTGTCGCCGAGAATCAAATAGATTACACAACATTTGAAAAATGTCGAAAAGGAGAGAAAATTAAAAAAAGTGGGGTTGAGATGGGAAGTTAGTGTCCGAGTGGATCGAAGTCACGATACCTCAAGTGGTAGAGCAGCAACGAATCTAGTCGAAGGTTGTGGGTTCGAATCCCGCTCGTGAGACTGACTTTTTTATCTGAACTAAAAACCTTAATTAATTGAAAGTTATTAATTGGTCAAACGGACCACGAAAACTAGTGAAATTTTTCTTATATTTTATTGAGAAATTGAAACCGAAGACCCCCACCTCACAATCTGGATGCAGCATACATATTGGCAGAAATAGATTACTCAATAAAATAAAAAGATGTCATTCCAGTATTTTCCACGCAACTTTATCCATCTCCACACAATTTTCCATCCACTCTTAACCATCTTCAACCTTCATCCATCTCCATCCACCCTTAACCTGTATTGTAATTTTTATAAAGATACGCCTGTACTCATTGTGACATATCATGAATATAGGATCATCTAAGGAAATTATTTAATACAAAAAAAATTATTGTGTTACAGCTATGCTTTAAAACTTAAATTATTATTGTTAAATTATCTAATGACTGTGTTCCGTTATGCACAACATAATTGGCTTCATGTCATTCAGAATTTTTTAAATTTAAATATGATTTTACATTGTTGTAAATTTAAGGATATATGGGAGAGTGTGGATTACGAGGGGGTTATAGCGAGGTGGTGAACTTAGATCCAGCAGTGAGAGCGATGTTCCTTAAATCGATCTCTGTAATGCTGTGCCCCACCGTACTCGGACAGGTACACCTGAAGAGAGTGTCAAAATCATCTTGTTTATTTATTTTTACCTAAAAAGGTTTGGTTTTAAAATTTTAGGCTGTGATGGATTGCATCGTAAACCCACCGAGGTGCAGCGAGCCTTCATATGAAATGTTTATGAAGGAGAAAGAGGACGTGCTTTGCTCATTGAAAGACAGGGCGAAGATGGTTCAAGAGACGTTCAACAGTATAGAAGGCTTTTCTTGTAACACTGTCCAGGGCTCCATGTACGCTTTCCCACAGATGAAATTGCCTTCCAAGGCGATAGCAAAAGCTAAAGAAAAGAAACAGTGTCCTTCTGTGATGTATGCGTTTGAGCTGTTGGAAAGCACCGGGATTTGCATCGTGCCCGGTGCTGGTTTCGGACAAAAGCCTGGCACGTATCATTTCCGGTGAGTACAAAACATTTCGCTCATCAATACGTATGCAATAATATTTTTTTTAACTTTTTTTACAGGACGACGATTCTCCCACAACCTGAAAAGTTGAAAGTAATGTTGGACACATTTAAAAAGTTCCATATGAAGTTTTTGAAAGATTATTCTTAGTCAATTTTATTAGGTCAGTCTTCAATTAATTATTTTAAAAAATCTAAGTGTTAAATATGTGCACTTAAAATTTTGAATATATATGAAAAAATATATTAAACACTTTTTGAAGTAGTTATGACTTCCTTATTTATACACTTTTTAAATTAATGATTAATTACAAAGTAAAAAATATTCACTAGAGTAAACTCTAAAGAGGTATACTTAAAAGAAATGTGTATGATTGAAATAAATGTATTTTTGCTTTTGACGTTAAGAATGATTTTTTTCCAATCATCCTTGTACACCAGACATGTTTCAGTGTTTCACAATCTTCAGTGGTCGGCTAGGGATGGTCAAGAATTGTTAAACACCGTATCAGGATAATTAGGGTTAAACATTTTTTTTAAACTTTCACCCTCATAAAGGCCATGACAACCTTGACATCATGCCTCAGAGAAAAATCGTCTATGCTGGCAACAATGTCCCACCCTCCATACTCTCCAGACTTTGTCATTTCCAAGTTTTACTTATTCTGCACCCTAAAGAACCACTTAAAAGGCAGAGAATTTTTGAATTAAAAATGAAAATTAAACTTAAAGAATTCTTTTCATCCAAGTCAGAGATTTACAAAAAATGGATATTTCTGCTACCAGAACATTGGCAGTGTGCTATAGAATACAAAGGAAATTGCATTTGGATTAAAAGTAAAATAAATTTGTATTTTGAAAGTCTGACTTTTTTCTAAAAACTGCACTAATCCAATACATACACACAACTATATTTTATTTTGGTCAGGGCTCAGTGTACCTACATCTGAGGTGGGTGACTCTCAAGGCCTGTTAGTAATTTATTGTAAATTAAAAAAAGGTGGAATTGCCGGTGGACAGTGATAAGAGTTAGGTTCAACCTCTGTACTGATTTGAGCTTATGTAAATCAGTAATAAATCTTTACATAGTTTCTGACAATTTCATTTCACTGCCAGATAAAATTATGAACAATTATTTACAAAAAAAGACTATCAGTTGTGTCATTCAATCAATTAAATGTGTAATATGTTACAGGCAAAAGAATAAAACATAAAAAAATCAGAATGTTCAACTGATGATTACCATACCTAAAGCCAAAACTGCATACATATCTTAAAATGAGAACAAATATACATTATTTACAATGAGCAAATGAGAATAAATAATATACATTATTGCAAGCCAAGTACCACTATCAAATTATCACCAACCAACAATCATTAACAATTCCAATATATTTTATTTACACTGCCATCCACTATACATAAACAAAAATTGCTCGTCAATAACAGGACCAGTCAATTAAAAATGTATCTGTTTTTACCTCCAAAGAAATTCTACTACATACCATAAAACTACCTCTGAACGACCCTCTTCCGGCAATGTTGCATTGGCTGTAGTGCCATACAGCTGCTTGATAAACTTGAAGTTGTCTGTCTGTAGAATAGAAAAAAATCAGGACTCATCTGAAAACATAACATTCATTCATTACAAATTTCTGTTCGATGTTGGAGCTCCCTTGAAAACTCTAAGCAGTCCTGAACAACTGTCTCCAGTAAGCGCTGGACCCGTTGCTGACCTTTCTACAGTCTCCTTCGTACTGTTTCAGCGCTAACGGACATATCCCGCACGGTTTGAAGTTTTGAGACATTTCAAAATTCAATCTTAATGAAATGAAATCTCATAAATCGGTCGTCAGCTGGTTCCCTGGCTCTTAAGGTACCCTCCGAATACACCTTATGGACTCCTGGTACCACTAATTGACAACTGTCATTTACAGCAAATCTAAAACTCGCAGCATAACTATGATTTCTTCCATACTCAGCGAATACAATGGCCCGGTACTCCATACTCACTCATTTTCTGTATTTTGTAATTGTGTTGTGCCGGTGGCAATAGTGAATAAAGGCATTTTTATAGGATTTAATGCCCTCGAAGGTTGACATTGTGGAGGATTTTAAATCATATTAGGAACTAAGCAGTTTCGCTTCGCTGTAAGCACCAAAAAAAATACTTTCCATCTAATTGTAATAATTAAATCATTTTAACAATGATTTAACATTCACAAAACAAAAAAATATAGCTCAAATTAAAAATAAATCAAAATTTCAAAGTGCGCCACTTTTTTTGTGGAGCAGTGCAATAATAATAAATGCAGAGAAATAATTTAGTATTTATTCGCATTTCCACGTTACTTCACAGTTTGACATAACACTGAACACAAACTATTGTGATATGTGTCGCTACAAATCCATCTTACTATCTTTACATAACTATAACTATACCCAACGAAACAGGATTTATTTATTTGAAAGATACTGTATCACTTTCAAATAATACATTTAATTGAACAGGGCAGGTCAACCCCTATGATTCACCTGTAATCGTAGCGATTTTAATGAATTTATCTTGTTTGTAGAGGGGAGGTTGTGATTTGCTTTGATTCTTGAATAAAATAATCCAAACAAAAATAAATCTTGTATAATTTTCACTTTATTAATATTACATTTTCACTTGTTAAGCTTTATTCCCTCATAAAGAAAAAGAAAATCTAGAAAGAAATGATAATGAATATGATCAATCACAATATAGTGCACTACCTAAATATAACAATCAAGGTATTAATAATAACGTTAAAAATGAGCATAAACATGTATAATAAATTCAATTTATTTTAAGCAAATATATTCTTCTTATATGTTTAAATATATATATATATTGTTTGTTGTTGTTTTTTTCACTCTTCTTTGAAGCATAATAATATAAAATGTGTATCTTCCCCCCCTCCCAAACAAAAAAAAGGAAAAACCAAGACAAATTTATTTAAATGGCCAAATACAAATGAAAATTAATGGGGCTATGGATAAAGAAAAGAAACGGGATTCGGGCCGTGGCGTCGTCCGGTCTCGCCTCGTTCCATCCGCGAGATCAACAGCAGCCGGATTTCTCTTGAGTGTATCTCTTTCCGTCTTCGATCTTGAGGCTGGGCTGGTTCTCCGGTGCAGACGAGGGCGGCCCGACCCTGTTCTTGATCTCAGCCGCCATCGTGATGAACGCCTGTTCCACGTTGAGCGCGTTCTTGGCCGAAGTCTCGATGAACGGGATCTTGAGCTGGTCCGCGTACTCCTTGGCCGTGGCGTAATCGACGACCTTCTTCGCCGTCAGGTCGCACTTGTTGCCGACGAGGAGCTTGTTGACGCTGTCGCAGGCGTAGCGGTCGATCTCTTCGAGCCACTGCTTCAGATTCGCGAACGACTCCTCGTCCGTGCAATCGTAGACGACGATTATCCCGTGGGCGCCCCTGTAGTAGCTGGACGTTATCGTCCTGAACCTCTCCTGGCCGGCCGTGTCCCAGATCTGCAGTTTGATCGTCTTCCCGTCCAGGTCGACGGTCCTGATCTTGAAGTCGACTCCGATCGTGCTGATGTACGACTCGGAGTACGTGTCGTCCGCGAACCTCAACAGGAGGCAAGACTTGCCCACGCCCGAATCCCCGATAAGGAGAAGTTTGAACAGGTAGTCGTATTCTGGGTTCATACTTTCGCGATGAATCGACCGAGAGAAAACACGATTTCAATTAATAAATAATTTCCTTTTCTCTTTTATTTCCGGGATTGGAAAGAACCTCTCTAGTTTTAAGGTTAATTCACGTCAGACGACCCACATCGCACACGGCGCGACTCGGCTCACTTGTATCCTCGGTCCGCGTTCTTTTAAAACTTTACAACTACGATTTCGACTTGGAAATACGGACGAAATTTCACTTTTGACGATAGGGCGACGTCAAATTCCGACCTGAACGGGTGTCAACGACGTAGTCACCACCAGAGTGACGGCTACGCTCCCAACCGACTTTTATCCGAAGCGAATCGACAACCTTGTCGTTTTTCATGCCTCGAAATCAAGTTTCTCCTAGAATTTTTCCGACTTTTACTTTGAGTATTTAACAATCGGACAAAAATTATATTAAAAAAAAAAAAGTCGAGTGTACAGATTGTCAAATAAAGACGCTTTACCACCGTTGACGTCATTGGCCGGTCTACATTATTTTCCCATTGTTCTATACGTCAGCTGATGGACGCGTCATGTAAAAAAAGTGAAAAACCCAAGGCTAGTCAATCAAGGATTAATTATTATTATATATCCTGGTGTATTATCAACCGTGGGTAATGACACGATATCCAAAATATCGGCGCATTAACAAAAAAGACTTTTTTCCGTATCAAATATGGATTCTCTAGATTTTTCTAGTTTGGTCGTTTGTGATCGTCATGGTCCGCCTATCCTCGATGTCTCGGTTTGTCAGGCTCATTTTAACTTTACACTGGTTTCACTTATACGTCTTATTACTTATTCTCATTCAGTTTTCATCCCTAACAAAACAGAAAAATGCAAACCTACAAAGACGAGTCTGACATACCAAAACGGCTATTTTAAGGATTTTTCCAAAATTACCATATATTTATATGCTGGAATTTTCTTTGGTCTCCATTATAAAAAGGAATAGTCTTATACTGATACATTTTACAGTTAAACGTATATTTTGTATTGAAACATTTGAAATTAAATACTGATACATTTAAACCCATTATTTTGAATTAATAAATCCTTTTAAAGGATTTTGGATGAACGGTTGTAGGTCAGTCATACTCATATCACCGGTGTGTCACCTGCAAACGCAATTTTTACAACTATTTTCGGAAAATCACTGGTGCATAACAAGTACAGTAGTACATCTAATACGCTACCTTGTGGCACTCCTGAATTTATTTTTGATGTACCTCCATCACCCTTTTCATTATGTACCTAAATTGATGGTTGATGAGGTACTCGATATTCCACCTACTACACATTCCCACTATAAATACATTCACTCAATGCCCAATAGGGGGCACAAGAATATCGATACTATATATACAATAAAACAAGCTCAAGCATTATAATCATATCAGGTGGCATTCATACATGCTCTCTATTAGGCACCCTTCTGTTAGGGGGTACATTGAGTAACCTTTCTCTAAATGCCGAGCACATACGCAGGCTTTAGCCCAAAACTATGTGTGTCAACCTTGAGTAGTCTAATCTTAATCGGCTGAGGCTGTCCACCCACCTCTTCTACTGAGTCAGATCCTGTGAGGGCCGATCCTGCCCACTGACACTGCCACTTTCTTAACGTGTTCTTATTGCATTTTTAGCATCAAAGGGTCGGATCTCAATAGTTAAATCTGGATGTTGGGGCATGCCAGCTATTTAATACTTTAGTGCAAATAAAAGTTATGTTTTTTATAATCAGTAGCAATCGATATTTATCGTAAAATCTGGGGGAACAAACCAATAAGGGCTACCAGAAAGAAAGAAAAAGTAAAGATATGCATAGAAAAAATTTATTAATATATACACATTTTATTGTTATAATGCAGTAAAGCAAGGAAAATAAGAGGTAAAATGTTAATTTCCAAATTAATATTATTATTAAGGCCTACCTTTTTAAACAACGGACTCTGAATAAATTTTTGCATACGAAGTGAAATGTACATTTATTTATTTGTGATGATTAAACGAGTGCTATGGTCTAGAGCTTGCTGGCGCCACTGACATTTCCCCTGCTCCTTGTCCTGCTTCTCTCTGCGGAATCTAATGAAAGCCAAACGAAAACAAAAAGGTGTAAATGAAACTGTTAAAATTTCAAATATCTGGTGTACAGTCATAAAATACATTTATCTCAATTATGGTCATTTTATGTTGATTTTTTTAATTAGTTAATTAAGTATGTAATTCCTGTTATATGGGAGAGTTTAATGTTGGGTGTTATGGATGAGGGGGTCAAACCACTTTACAATATATTTTTCATACTATCAACAATTAAAGTCATGGGCTTGTACTGAGTATGGCATAATGAACTGAAATGTACTTTTGAGCAATTTTTAAAAACACCTTCAAGGAAAGACCTAAAAATAACAAAAATTAGAAATTTTTTACTGCTACCTCAAACTTATCGATAAAAGATCATTCTAGTGTAATACCAAAGGACATATAAATAAAATGGTCTATAATTATTTTAACACAAAAAAAGTATCCAGTAAAAAATAAATGAAGACAAAAATAACAAATTAACCTCACAAATCTGCAAATTTTCAAATCGAAAAAGTGAAAAAAATCTTTTAACAGCATAAAGTGAGATCAACTATGTTAGAAGGAATTTGATCAGTGCAAACTCTCCAGTGTGATATATGAAGATTGTCAAAATATTATCAGAAAACAAACGAGCTAATATACAGTGATATTTCTTTATGTTGTCTGTGGGATGATGAACCAGTAGTGCAATTATTTATGATCAATCTGAACTGTCTATTATAGCTGTTTTACACTGATAGACACATTGCTGAATTTCACCACTGTTAGCGATGTGTAGAGATGGTCAAGAATGGTTAAGGAAGAGGTTGTCAAAGTCAAAAGTTATCAATCAAATGGTTCACATGAAATTCTGCGAAAGCAAGACCAGAAGGCTCATCACCCCAACAGGATTCAAGGGAAGATCGAAAAACTATTAATTCTATTAAATGTTAATCTCACTTTGACTGAGATGTGGGCTTTGAGCAGAGCAGCCCTGAGTATGAGCATACGTGTCCGCCTCTGGTATTCCTTGCCCATTTGTAATGCCTTTTCGAACGTCCCACTCCTCTGGTCCATGTCTTTTGCGTAGAGTATCTTGTTGTGAGAGTCTATCCTGGCCTGAATTTGGCCGTCGAGTATCAGCTGCATCAACTCGTCTTCAAGGGCCGCAACAGTTGTATTGAACGCGTTCGCCATCTTTCCCATCTCAGCAGATTGATACGGGCTATAGAAAATTTTTTTTAGTAGGTAATTTAATAACATAGTGGAAAATTGTCTTACCTGAAATACTGGATTAATGCTCGATTTCTAATTTGGGAATATAGCGTATTGACATGAGGAGCTAAATACATATCCAGGTATAAATTGTCCTGGAAAAAAGTAATACTTTTTTGTTTAACATTTACTACATTTACTCTGTATATAAACAATACCTACCTTTATGTCATCCAAAAGCTTGAGGCATGTAGCGTACTTCGATTCGTAGAATTTAAATATAATGTCCCTAAGCTGCGGTTCGAGCTCAAGGAAGAGTTTGAACGAGCTGCTAAATATGACGTGTCTCTGGAGGTCTGCCCTGTCAAACGTTGCTAGAGCGCAGAGGCCACCGTAGACAGCTATGTTGTTGGGCGAAAGCAGCTCGGGGAATTCGGAGTGGTCGAGATTCGCCTGGAGAAATTGTTTAGCAGCTAGTTTGTATTTTTTCGTCGCTAGCTCTGCAAGCCCCGCTGCACATTTAAGCTTGCCTATTATCAACTGGTTGCTCTCCTTGCTCTAACACACAATTAAATGTTAAAATTTGGTAAATATTTATGAGTATAGTAAATATGAAAATTCAATTTTCACAAAAAAAAATAAAAAAATAAAAAGTATTTTTGTATATCGGTGGATAGTAATGATGCCCATTAGACCATGGGATTAATACCTACTTTCATTATTACAACTATAAACTTAAATGGATTTTGGCTTTCTTTTTTTTTAAGAATATTTCAGGACAGACTATGTATGTGTGTGCTCTATAAAACAAATATCAACATTATCTTATCAGTTTATTATCTTATATGTTACCTGGGAATCAGAAAAATCTGGTGTCGATTCTGCTTTGCTAACATAGCTTAAAACATGAGACCAATTTTGTAAATAAACGCTTACCTGAAAGCAGAACGATCAATTATTTAAAGAAAACAAAAATATAGATAGAGATATAAGCTGATAGTGAGACAATTACTTTAATAACATTGAGACACATGTTAACAACATGTTTCCCAGAAGTGCAATAATCTCGTGCCCTCGAGTAACATTTGAGAGCGTTGCTGAGGTCTCCCGAATCAAGATGGTGATCACCAAGATCATCGTTGCCACGTCGGATGCTTTCTTTGATCGAGTTGCTTTTATAATTTTTCAAATCTGTATCAAGCTTTTCAAGCTTCAGAGCTGCCTTTTTTGCTTTGTTGTCCACCCAGAGCGCATCCAACGTCGGCACGTCCAACGGCCCTCCTCCGGCAACGTCCGGAAGTGACATCGACCTTTAACAGATCACCTTAGTAATGCCAACTGTGCGTACTGCCACCCGTCAACACTTACGATACACACTGTTGTAACTTTTTATGCAACTGCTGATATAGATTTACATTGTATGTGTTCATAACATATGAGATTGCCATTTTCAATGCTTCGATCCTCAAAGTAGGACAATGATCTGCAATGTACATCAATCTGTACAACCTTGCAAGCCCTGTATAACTATTAGCATAGACATCTAAATCCTAAAAATGAAATACATTCACATTGTCATTTCAAACATTTCTTAAATTAAAAATCATAAATGTAATGTAATATATAAATTGATTTAGAAGGAAAGACATAGCTTTAAGAGGAGACAAGTATATGCTGATAATACTAACATATTAATATTATTTTCTGATTCTAAAATGGAAAATCAAAATTAACACATTGGAAAAATACGGCAAAGAAAATTCATTAGAAGTTTACAAAAAAATTAAATAAATACATAATAATTATTATTATTTGGAGATCGTGAAATGTGGTCTGGTGTGACGTAGGTTTAGAAAAATATTTTCTTGCGTGTAATAATAATATTTTCAAATTTTCAATATTTTTTCTTATCGCTTTCTCTATCTAGTAGTATACAAACTGTATGTTATTATACAGTGAACCAGAATTCTTATGTTTATATGTTATGTTATTTTAGTATTGTTAATTTATTTCTGATACTTATATGCTGCATTAACAAAATAATAAGTGTTTCTTTTAAGTTTTAACTTTACTGGCAACTTTAAACTTTTTGATGTAAAATTATAGTTGTTTATCACACAGACATTTTTTTAGGGATTTGAGAGCTTGACATATGCAGAAAAATGAATATGAAAATTAATTTTTTTACTCATGAAAAATACAGACAACTTCACATCAAAAAAGTGCACTAAGGCCTCGCATCATAAAGACCAGAAATTGTGAAAAACGCGAAGTGTGGATGATCCAAACACGTGTCGATACCCTTTTCTCGTTCAACAGAAATAGTGCATATAGTTGTGAAAAGCAAACAGATCCAAAACACTTTGGATTTTTACAGTGAACTAGTGTGAGAACTGTATGTCTCTCTCTTGCTGGTTAACCTTTTTTTTCTAATAAAACATTTTCTAATAAAATTATATAATATTTACAATATTTTAATAAGTAACTAACAAATATGGGTATAAGGAACAACCAGCCTGGAATTAAAAGTACAGGGTAGCGCTAAAATCCAACAACTTAATTATAACTAAAAACTTAAAAATTAGTGAAGTACTTTATAGACTATAGCTCAGCTAACATGCTTAAGGGCCTTATAAGTGCTCTTTTCTTTAACTATTCATAGAAGTGAGTGGCCGAGGAGCTTTAAAGGTTCCTTCACTTTCACAAACGGCCAATCATACTTACATGTTCTTGCTTCCCAAGCACTTTAGTAACTGCAGAGCTAAGTAATTGACAAATATCTATTATTACCCACTGACTGATCTACTGGTGTCTGGCAGTCTGTACAGACTCGCTCTCAACGCTCCTGACAATCAAGGATACTTTTTCAGATGAAGGCATCCATTTACACTTCATCCCACATACTGATATAATTGCATAACAGGACAAAAACAAACTCGACTCATCTGAGAATAGGGCATGGTAGACTCACTCATGGATATCTAATGGCTAGAGTATTATCTCTTTTTTGTAAAGTATGTAGGTTATTGGTCCCAGTAAAGCATGTAATAAATAAGTGAATAAATCTGACCAGGTAACACCACCTTGCTTGTCAATTTGGGTCAATTCCTTGAATATAGACAATCTGTTTGCCTTCCTATGCAACTAAATTATAGCTCAAAATGAAGATTACTCTAGCCAGCTGGGTATAGGGAGGATTGAGCTTCTTGGGGTGCGAGGGCGAAGGGCGCACACCCCTCTGGAAGCCTCGGGACACTGCAGGGAGCCCAGATTCAGAGAGGTGTGGATATTGGCAGTGGTATGCCTCAGATAATCTGTGCAAATACAAGTAAAATGTACAAATGCGTTAATTTTAAGAGTAAATCCGAGGGTGCGTTGGATTGTAGGGACTCGCCTCCTTGACTGTTCCCGGAACTGCTTAGCCACCCTATCATAAAGTTTAAGAGAGTTAAGGTGAAATATAACCCATGGAGGTTGATCGCCGTTTTATTACTTTAAAAAAAATTCCTTTGCACATTCAAAGAGGCGACAGGTGAACAGTCTGTGTTGGACACTGTCATCGATTCTGCAGTGGGGAAACAGAGGACTGTTGGTTCTATGGTACTAGATATGTGCATCTACTCATCTGTAACCATCAGTGAAGATAATGAAACGCTGAAATGTGTCCGTTCAAAACAGCTAGGAAAGGCAGACCAGGATGCACAAAAATCCCTAATACTACAGAGATATGTATTTGTCCCTATCCTTCATTAACCAGAATTATTGAAAACGACTAAAATACATGTTTAAAACCCCTTAGATCTCTCTATAAAATAGCCAAGTAGAATGTAGAACTATGTTCACGCAAATCAAGTGCCATGCACATACAGATCTAGGTCATGATGTGATAAAGATTCCGAGTGCATACCAGGTACCGGTACCCGTATGAGTACCTTACGCAGACAACTTTTGTAATAGATGTTGTAGGTAACGTTCTAAGATGTAAAACTCACTAATGTCGGGTTTTCCACCAAGTAGGGGTCTTCTTCAGTGTTGTCGTTGTCCTCAGGCGGCGCGTCCACCTGCATCGGTTCAATAGCGTTCTGTAAATAAAAACATTTAGCCACTGTCTCGTTTGGAACCGGCCTTCTCGTCTTACCATGTAGATCGGAACTGGCTGCATCGATGCCATACAAAAACACCGACGCAAACGGCTAAAAAGTCGAGACGAAATATGATCCTGGGACGGAAAACCTCATTTAACCGGCCCCCCCTTTCGATAATTTTTCCCCCTGACTAGAATAAATTACTTGTTTAATATAAATAACAACTATCAAATCAATTTTTTTTTTATAAATTAAACTTAGCAACTTGAGGTCTCGATTCGAATGTAACCTCTGTTCAAACGGGCGAACCAGTGATGCTGGCCTCGACAAAATAAAAACCGTAAAATCCGGATAAATCTAAAACTTTCATACTAAAAAGACGGCTAAAGTGAATTAAATACATATTATTTTAAATTCTTAATTACACTTTAAACCGAGAGTTTTAAAATATTTCCCAAATCACTAATTAACAATATTGATCAGCTGTTTTTTTCTATTATTCAACGTGCAACACTGAGTGAAAATTTTCTCTTTCGTCTGCCGTCTGCCTGGTTTTTGTCTGGGTTACAGAAATAAAGATAGGAAGAATGGCGAGTAAATTCCCCCTTGTCAGAACCCTCGCAGTAAGTTATTTTGTTACATTAATAAACAATTAATTAACACACCCTCTTACTTTTCGTATCTATCTTTTATATATAAATAAAGAAAAGGACTTATGCTGTGGCAGCTGTAGAAAATCAAGTCCTGTCCAACAATCTGACAGTCGCTTCTGCCCCATCTAACTTGAAAGGCCTCTGCAAAGTCGCACTCGTAGTCAGGTATGCTTTTATTAAAAATCCGACTTTATACCAGAACGAATTGGCTTTTGTGAACTGAAAATCTGTTGGAAATTAGGGATTTTGTAAAGAAGAATATTGTACAGGTTTTATGTCTTATTATAGAGCTGGCAGTCGATATGAGACTATGGACAATTATGGTGCATCCCATCTGCTCCGTGCTTCTTTGGGGTTAACCACAGCTGATGCGTCAAGCTTCTCGATTATTAAAAACTTGGGCAAACTCGGAGCAACAATGAGTGCGACATCAGACCGTGAGACTCTTGTTTACACCTTGAATGCCACTTGTGACCAACTGTAAATATTTTTTTAATTATAAATTTTTATTTAATTCACGTTTTTGCCTTCTTTTTTTTTTTAAAGGGATGACGCTTTAAAATATTTCAAAGCAGCTGTCGCAAAACAGGAGTTTCGCCCTTGGGAGCTCTCCGAGGTGTACCCGAGATTGAAATACGAACTGGCGATTCGCCCTCCGACCTCGTTGGTTCTAGACTTGGTTCACAAGGCTGCGTACAGGACCGGCCTGGGAAATTCAATATATGCCAAAGAATACCAGCTCAAGAAACTATGCCCTGAAACTGTAATGTCAAAAAATTATGTTTATAATTTTTTTTCAGTAACGCTAATTTCATTTCTTTTTCAGCTTAAACACTACGTCAACAGTCGTTTCCAAACAAGTAAAATGGCTGTCGTGGGCGTTGGTGTTGATCAGAGCACTTTGACCAGTTTCGCGGAAAGCCTCGGATTCCAAACTCAGGGTAAGTTCATTAAAGATAAAATTGAATTTCTCATACACATTTATAGTTTTAAAAAATTGGCCAACAACACATACAGAAGTTCTGACCGAAGCTTTTATTGAGAGAAAAACTGAGTTAGTGAGTCGTCCATTGTCCAACGTCCAGCATAGTATTGTGCTGACTGTCTGTCTGAAAAACTCTATGAAACAGTTTTGAAAACGCCTAGTGTTCCGTTGTTGCAACTATGTACTAATCACTGACTCAGTTTTATCTCGATAAATAGTTAAAACTGCTGCATGAGTCATTAGCCTTAGTGACATACTCTCTCTCTAAGACCCAATAGTTTAGTCCTTGCACCTTTTCAGGATGCATTTAAAAATAAGACAAGGCCTTCTGTCTACTGGAAACAGAAAGCTGTAAACTGTGAAACAACATTTTCATGTGAATCTTTACATTCCTAATATCTCACCCATTACCACAGCATTCGTCCGAACTTTGAATAGGCTATATGGAATAGGTTATATCTTTAAATCCTTTCCTGAAGTTGAATTGATTGTTTTAGAATCTTTACAAATAGTATACTCTAGTATAGTAAAATAACAATAAACAATAAAATAGTATAGTAGATGTAGATGTAATACATATTTCAGGGTATGGTATACTGCGCCCTTTAAGAGCTATTGTATCCCCTGTGCTCTGCCTAAAGCACATCGGTGAGTCCTATTTCATCAAGAAACTTGATNCCGTCAGGACGGCGACGAACGTTTCCCGGGGTTCACTACTTGGAAGCGGGGTTGGTCTTTGAACCCCAAATAGTATAGTAAAATAACTCTACATTTGAATTAACATTTTTTACCCTTTTCAGTTCATTCATTGACGAAATGAGAAAAATAAAATATAAAAAGAAAACCCATAACAAAAACGTATTGTTTTCTATCATGTTAGTACTATAATTTCAAGTAATTTTTCTGTTTTATTTATTTCACATACTTAATAACTGAACTGGATCATCATTCAAAACTGGTCTAATTTTTTTGAATAACATACGCCTAAAAAATTGGAAATATAGTAACAAAATCATTTTGTGAATAATGGATCAATAAACTGTACCTAATGTTTTATACCTAGTTAAAGATTTAATCTATACTAAAAACGTTTGGAGATATACACTCCCAGTGGACAGCAAGGCTGATCAAAATTATTGACAACAACCAAACTACATAATCTACTTCTATGTGCATTAAGAGTATTAGTTTTGTTGTTTTCAGACATAAAATGCTAAGATACATTTATTATTAACTTTGATTTCGTTGAAAATATAATTTTTTTAAAAAATAATAATGATGAAACACCATGAATTTGAAAGAAAAGTGTTAACAATTTTTTGACAAAGTAAAATAAAATCAGACAGTTCTTTTTTATTAAATATATATTAGAAAATATTTTTTATGTTGATCATTGTAATTAACGATAATTATTCTTTGAAGGAGGCAGTTCTTCAACACCTAGCACGTACCATGGCGGTGAGGTGAGGGAAGATGCAAACACTCCTCTTGCTTATGTCGTACTCGTCGGTGAAGGAGCAGCGTGAGTATAATCTAAAGTTTTGTTAATGTGGTTTTAATATATAGGTAATTTTAATATTTAATTTTAGATTGAATAAGAAAGAAGTATTTACTTATGGTGTCCTCCGTTACGCGCTTGGAGGTGGATGCAGCATCAAACGGGGTGTTGGAAGCAACCCGTTGTCGAAGGTCGTATCCAAATCGTTCGATGCCACTCACGCCCAGGCTGTCAACTTTTCTCACTCTGATTCCGGTCTTTTTGGACTTTTCTTAGCAACGACGCCGGAAAACACTAAGGAGGTAGATACGAACACGTTAGTGTAAAACTGTTCTAAAACAAAAATTTGTTGAGTACAAACAGATTACAATAGATAAACAGATTTTAGGCCAATAGGATAAAAATGAGTCCATTTTTACCATGAAGATGTTTTAAATTGTATTAAATTAGAAAATTTGGTAATTTATGATCATGTGTACTTACTATTTTTGTATGTCATATTCACCATCTTCAATTATTATGTGTGGATGTAGTTTAAAAAATATCTAGTTTTCTACAAACTCCACTTTTACCATTTTTAACCATCCATACAATTCACCACTATCAACGGACCTATCCTCAGTCATCACTATTTATTTGTAACCATCTCAAGTAAGAAAATACTTAAACAAACTTCCTTATCCTAACCTCAAATGAAGATGGGGAAATGAGCCTGACAGATCAATATGGGTAAGATAGGCTGACCAGAATGATCGGGAATGACCAAACTACTGTAATTTACTTAATAATTTACAAACCTTGCTTTCTTGGAAAAATTCCATAATAAATTTTTTCCAAATTTCCAAACAAAACCAGGCTAACTTTGTTAACATGTTATGTATTGGTCTATTTTTTATTGTATTTCAGGCAGTTACGGGTGCTATGAAGGCCCTGAAGGATGGAGTTACGGAAGCAGATGTCAACAGGGCAAAATCTCAGTTGAAAGCACAGGCTCTTTATGAGTCTGAGAGCGATGACGGTGTCCTCACCGACCTTGCAAACCAGGCGGTGCTTTTAGGCGGTGGAAAGAACGCTAGCAGTCTAGTTTCAGAGATTGATAGTGTGACGACCAGCCAAGTCGAAGAGGTAAGAACTAATTAAAGTATCTTTTTTTCTTCTTTTTTGATTGAATTTTATTTTCTAGGCACTTAAAAAATTTTTAAATGGCAAAAAATCATTGGCGGCTTATGGAAACATAGCCAATGTCCCTTACTTGGATGAATTTTAAAAAAGAAGAAATACAAATACAGAGATAGAAGTTAATTTTTAGATTTTCTTTGTATATACTTCCTAACTAAATTGCAAATTTAAATAAAACAAATTGTACACATTCATTGTTATTATGTTTCAGTCATAAAAATGTATTTATTTGAATAAAGATTTTTTTTAAAGAGTTCACAATTATTATGTTATGAACTGTTAGATTTGTGTTTGTTTCTTTTTCACCCAGCTTATCTGCATATTTTGTTGACATACGCATGTGATTGGTGGTTATAAAAATTAATCAACTATTAATGACAGAAATGTTCATGATTGAAAATTAATACGTTCCCTCAGGCATAGATTTGTAAACAATCTTGAGATTCAGCAAAAATTTTGATTTTTTTTATTAAATTGAAAACTGGTCTTCACAGTAACGATCTGCCAAAGTGATACTGACAGTTTGACACTGGTTCTATTCAAAAAGTACCATGAAAGGGGGGTTTTCAAAAAGAGATGTGTAGTTCTGGGACGATTCCATATTTGGAGAATGGTTTAATGCATCGTTCCAGAAGATATAATGAATGTTTATGAAGAAGGTGAAGTGTGAAAAACAAATTTTGGAAAATGTGCTAAAAGTTTATTTTAAATAATAAACAAACAAAAATAGCTTAAGTTTCTAGGAATACCAGTTTTATTTAAAAACAATTTTTTTTCTGTTGAAAAAACTAACTTTTTAACTAGAGCTGTCGTTATTTCAAATTTTCACTAAATTTTAAATCTAAAAACAAATCTAATATAAATTATTTTGAAATATCTTTCGTCTTAGAATCTGATCAGCAGAATCTTCACAAATACGCGATAACGCATAGAAAAAAAATTGTATACACAACCTGTACCATATAATATTGTATTCATGAAATCAACAAATAGTATGTGCTCAAGACAAAAACAAAACAAGAATACAACATTAATTACTAAATTCAAATAATGGTAGGACCTAAAGAATAAATACGGATCTACCATCACACCAATCAGGAGGGATTATGTCAAATTTAAACAATTTTTCAGCAACAAACTACATAATTTATAAAGTTGCTTATGCATATTTTGACAATTGTTTATCTACATTTCAATTTATTACAAATACATTGTAGAATTTTGTACAATTTCAACTCCTTGTCAACAAGATTTCCAGTTCATTCTAGAGCTTTTACTTTTTTAACAAAATTTCGTTCAAAATAAAACTATTTTTCAAAAGGTAGTTATTATGTCACACTATCATTGATAATCTTGTGTTTAATGTTCTTATACATTTATATAAACACGTATGTATATAGAAGAATGAGCAAACAATTTTAAGTGTTGCGCCATTTATAATTCTATAACATACACATTGTAAGTACAAATTTTAAATATAAATTAATCCCTTTTAAAATTTCAATAACTGTAGAATAACAATACAGTTTATTTCTACAAAATAAGTAAAAAAAAAAAATGACCAAAAGCCTTATTGCTGTATTTGGTATTATTTATAAATCACTAAGCCAAATTTCGCTACAACATGAAATGTACAACTGCTTCACTTTTCAAAGTCAGTGAAACCGCTCTGGGGGCAAGAGCGACAACTAAAACTTCCGGACGGCACGGGTCTCCTGGTGTGGCAGGAGAACAGCGGTGTGCTACTTCCCCTTCTGCTAGGTAAACAGATCGCCGGCCGAGGGCAGGGGCGCGAGGCCTGAAGTCACATCCGGCAGCTTCATCATGTCCGGCAGGTTTGTCAGGTGTGATAGGACTTCATGCCGGACCTGTTCCACTTTTATCAACTTCTCCTTGTACTCCTGCAGCAAAAAATAACAAAAAAACATTTTTTACTGTAAGGATTTAAAGATAAATTTAATAGAATTGACACATATATCTAAAGTTGCGTGATATTAAGAGTAGGCAGTAGTGCTAAAATTAAATTATGTATTTAAGAAACTCTACTTACATAAAATAGAAAAAATGAAGATTATTTAGAGTTTGTGAGATGTGGTCTGGTGAGATGTAGGTTTAGAAAAACTTTTTTTTTTATCGTTCCAATTGTTTCGATCTTTATTGCGATCATCTTCAGGACCTGGGATTTATAAACATTTTTTAAATTATACAAAAAAATACAAGATAAGACTGTGAATTTATACAATAATGTACACATATAGAAATTTTAGGTTTAATCAATTTCTACTTACTCAAAGTGAATGTCACAAAAGGGTGTGAATAGTTTTATAATTTTTGAAGGCCATTTTAAAATTATCACACAAATTAAACACATTTCTCTCTTCTGATAACTTTAAAATAGTCTGTGCGACAGAAAACATACATTTTAAGTGAGTACAAATACTTTGATTGAACTTACAATTTCAAAATTGTGTACATCATTGTATAAATTTATAGTCATATCTTATCTGTATTTGTATAATTTAAACAATGTTTATAAATCCCAGGCCCCGATATCAATTCGAAAATATTTTTCAAAACCTACATCACACCAGACTGCATCTCACAGTCTGTCAACAATCATTACTTAACAGCCACTAAATATTACACAGAAAAAATTAAAATAAATCAATATTTTATTTGCCCATCTCTAAAGATTTAGCCATCCACAAACCAACTACTGACTGAGACCAAATAGAACGAAAATCTGTATAATCATAAACGACAAAACTACTTTGGATGTGTCACTCCTTAGAATATGTTTTTAAAATGGAATATTATTTAATTATGCATTATTTTTGCTAAGACTGCTTATGCAAATACTAGCAGTCCTAAAAAAGTGCAAATTTAAGACACACTGTAATTTTTATTTGTAGAAACACATTGTTTCAATAATATTCAAACACCTAATTATCAAGATTGTCTGTCTTTATTTTATTGCATATTCTAATCACCCTCCCCACAAAATGACAGCAAAATATTGAAAATACACGATTTTTCCTAATCCGAACAAATGGAGAAAAAATGGTGAAAAATGCACAAGAAGAAAATATTAAACAAAATAAAAACCCTGTGTAATCCAAATGTTTCAGTAATCCGAATAACCTCTGCAACAATTAGTTTGGATGATGGAGAGAGCATTGTACATTTAAAAAAACTCCATGTTCTTGTTATTATCCACTGTCAGTGACTTACAGGTGATCACTGGCACTTACAGAATCAGTGTCTGGTGGAGGCCTGTTCAAGAGGGAAGTGTCGAAAGGCAGGTTGGAGAATTTAGAGCACACCACAGGTGGTTGAGGGAATCGGAATCTAAAAATTCAATATGTCAGAGGAGCGAATTACCAGAGAGCTATGGAGGTTGAAAGAGTACCTGAGCAGGGTGCTTATAGAAAAAAAAAACTTATCGATTGTCTGAACAAATTGTTATTCTGGATGGCTATTCCTTTGTTTTGTTTTGTATTATTATAAGTGCAGGGAGTGAAATTACCTCGAGCCTTGCTTCAGCCTGTTGCAGCAATTGCTTCTGCGACAGTGTATAATCTCTTAACATCTGACTCACACGCCTTCTCTCATCCATCTCTTGTAGTAAACGAGCATTGTAATCATTCAGAAGATCTAGGGCTGCATTAACCTGTTCTGCAAGCTTAAGCGCAGCCTCCTTATCTAAATAAAACAAATAAACGTCTCATCAAAGTATTAAGATTAATGTATTAAAGAAATATCTTGATTTATATAATGATATATGACTGAATATTAATGGAACTTGCATACAATGTGAAAGTTTACCTTCCAATTTTGATAAAAGCTTTACTTCTGAAACCTCAGGTGGCAATTTTGCTATTTTCTCTCTCACAGCGACATCGACTGAAGCTGCATTTTCCAAATCCTAAAAGGCAAAGTGTATCGATATAGACTCTTTTATCCTGGTATAAAAAGAAAGAAAAATTAAACTCTGACCATGAGAGCTTTAACTAATTCTTCGACTTCCGGCGGATCGTTCAAAGGGGCGACCGGAGACAAGGTAACTCGGTAATCCTTGTTCGTCTCCTTTTTCCGCTCTGGCTTTTCTTGAATGGTTGGAGCAACTCTCAGCTTCTTGGCCGCCGGCTCAGTAATATCTTCAAAATATTCAAAACGTTCAAAATTAAACTATCTGATAATTAAAGCTTGGATTCGTATAAATAGTTTAATACCTTGTTTGTGAAATATCCTTTTGAACTCCTCGACCTGCTTTGAATCATAAACATTCCTCTCATCCCAGATGTGAAGTATCCGATCAAGCTTCTGAAGGGTCCGCTCGGTGCACTTAGTGTTGCTTATTATCCTGAAAGCCTTCCTGAGCACAGGAATAAACTCCTTCGTGTATTCTGGGCCTTTCTTCTTGCTGTTTTGAATCACATCGTTGGCTAGATACATCAAAGTGAGCTTTCTGAGCTCATTTCCTTAATAAAACAAACAAAACAAACAATTAGTTTTAAAAAAAAATCTTGACGCTAACAACAAGGCTAAGATTCCTATTTCTGGGGGAGGTTAAGCAAGGCGTGAAGGATACACATGAGAACCTAAATAAAGCTTAAGTGCTTAGCTTACACCGCAGCTCTAACCACTTGAGCTATCATGACCAAGAAGTTAGATCAGCGGCATATTGAACCGAAGGTCATGGGTTTGAATCCTGCTCATGACACTAACTTTTTCATTTCAAACAATACCATACATAAAAAAATTAATTAATTAAAAGAGGTTATTTGGTCAATCGGACAACAAAATATAATGGATATTAAATAATAACTTGGAAAATGCAAATCAACTATTAACTTTTTTTTTCTTGCTTATTGATAATTCGGACATCTTGATAATTCAAATTATTTTTGTGGCCCCTTGGGTTTCAAATTATCAAGAGTTGATAATTATTGATAAGTTGATATTATACTATACAGTAATTAAAAACAAAACAGATTTTTTATAAAAGCCAACAAACAACTTATTGAAAATAGTAATCAAACAAAATTAAGATATTTCTTTTCACACTCTGCACCATAACTTTAAAGAAGTAGAAAAATTTAAAACTAGATTAGAAAATATTAAATATGTAATTTTTGTTGGTTTTTTTTGTAACGTTATCTGTTCCAGAGAAATTCAGCCAGGCCGTCTAAAAATAACACCCTGTATAACTTCGCTGAGATTGATCTGCAGACATCCTCAGACATAAACACTTATTATTAAAAGTATATAGCTAATAGACGGGGTGCAAAACATCATCCCTATAATAGCACCCCATTTGGAACTAGAAAAGCTGAGAATGTTAAATTTTTCCCCTTTCATGAACAGATGCCTTAATATGGGATGGATCTAGACAAGGGCCTACAAATCTTGGCAAATGTCATTACTGGTTGGATAAGTGAACTGTAGTAACACATGATGAACTTACATGAGTCTTACCAACTCTATTTTGGTTTAAAACACAGAACCTTGACGTAACGACCGAACAGTACACACTAAGTAAAGAATTTGTGGATAACCGCCCGAATAATGTTGAACACACTGTGACAGAGAAGGAAAGTTGGAGGAGCTGGTCTGAAGGTCTGAAGAACAAATTCATAATCAACCCTAACCCATTGTGATCGGTTACCGGATGGTGTAACCATCAATACCTATCTCCCATAACAAATTACCACAAAATGCCAAAAATCAAGGACTATGACGGTACCAAAATCAACTGGTTGTAAAGCTCCTGGACGAAGAATGATTAAAACAAAAATCTAAGAGTGTGTTAAACACAATTACTACATTTCATGGAGTGCCGTAGAGAAATTATTTTTATCTATTAATCGAAGTTTTTGTTTAGTTGTTATGACATATAAGACGTTGAAGTCTAGTGTCGAGGAACCGGCGTCTATTTAGGTTTTGACCATCGGTTTAACCTCGAAGGTGCTGAGGAAGTACTGTATTATTTTTTACCTTTTGCCATTTCCTTTGACCATGTCTTTACGACCAGCTGGTAGTGTTTACGGTGGTGTATAAGCCATAGGGACAGGGTCTGTATAGACTGCTGCGTCTCGTTGAGGTCGTCGAGCTTCTTCTGCAGTACCGACTCCGTGAAGCCGGCCATGCCTGATACGGTAACGCGTTGCGCGGTCTCGTCTCAAGGCGGTACAGGCATTCTCACGATTACGGCTCGACCGAGGACACCGAAAAGAATCGCCGGTCAAAAATTCCCAAATTTTCCTTCCTTTCCCACTCCTTGGTGGTTTTCACGACGACGAGACACCGTCACGGCCAAATCGCGACGACGGGTACGTATCGATACTGGCCCGTTACAAAAACGAAAACAACAAAATACACCTTGTGTACAATCGATAGTTTTTTTATTCACTCGTCTATAATTTTTTATTTAATTTACATAAATACAAGACTTCACGACAACAAAAATTCAACTTATTAAAAATCTTAACTCGTATTGAAATGGTATTCCACTATATACCATCCCTATCATGTTTTAACAAAATAATCGATTTACAATCGATAATAAGCATTTTATTCCAATATGGATGAAGCTGTGTGAAAAATGTCTGGTTTGGTCTTCTTAAATAAATAATTTTTGGATCAGAATAATTAAAATTTGTCTGGATTTTTAATGTAATGATTATACAGAGAACGTGAGATGCTGTCTGGTATGATGTAGCTTTAGAAAAACGTTTTCTTTATTATGCCACGTTTCAATCTTTATTGAGATCATCTTCAGGGCCTTAAATATACATATCACTACCCTTTTTTACATTGTATGTCCCTTTCACCTCAAAGAAGCCGACTCCTCACAGAAAAATGAATTTATATCCCTATTTCCTTCCTCATTTCTTCAAAATGAAACATATAACAAACAAAAAAACATTAATATCCTCTAACACGTCGCACAACCTTGACACATCCACAAAGAAAACACTTTGATTAAACGGACCCAAAATTTCTATATTGTGTACGTTATTTTATAAATTCATTTTCACATCTCACATGTATTTGTACAATTTAAACAATGTTTATAAATCCCAGGCCCTGAAGATGATCTCAATAAAAATCGAATCGTTGGCATGACAAAAAACATGTTTTTTTAAACCTACATCCCACCAGACAGCATCTCACGATCTTTAAATAATCATTAACGGTCACTAAATACTGCACATTTTTAATACAATGTCGTGTAATGTATCGACCAACTGGAAGCCATCGTAGATGATAGATCAGAGTAATAGTCCAAATGAAGTACAGTATTGAATTATATTAAGTTTTCGGCTTATATAAACCCTTCTTGGTGCAAAATATCTTTGTGAAAATAAAAGATCTATCTTGTGATTTATTTTATGTTCATTTTATATTTAGGAGGGAAAAAATGAATATTTTTGCACTCAAGTGTCGGTATGAATATTTATCAAACAAAAAGTGTCGGTTTATAAGTTAAATTTTACTTATTTAAAAAAATATATGTACGTATATCTAAAGTGAGGACATCGATTCGAGTATTTCGACTATCGCCTGTGTCGGAAGTGAATTGTTCTCCGGCCGAGGTTACAGCCTTGTTATCCGACTTCCTGCCGTCGGGACTTTGTTGTGATTGATTCCTCCGGCTGAAGAACGGACCGCGTCCTCCGCGTATCGGAATAATCGGAAAGGAACTTTTATTAAGTCAAACGTCGGACTGTTTCGTCGGAAATGGAAGCGGACGATGAAGACGTTTACAGGCTGTCCGGACGAGAGGAGACCGGAGGAGGGCTGATCATCAAGAAAAAACCCACTCCACAGGGTAGCTTCGAGTTCAAAGTACCGTCTCCGAAGGCATCTCTCTTCGGACTAGACAAACTCGCCGGTGAGAAGCTCGTTCTAAAATATTCCATTGGATTAAAAAAACATAAAAAAATCTTAACCACTTATATGGATTTAGCCAGTTGAATTATAAAAATATTCGTAGTATCGACCCATGAATTTTGACTGTTTGAACAGTACAGTTGACCAGTCCTCGAAGCCCTGGTCTGACGAATTGCGATGGTTGTCAAAGAATTTTTCCGGAATCGTATCGTCAGTCTTCTTTTAGAAGAATGGGTGTCTGATTTTATTAATTGTATTTGTGTGCCTCAATCCCATCTAGTTTGATTGTTTTTGGTTCCTAAATGCACTTTTCCTACTTTCTTGTCTGAATGTTTCCGTTGAAGGTAGGTTTAAGCACTTTCTAGTGCTAGTCGTTTATTGTAGGAGTTGTTCTCATTACCTCATTTTGACATCTTACCAAAAATATAAAAAGTCTAATAACAGCTTATAGAACTTTATATCTAATTTATTTAGAAATCGTGAAATGCGGTCTGGTGTGATGTAGGTTTCAGAAAAACATTTTCTTTATCGTGCCCACGTTTCGATCTTTATTGATATATTTCGATCTTTATTACACATTGGCACGATAAAGAAAATGTTTTTCTGAAACCTACATCACACCAGACCGCATCTCACGATTTCTAAATAAATATCGATTAATGGTCACTAATCACCACACATTTATGTCTAATTTTTATCTTGCGTTCTGGCATTAATATGAGAAATCTGAATTAATTGAGAGTGTATGGGGCTTTTAAGAATGAATGGGGTTGGTGATATACTGGATAAACTTGCAAGGCCGTCGGTACAGGCCTTCCAGAGAAAATATTTATCATCACCTTTATAACATATAACCAATGATTTTAATTAACCTTGTTTTAGCTTTACGAAGAAAGGAAAGGGAAGAAACTCCTGATCCCAAAAAAGAAAAATATGATGCTGTATTTAAAAAACCAGAACGGAAGGATAGGTACATATTCAATTTTTTCTTAATATTCTTGTTGCTAAAAAACAAAATTTTAGGCGTTATCGAGAAAAAATGGATGAGACACCTACTCATACAGGTGGCGTGAGTCAAGAAGCCAAAGAACGTATGCTGGAACACTCAAAAAAAGAGAAACACAGGGGTATTCAAATTGCAACAGCTAAAGAAAAAGATAGAAGTATAGAAATGTATTATACCTTTGGAAATATCTATTTAAAACAACAAACAAATATTTTTAGGTAAAAGGCGTTCTATAGATAGGGAAATGAGACATAGGGACAGACACAGGCATGTGAAAAGGGAGAAAAGGGACAGACATAGAGATAATCATGGTGATAGACATGAAAGCTCTAGAAGTCGTGGCTGGTCCATGTCGCCGAGATTTAGCGACGAGCCATCAACACCCTTGTTCTCTGTTAAGAACACACCTTCAAAAACAGGATGGGAAGAAGACGACGGGCCATCCGAAAGATCATCCTGGGATCTTCCCACACCAAAAACTCATAAGATGGATGAAGACGGTGAATGGTCCGAGCGATCTAGAAGGCCTACACCGGCACACAGGTATAACAGCTGGGCTGCCGAGAGAAAAGCAACTGGCGCTACACCTCTACCAGGAAAAGGTTACATTTTATAATTTATTTTGTGCTATAATTGTTTATACAAGAGCAGAAGATGTGTTGATGCCTTTTCTACATCTTCGTATTTACTCAAAACCACGTTCTTTAAATGATTATTTGATTTTTTGAAATGTACAGAAGATGAAATTGCTTGGAGTTCTGGCACAGATAGGGAAAACTGGGAGGCGGAGCAAAGAAAGCTTGACAGGGAGTGGTATGGTCTCGATGAAGGTTTTGATGAAGGACGAGATCCTTTTGGAGAAATGTCAACAGAATATATTAAAAAAAGGGAAAGACAACTTGAATCAAGAAAAAACAAACGACTCAGTGCTCAACAACGTCAAATAAATAAAGTAATAATCAATTACAAAACATTACATTTCTTATCATCTAGCAGACTTGAAAAAGATATTTCATAAAATATAATTCTTTCCAGGACAATGAACTTTGGGAAAGAAATAGAATGCTTACGAGTGGTGTCGTCCAGTCGGTGGATCTCGATGAAGATTTTGATGAGGAAAATGAAGCCAGAGTGCACCTCCTTGTGCACAATATTGTACCACCGTTTCTTGATGGGCGGATCGTTTTTACAAAACAGCCTGAGCCTGTCGTCCCGGTCAAAGACCCGACATCAGACATGGCTTTAGTTTCAAGAAAGGGTTCGGCGCTTGTAAGGGCATACAGAGAGCAGAAAGAAAGGCGAAAAGCACAGAAGAAACATTGGGAACTGGCGGGCACTACAATCGGGAACATAATGGGAATTAAGAAAAAAGACGATAGGGTATGTATAAAACTTTGTAATTTTACCGGTTTATTTAAAATTAATGACATTGTTCAGGAGGAAGACAAAGCTGAAGGGGAACCAGACGCTGATTATAAAACTGGGCAAAAGTTTGCCGAACACATGAAAGACACGTCAGCCGCGACTAGTGAATTTGCTAGGAAAAAGACGATTCAAGAGCAGAGAAATTATCTTCCTGTGTTTGCATGCAGGCAAGAGGTAACTCCGCAGCCTGAAATTTTTAGTCAGAATAAAATTTTTTTGTTATTTGTCGCTTTTGTACATTTCAGCTTTTGAACATAATTAGGGAGAATTCGATCGTCATTATAGTCGGTGAGACGGGTTCCGGGAAGACGACACAGCTAACCCAGTACCTCCATGAAGACGGCTATTCTAGATACGGCATGGTTGGGTGCACACAGCCGAGAAGGGTCGCCGCCATGTCAGTTGCCAAACGAGTGTCAGATGAAATGGCATCACCGCTCGGTGACACAGTCGGCTATGCCATACGTTTTGAAGACTGTACTTCTGAAGTAAGTCAAGCTAAAGTTATTTGTTCATGCAAGTAAATTTTTCAATTAATCTGTGAGAATATCAAGGTTTATTTTGTCAATATATTGCCTATAAAGTTTTTAAAATGCATTATATTAAATCATATCTTCAGACTTTTTTAAGAATACCAAATTACTATTATATTGTAATTTTTTTTAAATTATGCTAGTAATTTTTTATGTAAATGTTTTCATTATCGACAAATAACAATTTGAAGTTTTTCTTAAATTTGTAATGGTTTTTAGAATACTGTTATAAAATACATGACAGATGGTATATTATTGAGAGAATCTTTACGGGAACCTGAACTTGATAATTATAGCGCCATTATCATGGATGAGGCGCATGAGAGATCGTTGAACACCGATGTTCTCTTTGGCCTGTTACGTGAGGTCGGTATTTAAAGAAAATGATAAATTTTCATTTGTTTAAACAATTTGACAATGATTTTATTTTTATTTTAGGTCGTAGCAAAGAGGCAAGACTTAAAACTTATAGTGACATCGGCAACGATGGACGCTTCAAAGTTTGCTATGTTCTTTGGGAATGTGCCTGTGTATACAATTCCAGGAAGAACTTTTCCAGTTGAGTTGTTTTTCAGCAAAAACCCCGTTGAAGATTATGTTGATGCCGCTGTGAAGCAGGCGCTTCAAATACATTTACAACCTGTTAAAGGTAAAAAGTAATTTTTGTTTATTGTTGTAAAGTAATATATATATAACTTTTTAAGAAAGCCCATTCTTTAAAAAAAGATATTACTACCCTACTTTTATTAAGCCTCAATTCTTTTATTAGATTATATGACTATAGTATATCCTACATTTAATATGAATTTCGTAGGGGACATATTGATTTTTATGCCCGGTCAGGAGGATATCGAAGTGACATGTGAGGTTTTGGCCGAGCGGCTGACTGAGATAGAAAACGCACCTCCGCTCTCAGTCCTGCCCATATACTCGCAACTTCCCTCTGACCTTCAGGCCAAAATTTTCCAAGCGTCGCCCGACGGGATCAGGAAATGTGTCGTCGCCACCAACATAGCAGAAACGTCTCTTACGGTTGACGGTATAATGTACGTTGTCGACTCAGGCTACTGCAAACTGAAAGTGTACAATCCAAGAATTGGAATGGACGCTCTGCAGATATACCCGATTAGCCAGGCCAATTCGAATCAGAGGAGCGGACGTGCCGGGCGTACCGGTCCTGGACACGCATATAGGTAATCCATCTTTATAAGTTTATTTTGGCCATGGAACAATAATAATAAAATTATTACAGACTGTATACAGAAAGACAGTATAAAGATGAACTCCTTGTGTCTACTGTACCTGAAATTCAAAGAACCAATTTAGCAAATACTGTTTTGCTTTTGAAGTCGCTCGGGGTACAAGATCTCCTCCAGTTCCATTTTATGGATCCTCCACCACAGGTAAATGGTCAACAATTCTCCAGTGAACTCTGTGGCCGGAGTTGTTAATTTCATAAAATTTTCAGGACAACATCCTCAATTCTCTTTATCAATTGTGGATTCTTGGGGCTTTGGATCACACCGGCAGTTTAACTCCATTAGGAAGGCAAATGGCCGAGTTTCCCTTGGATCCTCCTCAATGTCAGATGCTGATAGTTTCAAACGAAATGGGTTGTACGGCAGAAATCCTCATAATTGGTACAAGTCTTATTGTCAACCAGTAATTTCAAACTGGCTGATTTTATTTCCTCTGTTTTTCAGTTTCAATGCTGTCGGTCCCGACAATATTCTACAGGCCTAAGGGTCGTGAGGACGAGGCAGACAGCGTGCGCGAGAAGTTCCAAGTCCCCGAGTCAGACCACTTGACTTTTCTGAATGTCTACATACAATGGAAACAGAACAAGTATTCAGCATCGTGGTGCAATGAGCATTTCATACACGCTAAAGCGATGAAGAAGGTCCGGGAAGTCAGGCAGCAGCTCAAAGACATTCTCGACCAGCAGAAAATGGAAATTATGTCATGCGGGTCGGATTGGGATATTGTACGCAAATGTATTTGTTCTGGTAAGATTTTTTAAATTTCATATTGGACCAACGATTCCTCGTATATACATTATTTTCTGTTGTAGCGTATTTTCACCAAGCAGCAAGGCTTAAAGGAATTGGCGAATATGTACATTGCAGAACTGGAATGCCTTGTCATCTTCATCCGACTTCGGCCTTGTTCGGAATGGGCTTCACGCCTGATTATGTCGTCTATCATGAACTTGTTATGACATCAAAGGTAAAATCATTTTTATTACTTTTAATCATTAACTTAACAGCGTGTCGATTATAGTTTTAAAATGGTGGTGAATTTACTATTATATAATTTTGCTGCTTAGGAGTACATGCAGTGCGTAACGGCTGTCGACGGCCACTGGCTTGCCGAGCTCGGCCCGATGTTCTTCTCCGTCAAAGAGACTGGGAGGTCAGGATCAGCCAGGAGGCGACAGGCACTCGAGCACCTGCAGGAAATGGAGGCCCAGATGGCCGCTGCTCAGGAACAGCTGAGACAAAGGGAAGAAGACAGGGAAAGGCGCGAATCGAGGGCGGTAAGCGTACGCCAGGTCATAGCCACACCTGGCGCCGCTCAAAACAAACCGTATCGAACCCCATTGCGCCTTGGAATGTAATTATTAATAAATAATTGCTTGTAGATAATGTAATTTATTTCATTTAATTTTTTATGTACAATTAACTTGTTTATACAAATCAATACACTTTGTAAATAAATCATTTAAACTTAACAGTCTTATTATCTACATAATAAGTTTTCCAACGGTTTTATTCACCTGATTTTCTGTGGTCTTACGCCAAATGATTTAATAACAGGAACTGTAGGCATACTACACATAGGGTCTCTTTGACGTCTGCAGTTGATGAATATTCCCAGCATCAGTCGGTTTGTGGTCATTGCCAATAAATAAATTTGATTTATCTATCAAATTTCAAAATGCGTTTGGCTTACAATTATAGTTATACTGTCGCCAACCATATATACACATAGAACCCACCATACACCATAGAATATGGTGAAAACGAAAAAAAAATCTGACAGTCACACATAGACATTTTCAATTATTACATTATAAGAACATTCAGAAAGGATAAAATAACATTTTAAATTTTTTTTCTTTACTTTAAATTTATGTGATTGTGAGACAAAAATTTTGAAATTGGAAAAAAAATTGAAAAACAAATCAATATTTTCAATAAAATATTGAAAAAAAAATTGTTTTTGCAAACTAATCGAACCATTGAGTTTTTCTTAAATAAATAATACAAGTTCGTATGTTAATACAAACATTTATTGCCCCTTAACACGACTTCTTTCTCTACGCCGGAGGTGAAGGGAGAAGTTGGTTGAGCTGTTCACGTATGTCGTTCTGGTCGGCGATCCACCGTCTGCGTTTTTCCTCTCGTTCGCTCTCGTCTTTGATCTCCTCTAGCTTAGACATTTCAATCATGTGATACATATCAATGCATTCGTTCAAGATGTGCACCAAAGTGTATATTTCGCTTGCAAAGTCAAGACTCATATTAAATGTTTTACCTCTATCGTTAATAATCAAACTATGTACTAAAACTGACATGGCTGATAATCAGCAGTTTATAATTTAATTTAATTTTTTTTTTTTTTTTTTTAACAAAAATTCAAACATGTGTGCTGCAGACTATTTTCTGGTCACCCTTTGGATTATTTTTGCTATAATTTCTCCTAATAAAACGAAAAATGTGTCAAAGGTGAGTTTATATTGTTAACAGAGAAATATTCTGCTGGTTGACATCAATTATCAATTCCTCAATAAAGTTGTGATTGATGGTTTATTGATTGAAAGAGTATCCACAGAATTTACTGTTTTTTTGTTGTTTTTTTATCAACTACGTATTGATTAAAATATGCTGGCCATTGTCTGGTTCTCTTGTTATATTTATATTAGCGCAAACTATAAATTTATAGAGAAACAGAATTTCTCTTTGCTACATAACTTTTAATATTTTTATTTAAACAAAAGGTTGCCTCATCAAATAAAATTCTTGGAGCCAGGCGAATCACCGAGCTGATGATCAACTCGCTCACTATCGCATGTTTGCTTTATATGTCGACAAAACTATTATCATACGTGACTGCAAACTGTGTCAGGTGATGGTTAACTATTTCTTTCAAAACAAGGATTTTATAAATAATTCTTAATTTTTTTTTCATTTTTAGCCTCCTCCTTAAATATGAATACCATGATGAAGCACTTTGGATTGATTTATGATCAGTGTTTGCTCACAAATTTAAAAACGTGACCACAAAATACAACTTTTTTTTTCAACACTGTAAAATGTGATTTCTTTGTGAAAGATACAATTTTAACAGATAAGGTTACTTCCTAACCATTTATTTTACATGTGAATATCATAATCAGTAAAGGGTTGGTGTAGAATAGAGAAGAGATGGTCACAAACTAAAGATAGTTAAGGCTCCAGATGGTGAACTTATGAATAAATGGGTAGAAATACTCACACCCTAGATTTCATATTCATATTCAAGATGAATGAGCTACGCATTTTCATCATTAGTTTTTATATGTTGAGTTGATCAACTAAATTCAATTGTGTGTAATATTCCACAACTGGTCCTGCATACCAAGTGAATGTACTAATAAATAAAATCATTTGCTACTCGCTCTCTATGAGGAACCAAGGCACGACACGTCAACATCCAAGATGGGTCAAATACTCAGGCAATAGCAGTCGTCTATGTTTTATAAATTATCATATTAAACAGTAGGAATGTAAAAGAACAAAACATATTCAATGAAATGCATAAATATAGTTGGGAGGAGAAACATGTGATCTGTAATTTTTTTTTAATATTACAAGCTTTTCTAAATGTAATTTGAGTTTTAATAATAAAAATATTTAATACACATAAGTTCAGTTGTATGTTCGCATATTCAATGATTCTCTAAGTGGGAAGCAGTACCAGTTGGTACTTATTTATCCGGTAACCATGCAAAGAAGTAAGTGCACGTTAAAGAGAATTTTGACTTACTATTCTAAATAATTTAATTATTCTCTCCTTAATAATGTTTTTATAAAAAATATTCAACAACTTTAATTTGTCTGATTCAGTCACAGAAGATTTAGTCAGAAAGAAGTCTGAGCACAACGAAAAGGACATACTTTCTTTGGAGGAGCTCTCCCTACATCAAGAGGACATAGGAAAACTCGAAAATCTACAAAAATGGTGTAAGGACCTTAAAATCCTCCTGTTACATAACAATCTCATCAGCAAAATAGGTAATTTAAAATAAATTAATTTAAAGATTTTAAATAATAACGAAACTTTTTAGAAAACATAGGGAGGCTGAAAAGTCTTGAGTACATTAATTTCTCGCTGAACAACATAGAAAAGATTGAAAACCTCGAGGGCTGTGAGTCTCTGACCAAACTCGATTTCACACTGAACTTCATAGGTGAACTGACGTCCGTCGAGAGCCTCAGAAAGAATGAATTCCTTGAAATTCTGTACGGTTTATTAATGTTAAAATCTATCGATGTGTCAAAATAATAACAATGATTTTTTAGTTATTTGACAGGAAACCCTTGCACAGACTATGACGGATACAGAGAATATGTCATTGCTACATTGCCACAGCTCAAAACGCTCGATGGTACTGATATACTCATTTCTGAACGGATCGAAGCAGTTCAGAACTACAACGAGATCAAAGAGAGCATTATACAACAACAATCCCATTGCAAATGTAATTATAACAATTACCAATATATTGAGATAAATGAGATCGACACGTACAAAGAAATCAGCAACGTTTCGCTGACAATTTTGAAGAATTTAGTTCTAAACAATTGCATCTTTCAGTGCAAAGAGAAAAACAGAAAAACAAAAACCAACCTAAACTTCAACAGTACATCGATGAAAATGGAGAGCTGATTGAAAATTATGAAGTGGAAAATGGGTAATGATTAATTTGTGAAATTTCTTTTAATGGACCATTTCTGGTCAGTCTGGTTCACAATTCAGGGTAACTAAACATCTCTATCCCAAACTATTATCATATTAAGTATGTAACCACCCTTAACAGTTCATAAGATGGAAAAACATTAAGAGTCTTAAGATTAATCAAAACAGAAAGGATAACTAGACTTATATATTTGTTTGTAAGTTTTTGGCAGCAAACGAGTGACAACTCGCCGGAAACGAGAATCGACATTGCTCTCAAGTCAAGAAAGTGCAGGGAAAAAGGGAAACCAAAAGAAGTGAAACGTCAAAAAAGGGATGTCATTTATTTCAAATCTGATGGCACTCCGTACAACATGAACCTCGGGAAATTCCCCTTCTTGCTTGACGATGATTGGAGAAACAACCGATATGTTTTAGATGTAACTGTACAGAAGTCGGTGACATAAAATATGTAATATATAACAAACGAGTTTAAACATGTTGCAATTGTTTTAGATATTTAGACACAAATTTCATAGAAGTAGATGTACAGCCAAATTATGTTAGGGTGACTATTAAAAAAAAGATCCTTCAGCTAAGGCTAGACCAAGAAGTGTGTCCTTCAGAGTCCAAATCAACGAGGTCCATTTCAACTGGACACCTTATTGTTGAAATGCCAAAGGTCTCTTTGGTTTATTACTTTTTTTATATGCAAAGGATGGTTGAGTTGAAAAATTGGGGTCACAAGCAGGACTTGTACCCACGACCTTCGTACCCGCAGTACTGATCTGGAATATGGGTTCGAATCCTGCTCATGACACTAATTTTTCCACTCAGCCATATTTTGCGTAAAAAATAAATCAATAAAAATCATTGCTTTGGTTAATAGGACCGAGTAAAACATACTTCTTTATTTTACGTTGTTAGCTCAAACCGTACATTGGCCCTTCTCCTGCTGTGGACACTGTAAAAACATTCGCCATAAACAAGAGACAAGAGAAAAAGCGGTAGCATTTCAAATATTAATGTATATTAATTATATTCTGACTTACATTTTGAATAATTTTAGAGAATTTCTTGATGTACACGAAAAGGAGGAATTCAACCTGCAAAACTTCCTCACAATCCGTCCCAATGATAAAAACGATTCTTTTGTGGATGATCCTGACGTGCCGCCTCTTGAATGAATTCGTTAAAATACATCTTTCATTTTTATGTATTTAAAGTAAATTTAAAATGTTAACAGGGCAATATTATCATCTTTTTTCTTATTTGTACTTAACAATTTGTAAGGATGGTTATTTAAATATAGTTAAGCATTGCTTTTTTATATGTATAGTTTCATTAGTAAATTAAATATTTTGTTTGATGGTTTCATCCACAATTCCACCAATGAAGATATCAAACTGCTGAAAAGGACCTGATAGACCAAACTACAGGCTGATGACTCCAGAGACCTTGAGGAACAATTGCACAAACTGAATTCATTGTCAAAAAAAAGACGTTGTCACGTCAACATCAATCGTAAGATAATAATAATACTTACCTTTTTTTAATGTGTTGATGTTTATTTTATAACGCACACACTAAAGCCATGCTTTCCAACTACTTTTTCTACACTGTAGCTTTTAGTCTAAAGGCAAACATTAAACTTTTTCTACTGCAAAAATACATTTTATCAGGTATTGGCAAGGTGTGGAAAAAAAAAAGAAAAGGAAATTTAAACTTTTTTTAATTGAAAATCAAAGATAAAGTTGTATAAATTACCCAAGAACCAATGAATATTAACAACAAAAAAATTATTAAACAATAAAGGAATGAAAGTGCTAGTTAAAAGAAAACAAAAAACAACAAAAACTCTCAACTTGTCGAATTAATTTCAACAAATCGGCTCAGTTTTGTTTTCTGATATGCAAAAATATTCTTAGGCTGTTTAAAAAATAAACAATCATTTCCATTCAAAAATAATAAAGAAAACATGCATCTAACAAAACAAAATCAAAATGTTAAGTATATACATATACAAAAACAAATAGAAAAAAATTATAACAACAATAATAAAAACGCAATTGGGAACAAGTATAATATAAAATTCTAAGGGGTGGGGAAACAATATAAACATTTATAAATAAATAATTTTAATGATAATATATTTTGTATCAATATGACTATAATCTAATATATATATTTTTTCTTAATATTGCATTTTTTTTTTTTTTTGTAAATTATACTTTGAATGTTACAATTATATATTTATAAAAAAAATACAACCATCTTGCAGGGGGGAAAACAGTCCATTCACTTGAAAAATATTCTCACATATTTATTAGTTTAAGCAGTGCTGTGCTTCAAAAGGTACACAGACTCCTTTTTTGAAACATTTTACTTCCCTTTATTTAGACAAAATAGCGATTATTATTATTTTAAAGATATAATTTGATTATCTTTTGCTTTTAATGATTGATGTGTGAATCATCAGAACTTGTTTTAAATTAATGTTTGAAACAACTCCAGTAAGAGCTTGACCAAAAACAACCAACATAACACCAGTTTATAACTATAAGCACAATTCTTTAGCAAGAAGGAAAAAGAACCAATAAACAAAAACCCACGACTGTTCACAAGTTATAAGTCTAAAACAACATTATACAATATTCCCACCATATGACACATTTCTTATCGTTTACTATATTTAAGAGTATTTTTTTATTTTCACGGCTTTTGAATACATGTATACACATATATATTCATATATATTTTTGTAAATGAAAAAAAAAAAAAAAAAAGAAAGAAAGAAAAACCCTGTTCTCAGATGAGAAATATTTACATTTTGGATTTTGTACGTCATTTATAAATTTAAAAATAAAAATAAAAATGATAATATATATACTTTCTTATAAAGCTAAGATTTTTTTGTGTTTTTTTAAAATATTTTTTTTATTCTTAATCGATATACATTCCCAGATATTTGTGTAAATGTTCATTTAAAAAATAGTCTCAATCCTTCACACACAAGGGTGTTTTATCTTGAATAACACTTATACGGAATAACATCTATAATAAAGAAAAAAAAAATTAGGCCCAAGATTCATAAGAATAAATTTGTGGGGGAAATGTGATATTTGAAATTCAGGAAGACAGAAGAAGGCTGATAGAGAAAAGAAAAAAAAAGCCAATTTTGAACCGAAAGAAATGTAAAACTCGCGAAATCACAGCCAATTATATATTTATATTTTACTAGTACTCATTGTGTGTTGAAATAATAAAAGAAAAAAATTCACCTTCCCTCTATGTCCAATCATTTCTACGCTGTTAAAGATGAGGTGAATATAGCTGCGATTTTCGTCTTTTACGGGGGTCGCCCGGCGGTCGGTTAAATAAACGAAAAAAGGTGTCAGACAATTAAAAAGAGAAAAATGAGCAAACAAACACTTAAACATTAAGACAGACAAGCAAAGGAAAAATTACCAATCATTTCCCATTTAACTTTTTTTTATTTTTTTATATTTTATCTAAAAAAATATTATCACAAAATCGATATAAAAAACCCACTACCCGTCCATAAAAACATCTTTATTTTTTTATGTTTTGGTTCTTCTTTTGAAAGGTCGCCTCCTGCTGAGTTATTGTTTCATTCTTAGATATTTTAATTTCTCTATTCTGTCTTTTTTAATTATTAAAAATGGTCTCTATTTTTTATTACTTTAATAACTTTCAAATTTAAATAAAGCCAGTCTAAATAAAATATGTAAATACGAAAACACGAGGAGATGAAAATAGTTTGTTGGATATTTCCTATTTTTGGCACATTTCTTGGAAAAACCAAATTGCTGATCAATAATAATAAAAAAAAATTGCTCACGATTGTCAATTTAAATTTTTTTGCCCTCTAATAATGTCTTTATTTTGGTCTCCTCTGTTTAGGTTTTATTTAGTTGCTCCTGGTATTTTTTTTTTTTTTTAAATTAAATTTATTAGTTTCCGTTATATTTTTAGTCCTTTCTAGACTTCTTCTTGTTACCCTTTTTAGGAGCTCTTGCTTCCTTCCATGTGTCTAGATAAACAAAACAAACTCAAATTATTATCCTATAAATAGTCAAACTAAAAAAGCATGTTGATTATTTTCATTTGACTAACTTAAAAGTACTATGATTATAATGTATAAAATTACCTCCAAGCTCGTCAAATGCAAGAGGGGAATCAAACTCAGAAACGTTTAACGGTAAAGCTTCAGACGCTTCAACCTTCACAGCTAAAAAGCACAAATTTTTTATTTATTTATTTTTTAAAATCGAATATGGTAAATGAGTAGCATACTTAGTTTGGGTGGAGAGGGCGAGTCAGTGTAGGCTTCCTTCTCTTCAGTCAGCATTGATTCAGCAACATTTTGAGTCTCAGAGGGCTTCTTCTTTTTAGGTTTTTTAACTTTTTCATCAACAACTGCAGGTTGAACCTCTACCTGTTGTCCTGATGGTTTTTCCTGGGGCAACCTATTAGCACGATTAGAAATTTTTAAAATTTTCGTATAAATTATTTATTATTGTAGTTTTATGAGGGATTAATTTACATTTCATTCATTGACGGCTCGTGCTCAAAGTCGGGCTGCTCCTCAGGCTCCGTAGGAGCAGGCTTCACTTCTTCTCGGGCTTTTTTCTTTTCTTTCTTTTTTTCTAAAATGATATAAATAACAGATTAAGACCAACTTTGCAAACATGTAATAAATATAAAATAGCATAATAAAAATTGACAATTATACAACTCTGTCATATTAAAAATGATAATGTTCAATTTTTTACTGCCTATACATACAAATCCACTGAATTAGGATAATCAAAAACGACTAAAAAAAATTCATTTAGTTGACTGGCATGACTGGCTAAATTATTATTATTGTGTTTTTTGAAGCTAACAAAATTATGTACAGACTATCTTATAGTCATTGTAAAGACTAAAAGTTTATAGATGATCAAATGTGTCAATGAAGTGAGGAGGATTTATATTAGTACGCACCTGATTTGGGCTGAATTTCTTCGAGGGCGGTTTTCCTATTTTTCTTGTCCTTGCGGGACAAAGCTTGTTCCCACTCTCCTAAACATTGGATAAAATCAAATGTTATTATAGAAATAAATGAAACTGTTCCAGGATAAAACAACTGAATATATCACCATCGTCAAAATCTTTTGGCTTTTCTTCAACGATTTTATTCTTCTTTGAAGATTTCAACTCGACGTTCTCTTTACCCTTTCCCTTGACTTTTCTGTTGTCGACTCCATTCAGGTTGTCTTTTGTATCTTTATTAGTTGTTTTAGTAGGGGATTTCTTCTCCTGTTTCACAGCCTTCTCTTTCAAGGGAGACTTCTCTGTCTCTTTCTTTTCCTCCTTCTTCATCACCTTCTGGTCTGATTTTTTGCTTTCCGTAACAGCAGTCACATGTCCATTCATTTGTGACTTCTAAAACAAAATTTTAGTTTTTAATATTTATTAAAATTGTTAAGTATAAAGTTCTACTATAATTTTTATGTATTCATTCATAAAGTAAAAATAATCAGTTTTGCTAAAAGCAAGGTATTAGAGAAGGAAATGAAGATGCTTTTTTCTGAACAGTAAAAATTATTAAATATGTAAACCGGGCAAAAAGTATATTTTTCTAAATAGTCAATGTTTCAGTTCCTTTGGTCCATCAGTACCAGCATTGATAATGATGGTTATGTTCTACACAGTTTGGTGGTGCCCAAGTACAAGTATTATTCGCTAACACTGTGTAAAAGAACAAGCAATACAACGACACAGGCATTTTGTTCGTTTATGGGAGTTCAGTAAATAGTAAGAATGTGATGGACATTTGATATCGGGATGGTTTGGGTTAGGGATGATTACAGAAAATGAGAGATGGTTAGTCTGTTAAGGATTTCTTTCATTTAGATGGTTTGTTTGTTAGGGTCAGATATTTTTTTGAAAAATTCAAAATGCCAAAATTGCATAACAAACCTGGATGAAGAGATATGGCCAAACTGCTTCAAGGATAAGCAAAATTATAACAAGTTTTAACTATTATAGGGTGTGTGGATGTTTTTTTTTTTCAGTTTTCAGAAAAAAGTCTAACTTTCAAAATGTGTAAGTCTGATGATTTAGACGAGAAGAAATCTGTAAGTTTGATTTTCAGAACATTATTCAAAAATTCCCTATGTTTTAAATGGTTGTCAGGGAACAGAACAAGTAAAAATCGGATGGGGAAAGTTCTGGGGTATGCATGGTGGGAATTCTGTTGCCAGCCTATGATGTTACTCTGAGTAAATGCAGCCATGTGAGGCCTGGCATTGTCAAGGTGAAACACAACATTGCATTTATTCACTGGGGTTGGACGGTTTTCCTTCAACACTGGGCCAAAATGTTTTACCAGGACAGGTCCTACCATAAGGATGTGGTTGTGTTTCAATTGTGGTTAATGGTTGTTTGTTGTGAAAATAGTTTCCAATAAATTGTTCCTCAAATCTCCCACCAAACAGATGACAGATGAGGGTTCAATCTTTCTCTTCACATCAATAGCAGTGTTTCAATCTTCTTCAACGATCCTTCAGCATTTAACATTTTTGAGACTTCTCACCCCAAACCCTTTAAATTTATTCAGGTGAGAAACAACAAGAAATGCACTCTTCTTTGCTCATGAGGGGCAATTCATGGGTTTCCCAAGTTTTGAGTTTTTCAATGCACCAATCCAATCAAGATTGGATCCTTCTTTCTATTGTTGTGCAATGTACTTGAAATCGTTCTGATATCTGTGCTACAGTTAATTTGTCCTCATCCTCCAATGCCACTAATAGGTGAATGCTGTTAGCTTACTAGGCGTTCCACAGCAAGGTTAGAATTTAATTTGCCTCTCTCCATTACAAAAATGTTGGAACCATTGTTGACACACACATTCAGTTACATTATGACCGTAAATTCCATATCAACTTTCATAGATCCAACTCTTATAGTAAGCAATGTATTCTATCCGTTCCCTTGTCATATGGGTTACAGTTAATTCTAGGTTGACTTTTGGGATCAACCCCCTTCAATCTTAACAATCTCGTTCAATAGTGTTTTTCCACCCTAAAGCCAGTAGGGCCAACAGGTAATACAAGATTGCCTTTATAATGGTGAAAGTTGAAAACACTAAGCTTTTGAACACTTTCAAAATTGTTGTCTCTTTGGGCTGTATTATATGCTCAGTTTGTTAGCCAGTTTTCCATATGTGACATCATGTCTAAACATTTAACTGATTATTTCTTTCTAGTGAAATGTCTGTTATTCTGCCTGAGCTTCAGAACCTCAGATTTCTCTGAGACAAAACAATATCAGTAGAATGGAAAATTTTACGATCCTGGAAGGTGGATCATCTGTTGTATTGTAAAGACATTTTCTATGCCGAGATATTCTTCAAGACGCACCATTTAATCAATCACTGGTTCGTACTCCTCTTTATTCTTTTTGTTTATAAATGTTGATGTTTGTTAATGGTTAACAGGTGGTTAGGAGTTAAGAATGTGTAAGGTTGGATTAACTACCACAATAGTTTGAGTGATATGTTTTAAAAAATGAGAGATGGGTCATCTGTTAGGAATTTCTTTTATGGAGATGGTTTATTATTACACAGTTTAGATATATTTATCAGAAAAGTCAAAATGGTATCTGACATGATGAAATCATATGATCAGACTACTTCTACGATGACCTAATCAATTATAACAAGTTTTAACAATGATTTCTGACCTCTTCCGAAGATCCTCTGAAAAGACTTAATGATTTCTATTAAGTTTTTTAACATTGTCAATGTTTTTGTCATTTATGTGTTTTTAATACTAGCCTGTTGTGTAAAAGGAAATTATTTTTCTCTCGTTTATTCTACAACTAAATTAGATGTAAACAGACGTAGACGTTTTATGTAAGTTCTACTGATTTAAGGACGTTTAGATTTTTTTTATTTTTGAATTTTTCGGTGGATTGTAGTAGAGAAGGATGGTCGGGAACCCTGGCGGCGAAAGAGACAGAGACTGGAAACGGGTCGCCTCCAGATGGGAAAAAAGGTGTACGTAGGCGATGGTGAAAGGGTGAAAGGGAGAAAGGTCGAAACGGAGGGTGTAAATGTTTTATTTTCTCACCTTGTCCTTCGGTTTGCGTTTCTTTCCCGCGGCTCTCCTGTCCTCGTGGCCGCTGAGTTTGTCGAACGGCGGCTCCTCGGCGGACTTGAAACCGAACGCGAAGACGAGGACGGCGAGGATGAGGACGAAGCCAGCGACCAGCCCGTGGAAGGCGTATTGTCCACCGAGGACCTGGCTCAGCTCCATTCCGGGTGAAAAGTCGCTTGTTCCCCCTGAAAAATCGACAGATCTCCCTCGGGCTCACCGATCAAAAGAGTCTTTTGGATGGCATCGAACCAGCAGGCGACTCTCTCCTCTCAGCGATTAATCTCCACATCAAACACTAGTACGTGACGTCAACGCCACGGCCACGGCCAACAAATCCCCTTTCGCGAACACCTGCGCTACGTGGCCACTTGATTTCTTTCCCAATCACCTTCCGGTCCCATTTTCTAAACTACAAAAAAACTTAAAAATTTATTAAAAATTCTTAAAATAAAGAAAAAGAAAAACACTCTTTCAGTATTTTAACATTTTCTTTCTGTTCGAAAAAAAATCGGTGTTTCTCCCACGTCCTCCCACCGTGAACAATTTATCGACAAATCAATACTTGAAAAAGGAAAAAAACGCTAAAATTTAGTTTCAATTATTTTTTCTGATTTAAAGAAACGAAAGAAATATTTTTAAAAAAGCGAGAATACATTAGTTGATCCGAGCTATAGTGCGTTAACCATTCAAATCAATGAGGGAAATTCAAAAGATTCATTCCAATATAACAGGAATGAAAAAATAAAAAAAATATAGAGATTATACATTAACTTTCGATGTGTTATCGTTTAAAGACACGAGAGTACAAATTAAATAAAAACAAGAAACTGATATCTGAGTGATCCTGGAACAAAGTAGGAGGATAGCTTTGCGAAGAAGTACAAAAGCCTACAGGACATCGACACACTCCAAACAATCGCCTAAGCCCACCCAATTGACATAGTCCTCCAAAGCAAAGTTGCCATAAGTAAAATTAAAATGGGACAATGGCCAAACCTACAAGGTGTAGAAGAACTAGAAAAGCTGAGGGACATACTAAAAAGACAGCTCTCAGTATTTATTAAAAATTGGATAGACACTGCGTGGGAAAAACAGATAGGAAAGGAAGGCTCACCTACTTCCCCAACATTGAGGAAAGGGCATGAGCAAAGTGGATGTTTTTAGATTTCTGGGTCACGCAACCTTGACCGTCCAACTTCTAGGCATGTCTCTTTAAATTCTAAAGGTCCAACAGCCCTTTATGATGTGCACCACAAAATTCTTTCTTGTACTATTTTTGAATAGGAAAGGGAAGACATGAAAGCACTTCTACAACAGTTGGCCCTCGAATTTAGGTGAACTTGTTCAGGACCAAAACCATTTCTAGGCACTCAAAACATTAAGTCTGAAAATTCTTGGTCATCAAATATAGAGAATTCAGTTGTTGAGGAGAGTGATGTAGAAAATTACAAATACCTAGAGCTCCAAGTGGAAATTACAGGAAAAGTTTGTAATTGCACCTAACAAAGTAGTTTTTACTTGTATAGGCCCTAATTGTGTAAATGACTTAACCGTCACTAAAAATTTTGAATGTGAAACACAAAACGTTTCAGAATTAGGAGATAAAGAAGTCGACCTTTCATTAGATCAGATACTTTGTTAAATTGCAAATGATAATAGGCAAGAGAGGGGTTCAAGAAAATGAAGATATATTACAATTGGCTTCATGTGAGGCATTGCAACTTGCAGCCAATCTCATAGATCAACATCTCGGCCTGGTAGATCATACGCCATTTACACTGCAAGATTGACACACGACAGTGATCATCTTCAAATGGAGTTCCAACTGAAGAAGGATACAGAAAAACGAATATCCTCTACTGCCACCATAGTTTTTTTTTGTCCCAATTTTCTTCATTGTAAAAACTAAAAACCAGATCAAATTTTTTTACTCAAATTTCACTTAGTATAATTTTAAGGTTTAAAAATTTTAAAAATACAGAAGAAAGCATTAAGAATAATATTTGGTGTAAAGAAAGAGAAAGAGATATAAACCAATTTTTAGTTTATGATGACAGTACCTGATCTGAAAATTTATTTAAATCTAAAATATATGAAAGAAAATATAAATAATGCTTAAAAAAAAAGTTAAATGTAAGAAATACATAAGTTTGTACTAACAAAGTACAAACAAACATACACAAAAAAATATAATAGCCCTGAAGTCTTTTCACAGAAACTTTATAGCATATAACCTGGAAAATTAAAAAACTTAGAAAAAAATAAATTTTTAGTTGAGGCAAAGAAAATATATAAAAAAACCAATATATACCAATCAAGAATATGTAATCAAAAGCATGTAAAATAACGTTAGCAATGTTAATTGTGATAACAATCAACTAATCTATCTAAAAATAAATAAAACTCAGAGTATTAATAATATTGATGATTATAGAAAACCAAATGAGCGGTTTAACATTTACGATTGCTCAATTTAGCTAACATCAAACCAAATATCAGAAAAATGAAAAACTACAAAACTTTTCTTAACCCTTTACAAATTGTACTTGTACAATCATCACCAGCATCAAACTATCCTATCATCTCTAATTAATCATACAAACCATTGGTCATTACTAACCATTCCTAATAAACTTTAATGTAAATGTATGAAACGAGTAACCATTACTTAATTAATTATTTATCCATAAAAAAGACTAATAATTTTTGTTTTGTTTTTATCAAGTGTGATATATATATATGCAAAAGATGTATTTTTAATAATAAAAAGCCCTTGAATGATAACCTATGTTAAATAAGATCGTTGTGTTAACGCTAGTGATAAGAAAATCGTCGAGTCGTAATAAATTAAAGAGTTGAAAATGTGCAATTTTTTTAACTTTTCAAGTACAATTTTAACCTATCGATACGTTGTATCAAAATACATAATTCGATATCGGTTGTAACGGATATATTATCATAAATAATTTTTTAATTATAAGTTTCTTTTTTTTAATATGCTATAAAGAGTTATTTTATTTGATCAGTAAAGGAAGGTGAAAATATAGCAGTTTTGTGGAAAGATTTAATCGATGCGGTAATTATCAAAACGAAGAATTTCAAAATGAATATTGATCGATGTATTTGTGTTAAAGAATCGATATATTTGATATGCCCCTGTACAGCTTTTGTGGCTGAGTAATTTTCCAGACGTTTTTCCCTTTTGTCACCCGCATTGTGAAAAAGTCGAGTAAGCGAGACGAGGCGGACCAGTTGACTTTCTTCGTCCGAGACCTAGTGACGATTTGGGCCTCGAATAACCGAAATCGTTGGCGATCGGCCCGAAGGACGTAGCCTGGGCGGCGGACGGTCTCGCTTCTTCCACTTCTGATCCCAGCTCCTCGGTTTGGTGCTATGGCGAAAAAATCTTACGATCTTCTTTTCAAGCTGCTCCTCATCGGGGACTCGGGGGTCGGAAAGACTTCCGTACTTTTCAGGTTTTCGGACGATGCCTTCTCACCATCTTTTATCTCGACCATAGGTGAGTTTTCTGATCTTTTTTAAAACCCTGATTGGTATTTTATCGTTTTCCACGGTTATCTTGCTTTAGCCAGTCTTAAAAGTATTGTTTTTAAAGGCTGGATGCTTATTCTCAACAGGGCGTCATCCCTCTACTTGAACAAATTTGTACAAATACTTTTGAAAAATAAATAACTAATTATATCCCAATCTATTTGCATTTCTTTTCAAAATCAGGTGAGCTTCAATCGATGTTTTGAAAATCGAAAACCATTTCCCAAGAAATGTTTATCTTGACATCTCCACAAATCCTCAATGACGGGCAAAATGCGACAATGTTTGAAAAGTAAACTCAAATATGATATTGTAAGGTTTCTCCTGTGGTCTGCGGCGCGTGAAGCTGTAATTTGTTCAGTTCTGATATCTTGGTCTGATCATATCACTGAATTCTTGATGGGTTCGATGGGTAGCTGGTTAGGGATGGCCAAGTGTAAGGCCCCTTTCAGACCGGATAATAAAAAGTCAGCTGATACCTTATCATATATAATTGTCGGTAAGTCATTGAATGCGTTGGGCTCTTTCACACTGGCTGGCATGATTATGGAGATCTTGAGGTGCAGTCTGGTGTGACGTAGGTTTTAGAAAAAAAATTTCTTTATTGTGCCAGCGTTCATGTAGATGTGTTGTTCTTGTCCATCATGTTGAGAATACCCCAGAGTATAGGGCACTCTCAACACGACAGACAAGAATGACACATCTACACAGAAAACGAACACTTTGAGCCTTGAAGATGATCTCAATAAAGATCGAAACGTCATACCAGACTGCATCTCTCAACCTCCAAATAATCATTAAGTAACAGTCACTAAACACCACACACTGGCTCGTACATTGTTTCCACTACAGGATGTTGACCGATATTTAGTCCGCTCCATTTTGCACTAGTGCACAGCAACCATTGTGCCTTTTTACTGTAGTTAACTTTTTCTAAACCAGCACAGGGTTAATTTCTGGGTTTGTTTCCATTCGCATGTTTTTTTTTTTTTTTTAGTTATTCAAACACGTTTCGGCAATGCGCCATCTTCAGTAAGGAACTTCCCTTCCGAAATGTGTTTGCATAACAAACACAGAAAGTATTCCTGTGCCGGTAAAGCTTGAGTTCACTGACCAGTACCCATCATCAACTCTGTAGTTAACTTAATGGACATAATTATTCAGAAATCGTCTGACCAGACCACATCTCACGAATTCTGAATAATCATCGATTAACGGTCACTAATCACCACACATTAATGGATGTAAGTCATATACAATTTAAGTGGTCAGTGTGATAGGCTCTTGGATCATATACCTCATGGTTGTGGGTTCCCAACTGTGGGTCATCCCCTGGCCATTTCTAAAACCTTAAAAAAAAAAAAAATGTTCCAAAAATAAAATGCTAAACAGTGTCATTAAAATAAATGTTTGCTTGACAAATTATAATATTTTTTTTATGTTCCAGGCATTGATTTCAAAATAAAAACTGTAGAATTAAGAGGGAAAAAAATTAAATTACAAATTTGGTAAATTTACTTTATAGTATATTTTTCTCAATTAATTGTGTACGGTAATTTTACATTTTTCTTTATTTTAAGGGACACCGCTGGACAAGAAAGGTTCCATACTATCACAACCTCTTATTACAGGGGGGCGATGGGTATAATGTTAGTCTATGACATAACGAATGAGAAGAGCTTTGAAAACATGGCCAAATGGCTTAGAAACATAGAAGATGTGGGTCCAGATTAATTGATTATATTTTCAGATAGGTTTTAACGGTGGTTTGTTTACAGCATGCAAACGAGGACGTCGAGAAAATGATTCTCGGAAATAAATGTGATATGGAAGATAAAAGGACAGTCAGTAAACAAAGAGGAGAAACGGTAATTTATTTTTTCCATTCGTTTCATTAAAAACAAAACAAAAACAGGACGTATTAATTTCTTACTTTATCTTTTGTATGCTGTACTGCAGATAGCGAGGGAACATGGTGTAAGATTCCTTGAGACTTCTGCGAAGGATAACACAAACGTTGAAAAAGCATTTTACGAGCTCGCTGAAGTTATCCTTGATAGGGATTCCGGTCGCGACGTCGCTGATCCGGTTGACAACAGGGGAGTACCACTCGACAGAATAATTGACCGGGGGCAAAACAGGTGCTGCTAAGTTCCAAACAGGCTGAAAGGGGACTGACAATTAAAATAAGTATAAAACAAAACTGGATAATACTCAAAACCAAAAACAAAATGAAAAACATGACAAAAACCCGAATATTCTGAATGTTCATGTTTCTTTCCTGTTTTTTAAATTGAATTTTTTATTCTTTTTTTTATAAACCCCTGACAGTTTGCCATTTTTGAAAAAACAAAAAGTTCCCTTTTAAAGTTTTCACGTTAGGTGAAGAGGGATGGACTACACCGTTTTGTAGTCATTTTTAAACATTATAAAAATATTAATTTAAAAAATAATCCCAGTTTTTTTAAACAATTATAGATGTAAAATAAGCAAGCAAGAAGCAAATAAAAAAATGTGTGTGGTGCTCTTTTGTACATGTATTTTATATCTGAAGCCGTAAAGAGTGATTCATATTCCCAAAGATTCATTGTGTGTATGTATTTATCAGTTCATATAATAAATTTACATCACGCGTTTATTAAAATGTCGATTTTACTAAAAAAAAAAAAAAGAAAAGAAAAGAAAGTATAATAATATATATATATGTGCACATTTTTCTTTTTCCTTTATGGAAAAATCAATCACTTTAATAAATAACGGCTTTGTTTTGCTGCTGAAATTCTGTTTGTTTTTTTATTTTTATTTTTTTTTTTTAATTTGTATTGTATCGAAAAACCTTTATTTTGTTTATGTGCAAATTAAAATATATTTTAACGCTTAAATTATTTTTCTTAATTTTCGACCATTGCGATCGGCTTCGATATTGTAATCAACTGTGCCTTCTGTAATTGTTTTATTTTTTTGAAATTTTATTGTCGGCTTCTAATGATATTTATTATTTAAGGATTTAAAATAAAATAAATAAGGTTTTAACTATAATGTAAAAATATGGGAGCTTTGTAAGATTCTACATTTACTTTTCTCCTTTTTAAATATTTATTGTGGAAATTTCTTCGAAGGTTTATATTGAATAATTGATTAGAAGTGTTGAAAAAATCTTCTTCAATCCGCAATCAATTTGTGGGAAAAAATTCTTTCTTAGTAACTTCATTATTTGAATTGAAAAGTAATTATTGCAGAAAGTCCAATGACACAAGCAGAAAATAATTTCTACTCTTTTGATATAAATTGTACTAAAAAAAAATATATATATGAAAAATTAATTTAAAAAAAGATTAAAATGAAAGATTTCTATAAAGTTAAATGATAAGATAAAAATATGGCTCTTTCAATGTGTTAAATATACAATTATATGTAATTTAGGATAATATAAAAAACAAATTTCCATATCATTTTATTGTAAATACTTTTTTCTTTTAATAAAATGCTCTCTGTTAATAATTGCAATAATTATTTGCAATTTAACAATGATTTTAAAGTTTGATATTGAATATACTTTGATAACGGTAATAGGACGAAATTTTATACAAAGCCCAAACATATATTTTGTTTTTAGCCAATTTCCTTTACACGATCAGTAGCGGTTCCTCATATGAGTTTCAGTTTAGCGTTAGTCAAATGTGAATAATATTAACAAAAATTAAAGCAAAAATTTGTTGTATATCTGTGACATAAATATTTGAACAAAAGGTTAATAAATAATTATTTAAAATGAGTTTTTTTCTTGCTAAACCCATGTGTAGTCCAAATTTATGTTCATCCTCATCTCAACCCCCTTCATCTTTGGAAAGGGACCAATGTCTTTCTTCACTGCCAACATTTTTCTTTGGCTTTTATTTCTATTTTACATTTCATGGAATCAACTGGGCATATTGGTATATACCACTGGTTATAGTTTTTGTGTATTAGATAACATTAGATTAAATTACAGGGGTCACCCTCTTTATGAAAGGTATATGCATCTTCTTTGTTGTAGACGGCCCCAGTAAGTGACCCAGTTCAACATGCTCACCATCTTGCAGACCATTAAGTATAGTATTATTTTGTCATGACCGTCATATTTTCATAAACATATTTGGCAAACTAAAACAGCTAGAAAGTGCAGACTGAGATGATCAAATAATTTCTGTTTCCAAATTTTAATCATCTTCATTTTTACAGTATTTGGTTTTATGATTATTCGGAAATTGTGAGATGCGGTCTGGTGTGATGTAGGTTTCAGAAAAACATTTTCTTTATCGCATCTCACGATTTCTGAATAATCATCGACTAACAGTCACTAATCACTAACATTTTATTTTATTTTGTTTTTACTAGTTTTCTGTAGCAATGATATTGTACACGATTAATGATATAAAAACAATACAATTATAAAGGCAAAATTCACTGTGTGGAAAAAAAGATGAGTTTTGAAATCAAAAAGTGGCGCCCCTTCTGAACCAAGTTCGTCCAAGTGGGGTGCGCTACAGTTGGCAGCCATGTACGACGACCAGATGCCGTTGATAGTCATTCTTATTTCTTGGTACAGTTCTGATTGTGATTTGTTGTGTAATCTCTGAATAAGTGAAATTCCTCTGATCCTCGGCTTTTCACTTTTTTTTTAAATTTGGACTCGTTGGATACTCTTGGCCTTTGTTGGATAAAGAAATAAGAATAAGAGGATATAGGTGAGTCTTTAACGATTTTGACCTCTTGATAAATAACATCAAGGGCGCCTATCAAAACAGACGTTTGTCGGTTTCACCTTTTCTTTTCCTAGTTTATATTGAAAATGAAAACCAACATTAAAAATTCGAACTTAACAACGTAACATAATAAAGAAACATACGCCTTGCCGTAATAGGGGGTTGTGGTTGGGAAGGACATTACAAAATTTTGGGATTTTTCCCTTTAAAAACTCCCTTTCGGACTTTAAACCATTGTTTTATTTTCAATTAAATACAGTTTACGTTTTGTTTTTGTCGCCCATTATATTTTCTCCGTTTTTCGACCGCAGGTTGGCCTAAATCGAATATCGAACGGTGAGGAATTAACGCTCCAAAGACCGTTCTAGAATGTCGATCGACAACATACGGTGGATTTTTTTTCTATATCATATTTGCTTTGCTTGTTTATTTTCTTTGTATTCTGGAATTAATAAATAATCCCTGTTCCACCCTTTTCTGTTAAAACATGACATATCCTTCGAAAATGAACAGCATATTATGCAACCTTCAGGTCTTGTCCTGTTCTGATCTGCAACCCCATGTTCTAATTATACCTTGCTGCTTACATTTCGTAGTCATATGGTCGGATAAACTGTAAAATATCGAATGAGAAAAACCCTACTTTTAAGGAGGCTCATAATATGTATTCAAACTTAACTTTGTGACTGTTCCTTATAAATTATTTGTAGCCTGGGGGGGATTTATTGCAGATGTGATCACTGAAAGTTCTTATCACAAGGTCACAGCACTAGCACTTATGCCAGTGTTGGACCTGGAGAACAGATGCTATGAGAAGCCTGCCAATGCTGGCACTCTGTGCAAGGGATTAAGGGGCAAAGAGGTCTCGAGGCCATTGTCGATTAAGGCAACGTGGGGTGGAAATGAGTAGAGAGGGCTTGAGAATTTGCTGCAAAAGTTTTGTAATCAGGAACGGATCAGTTCGTTGATAAAAGGATTGTTGAGGTTGTTGTGGATGGTGAGGTTAGTGACTTAGTAAGGAGCTTTGACAATTTGTCCAAGGACTGATTAGGATTGTGTGGGGATTCCACGTCTATCTGCTGTCTAGTATAAACCTAGGTATTTGACGAGTTGAAGTCAGTATCTCTGTGTTGTTGAAGTACAGTGGAGAGCAACAGTTTTTTCAACATGAATGTACACTGAATTGAACATTTTTCTTCATTTAAGGCAAATTTATATTAGAACGTACGTCGGGACGGCTGTCTTATGGGGCACGTCAACATATTATCTCATTGCTTTCAAGTAGAAGAGTTCACGTTAGGGCGGCATGGGGCTAAACCCCGTACGGCACCCCAGAGCCAGCCCGCAGCCTACAATTCTTTCCTCTTCCCACCACGTTGTCGCCCCGTCCCATATAGTATGAACTCCACCCCGTCAGTATTCAACACATAACAGAAGTGAAAAACATTGATGAGTCATTCTAAAATAGCCATAAAACTTTTCCTCGTCATCATTCAACTCCTTGTAGAGGGTAACAAATTTACCTTCTGATCCCCTTTTCTTCCAAGCTGGATGTACAGCCTATCTTCTCGTCTTTTTCCTCATCAAGAGCTACAGCAATAGCTGCTAATTCAACTGTGTTGTTATTATTACGCGCGCATATACAAAAAGCACTTCCCGATGTAAACGCTAGTAAAACACTGATGAAAAATTGAGTTGAAGATCCCAGCCACTGCCACTGTAAGCAGCCCGGTGTAATGTAAATACAAACACCTTACGGGACTCGTTCCCCACACGTCCCGTAAGATGCCCGTCACATTCTAATATAAATTGACCTTTACTCTTCTCGACTCTTACACCAGTCTTCGATAAGCTCAAACCGTTCTTGGATATTGAGGTAGCTTGGGAAGAATTCGAGTTGGAGGACTGAATTGCGGTATCTTCTGAATAGGTTGTGATGGTGGTGTTCAGTTGTGCAGGTAGGTCAGCAGAATAGATGATGTAAAGTATGGGAACAAGAATGCTTCCTTGTGAAACGCTGGCGTTTTTTTAACAAATAAATCTTTCGCCTTTCAAAAATTGAAATTTTTTTCATGTTAATCCACATGCTTATCTACTGTATTGTATAACACATTTATGACTACTGCTAAAACATTTGATAAATGTACCAAGATTTAATATATACCTTTTTGTACTGCAACCAGTCAAATAGCCAGTTTTTAGATAAGTATTTATTAGATTTAAATAAGTATTTATTTTTCCTGATTGATTGATTGACAAAATATTGATTTTGATGAGGAAATATTAAACAAAATAACTAAAGGTTAGAAATGTTTTTTTCCCATTACTATAAAGAACAAAAACTTAATAATTGGCAAAACATCATTTTTACATTTGCAGGAAGGTTCCAATGTACATTTTCCACATTTAGTACATATTTTTATAGTTTAATTAACTTTACAACTTTATTTGACATGTTTTACGTTTATTAATATCTGTTGTAGCATTAATTGATGTTCTTTTCATATTGGTTATTCTTATTTGTTGTCCTCGGGCTTTTTGATAATCAGTGGCAAGTTGTACTGTTAACTTGAGTAAAAAATAAGTATATAAATCAATATATTTTTTCCTGTTGTTCCCTTATACAATATCCAGATATTTATGCCTGCAAAATCAAGTATATTAGAAAATAATTGGATAGGCCATCTGCAAGACTTAGATTTTGTGCTAATTTCCTCACTATTTGTTTGGGCATGACCACACCAAATTTAGTTTGAAAACAGTTTCATATTTCTTCTTCTTCATCGCGTTTATGGACCATTCCCTTTGATTGGAGTGGACAGTACCAACTAATATAGTTCTTTTTGCTAGGAGTTTTGTGGCTAGAGTTAAGTAAAAATGTTGCTATGCTAGGTATGTTTGTCTGTAGCGATCTTCCACAATCTGTAAATGATACTATGAATTTTGAGTAGTGATGGGTGCCTATCTCCATCTTTTCCCAAATATGAAAGTGCTTTTATAACGTAATTACCATTGAAGTCTGTTGCTAACTAGGATTTGATTTGAAATTTATCTGGCTTATTGGGCAATATTGACTAAATCTGTATCTTGCTTTCATTGGACACTTTGGAAATAGTTGTTCATTCACAGTAATTTTTGTCGCTGGTTTATAAGTTTTGACTGTTCTCAACAATCCATACTAAATACCTCAATTATCAAGATGAGATCTGTTTTCAAGCGTTGACTCCACACACTTTAATTTCAATTCAAAACAGTTAAATCTGAGAGTTTTTATAAAATAATTTCTGCTTGTGGTCTGAGAATAAATTAAGGCCCCATGTTCTATTATACAAAAAAAGAATTTAAATTGTTTGCTTCATATGCATTCGTGCATATAAAATTCAAACAAATGCATTTAATTTCACTCTTAGCAATGGTAATGAAGCAAATACAGAAAAACACATTTTTTTACATTTGTTACTTGAGTCGGTGCGACAATATCACTCTTTTAATAGCCGGGCTGCAGTAGCGAAATTCATTTGAGGACAGGAGGACACCAAGTAGAACTAGAGGCCTATGCATTTTCCTTCAGGCTGTCATGATATTCCTCTCTAGCATAAGTACAATGTCAACCATCTCTTATTAAATTTTTGGAAATAACAAATCATCAATACTAGATGTGCTTAATTACATTACAATCTCAACTTGGGGATGAGATGCTTTTGATGGAGCGGGTGGTCTCTAACTTGGGTCAGGTGTAGAGGTTCTTGCTATTTTGCAAAAGGTGCTAAATTGAGAGCCTGCATTTGTGGAAATAAAATTCCAACAAATGTAATATTATATATCCCAAGAATACTGACGGTTTATTGTTTATTTAAGTTAGCATTCCCCAAAATGCTGACTGTCCATTTCAGTTAGCATTCCCTGGAATGCTGATTGTGTATAAATCTGTTTTCAAGGTTTGATCATATGTGTATCAATGCATTTTTTTTTTTTTTTGGTTTTTTTTAGTCAGATGGAGAAAGAAACCAACCAAAATATCTCTTATTTTTTTTCATCTTGTTTAGGCTCCAGCAAACAGACATTACCGGTCCTCTGAGTATTTTTATTATTTTAGTTCGTTCTTGTAGCATTGAAATTTTTTTTTACACAACTTTTGTTATAAAATATACTATCCTGTTGTAAATATCCAAAAACAGAATTTTTTTATCTTATATATTCACAGGCAAATATTTAAAATATGTTTTCTTATTCTTGCTTGAATGTCCAATTAATATTACCTAGAACAATTTATACAACGTACAATTTTGTTCATATGTTTTTGTTTGTACTTTGTTAATTATAATTAAATTATTTTGATTGTGTGCAAATAATTTTTTTCAGTTTTTATCTGTTTTCAGAATAAAAAGCAATGGCGTGGCAGCAGGGACAGGCATATCCTGGGCAAACCTATCCTGGACAAGGTATATTCGCATTTGAATTCGACAAATTAATCAAACTTATAATATACCTATAGATTTTTTAAAACTGCACTGAGCTGAAAAGTCATTCACTTTTTCCAGGGCAACCTCCTCCTCCAGGTTTTTATCCAGATGGTGGATACCCCCCTGGAAGTGCAGGTTACCCACAACAGCCTGGAGGGTACCCACCGCCTGGTGGTTATCCGCAACCTGGTGGATACCAACCACCGGGAGGATATTCTCATATGGGAGGATTCCCGTCGTCAGGCGATCCGGGCATAGGAAAATTTGCAAGTCCTGGCGGTGATGGCGGTGAATACGGTGGACAGAACCCACTACCCCAGTTCGACTTTGATGATAAAATGATTCGTCTCGGATTTATAAGGTACGACTTACCACTGCCACCTTTTGTTATTGTGATTAATTAATTTATTTTATTTTATAGGAAGGTCTACAGCATTCTTTTCCTCCAACTAGCTGTTACTCTCGGTTTTATTACACTGTTCACTTTTCACGAAGGCACTAAAAGATTTATTCTTGCAAATCGAGGTTTAAGGTGAGCTGAACTTTTAAAAAATAATGAAAATTTTGAAAATGAAGTTAAGATTAAAAATAAGAAAACCACTTCAGGAAACTATGCTAATGTTGAAAGAATCAGAGAAACATAAACTTAATAATTTAACTTAATAATAATTAATTTTTCCCATATAAACGTGAAAAATTTGATCTGTCCCTCATTATTGGGGGGGGGGGGAACCGTTAAACAAAATTTCTCAAGTTTTACGATTTAATATATATAATAATAATGTATTTAATCAAATACATATATAGTTAAGGTGGCACTATGGCGATTGGACTTATTTTTTTTAAAATTATTATTTTATAAATGAAATATAGTTTTTTTCAGTATATTCATTAATCATTTATTTGTTTTCCAGTTGGGTTGCACTCATAGTGCTCTTTGTGTGTTTGATTGCCATGTCTTGTTGTGGAGATGTGCGTAGAAAGGCGCCAATGAATTTTATACTTCTTGGCATCTTTACATTGGCACAGTCATTTTCACTCGGCTGCATTGTGGTCGTATACTCGAGAGATGAAGTAAGAACTAATAATAAATATGCATGAACTATTAATAAATTAATGTTGTTTTTTTGTCAAGGTGATGTTGGCAGTCGGGATATGCACTGCAGTGACACTCGCACTCTCCATATTTGCATTCCAGACGAAAATCGATTTCACGGCAATGGGCAGCGTTTTGTTCGTCAGTGTCATTATACTCATGATTTTCGGAATCGTCTTGATGTTCTGGCATGGAAAGATAGCGACAATAGTCTACGGCTGTTTGGGCGCTCTCATCTTCTCCTTATACATCATATATGACACGCAGAAGATGATAGGAAAAAACCACAAATACGCAATATCACCAGAGGAGTACATATTCGCCGCGCTAAGTCTCTACCTGGACATCATCAACTTGTTCCTTTATATTTTAACTATCATCGGAGCCAGTCGCGATTAGGATTAAGTATGAAACAAAGCTTAAATAAGAGACTCATTAAGTTTTCTGTTGTCTTCTTATTTAACTTGATTATTATTAAACGGATAAAGATTATTTTTTAGAATTTCCAACCCTTTTTAATCAAAGTTTTTGTTTTTACTCTTGTCTCGAAATTTTAGGCTTTGTTTCAAGAAGGAAACAAAAACAAGTGGTTAAGTTGTGAATTCTTAATAACAGAAAGATGCTGAATAGTATAAATAATTAAGTATTAATGTTATAATTAATCAGTGTTGTTCTCCCTTCCTTTGTTATTGAAACTTCAAAATTTACGTAATTGTGCTTTCAAGCTTAAAACAAGCTGAAATTTGAGCTTAAAATGTTGACAATACTATGAATTTACACCCTAAATTCTTAGTTACATCCGTCAAATTAAATTAGCACACGATTAAAAAAACAACATATTTTGTACATATTCTTAACCCTATTCTCATGAGCATTACACAAATATTCTTAACGTGAACCAAAAAATAAATAAATAAATTTAAAAAACATAAAAATTAGTCAAAAAGGGTGTTCATAACATCCAACAATTTTCTTTCCTCTTTTTTAAGCTATAAATGTTGTTTTGTACAGATAACAGTAAATAATTAAAAAAAAAAAACTTTTTTATATAACATACATACTATTTTACATTGTATTCTAGACTCTTGGCGTTACAAATTTAAATAATGTAATTTATAATTTAATTACATAATAAAATAACAAATAGTGAGGAAATATTTATTTACAAGAGGATAAACAAGGTATTTGGCCTTATATACTGACTATTTTCTCAGTTGGGCTATATCCTCTTTCTTACATTTCTCAATTTTCTCAGACTCAATTTTCATTTTCATTAATATTTCTTTCTGTACGAGGGCCTTCTCAAATTTTTGCCTTTTGACAGCCCTCTTTTCGGTGATCAAAACAACATCATATCGTTCGGTTAAAGATTTGTTCACTTTTTTGGTAAGAAATGGTTTTGCCTTCAACACAACTGACTCTTTGTCTAAAAATAAAATAGTAGTCTAGCAATAAAATGTTTTAATGAAATTTAAATACGAAATATTTAAAAAATATATGTATGTATTAACGCTTGAAAACTGTAGTATTGTTAAAATCAACACTTTCACTTAATGGTGCATGTTTTGTAAAAAAAGAAGCCTTGCAATTTTCACAAATTTGTACAAAAATATCTGCATGCATTTTAGCTATATGTAATTAAATATTTGCGTTGGATATATATATACTTTTCTTTCTGACTTTCTCTTTTATTTTATTTTATTTTGTTTATGAAATTTAAGACTGTATTTAAACCAGGATGTCCTCTATGCATATTTCTGGGCTATTTAGAATAAATATATGTAAAGTAAATTGGAATTTAATTTTGATACTTGGTCCTTGTGAGAACTCTTGTGTAATTATCCCTAAATCATTAACCATATCAAACGCAAACCAAATGATTCCTGATGCACAATAATCTTTTCATCATTAACCTAACTCTCACAGTAATCTGAACTTATCGCTGGAGCCCGGGGTATTCAAATTACAGAGGGTGATTATTTGGAAATCGTGAGATGCGGTCTGGTGTGATGGAGGTTTCAGTAAACCATTTTCTTTATCTGCCAATGTTTCAATCTTTATTGAGATCATCTTCAGGGCCTGGGATTTACAAACATTGTTTAAATTTAAAAAATACATGTAGGATGTGGAAAAAAATGAATTTATACAATGAAAAAAAATTCAAAGTAGAAATACTTTGATTGAATATAATTTTTTTTTTAAATTTTATGAATTCATTTTTTTCCACATCCTACATGTAATTGTTAAATTTAAACAATGTTTGTAAACCCCAGGCCCAGAAGATGATCTCAATAAAGATTGAATATATAAAAAAAATTATATTCAATCAAAGTATTTCTACTTTGGACCCAGGTATTGGATTGGTAAGGTTGAAAGATTTAAAAAAAAATCAAAAATTAAGTATTATCCTCCTAGCTCCCATAGACTATATCGTTTGGGGATTCATGAAGAGTGAAGTTTACCACTGGGAGTGCAAACATTGTAATTTTAAAGCAACTTTTGAGTTATAGTGGCTAAACGGGCTTGACTGTGCATTTCGGAGAGTTATATTTATGATGTTATATATTATTCTAATAGGTTTTGTGTATGGAATATTAATAAAGGTTTGGACTTTTTATTTTATATATANTATATATATATATATATATATATATATATATATATAATTTTTTTTAACACCCTCTGCAACAATTAGTTGCAGTTAGATTGCCAAGAGAGAGCATTGATATATATCCATCAACCCTTCCCTACCAATGCTAAACCATCTCTCATCATGCTTAACTTCCCACTGAAGATAGTGTAAGATAGAAACACAACTGATAGATCAACACTGCAAGTAAACCAACAATCGATGACCGATAAACGACCAAACTAGGAATGCAAAACCACTACAAGCAATGTATTTATTATATTATAGAGAGAGGAATTAAGAAAAAGTCAACTGCACATACACAACGATGAATATTAAAAATTTTTTACAAATAAAGGTTGATAATATTGTAATATTTTCTTTAGACATTTAATATTTAGATGGGAGTTTCTGTTATAATAACAATTATGGCCAAAAATTACTAATAATAATGGCCATTTTAAACTATTATTTTATTAATAAAAATTGACATACCAAGCCAAATAAAGTAAAAATATTGCATTAATTTTGATCATAAATCAAGCAGAGGCATTAATTGATTAAACAACGTATGTTAATAATTTTTTTTAAATTGCTTTACTTTGTATTTTAAACATCATTAAACAAAAAACTGATTCTATAAAAAAAAAAATCGAGCCGCGGGACGAAAAAAATTAAAACGACCGTGACAGGACTCGAACCTGCAATCTTCGGATCCGAAGTCCGACGCCTTATCCATTAGGCCACACGGTCCTCGTATCCAACTACATTTTATTTTCTACTTATCCGCACTTTGCTGTCATCTAAACAGTTTTCAATTTTATTTAATCTGATTACAAATTTTTGTTCTTTGCCGACACGATTTTTAACAATTAATTAATAATATCAACTAATTAATAAATTAATTTTAAAAAATCGCCTATTGGATTAGTTTTTATTTACTTATTTAAGAATACACTTATTTAGGACTAATGTCTTTTTATGTATGTAGTAGTTCATTACAATAAAATAAATTAAGTTTTAAAATAAAACAAAATCTTTTATTGACTACTATAGACTATTTCTAAATTGTCATATTTCTGCCTGTTGTTTGTAGGATGATGACTTCCCAGTTTGGTCTGATCATCCTGGGCCATTTCATCAAATCATCGTCATTTCAAGTTATCAGACGAGTTTTGGTTGACAGGTCTATGCAGACTGATGAATGCTTAAGACAATGAAGAAAGAACTGTAGTTACTAAGAAAGCAATAATGCAGAAAAACTCAAATTCATGAGGAACAGGAAGCAAAGGACAAAGGAATGCCCAGGATGGTTGAGAGTTATATGGTTAAGCACATACAGAATTCTGGCTCTCTGATGCTAAAAATTAATAAAATTAAAGAAATTAATTTTAAAAAATAATTAAAAGAAAACGGCAGTGTCAGTGGGCCAGATCGGCAGAGAAGCTTTTAAAAGCACTGTCGATAGGTGGCCCTCGGAGGATCTAACTTGTAGAAATAGAAGAGGGGTCATCCTCACCTGGTTAAGAATAGGCCAAGTGAGGTTGACTTGCTTTTTGGCTCAAAACCCACATACATGTCCTAGATGAGGAGAAAGATCAACCAACCATCACAAACCACCTAGTTGGTTATTTATTTGTTTTAATTGTGTCGAAGAGGATCAGAAGGTCAACCTTGATGATGACCTGATGACGAAGGTTGACCTCCTTCCGATCCCTCCCTGCAGGTCGATCTAAACATAATTAATTAATTGTTTTAGCTATGATGAAGGGATGACCCCATAACCAGTACAATTATATTACAACATCAAAAATTAAGACATACAAATAGATAACATTTGAACTCATTAAAAGAGGATTCAAATATATCCAAATTAAGCATGTCACAGTTTTAATTACAGGCCTTTTGTAAGTGAGTCATTGGACCCGTAATTAGTAAATAGATCATCTATTGTGGAACTCCTATAAATTATAGCCATACCTTGGAAAGTGCACTTTCTCCTACAAGACTAAGCACTTTCCTTGGTGCCTCTGAACTGATTTTCTGAAGTGGCAGTACCATAATAAGGCACAAGCTTCACATTCACAGAAGATATGTTTTCTGGTTCCTCCTGCCAGAATTGGTCTTTACATGATAGTTAAGAGGGCAGTGACTACCAAAGACATTTTTTAGTTCTTGAGTAAACATTCAGTTCACCCAGTATTGATTTTGGGCCCATGGTGAGAGGAATGCCCTTTTTTCGCTAGTTGGACAGCCTTTTTCCTTCTATGCCTTCATGTCCTCCTCCAGAAACCTACTGTAAGGCAATGTTGTTTTGTAAAAAAGTGGCAAATGGAATAGAAAGTTGATGAAAATGGTTGTTATCGTCAAAAAAAAACAAAAAAAAACAGAAGTTTCAGGCCGGGTGAATAATAGATTTAAAAAATATATATTTAGTGTTAACATTTTTACCCCTTATAAAACAGATTATTCTTTATTACATATCATTCAAAAAATAACAGTGATAATAGAATGTTATCGTAAATGTCAAAATCGTAAAATCGATTGTTGATAACGTTGGATCGATTGTGAATTATCGGTTTTGCTATCGATAATCGATGGCCGTCACTTTTCCGATTCGGGTCGTGCTCGTGCCAGTTTCAGTTTGTACTTAAACGCGAGGCCGGCCGGACGACTTTCGTTCCTCTCTGCTCCGTGTCAAATTTCCACCTCCGGCGGCCCCCTTTTCCCCGTTTTCTCCCTTTTCCGCTCAGAAACAAAAAGGGATTCCGTTCTTCCAAGGATGATCCTCTTCTTCCTCGTGCCGTTCTTCTTGGGAGCCAACGGCGACTGGGGTGAGTCTCGACAATTTCTAATTTGTGGAGCTTTTGAATTAAAAATAAATTCTCCCTCCTGACTGCAAATTTTTATTGGACTGTTGTCGAAGGAAAAAAGGACATACTTCGTCCTGGAAAAAAGGGTTTTAGTTTTCGCTTCGGCCTCCATGACCCCCGGCGAATGAGTCACGTACGCCACAGGGGCCATTTCCACAATAAAAATTTTAAAAATTTGTACAAGATCAAATTCAAAAATTTCAATTAGAACCGCTTATTTTTGAATTTGAGCGCCTTGGACCGCCCAGCTTTTAATTTTCATCATGCTGATAAGACGAGATGAGATAAGTGATAAGGGATTTGTTCAAACTATTAAGTACAATTTTGTAAAATTGAAACTTCTCTATTTCATTTTTAAAAAAGTTAATAAAATAATGAGGTTTTGTGGTGATGAAGTGTCACTGGTACTTTTGAGTTCTGTGTGAACCTGAACCGCCACGGTCGGTACTGGTTGCCATGGTTTCCAAACAACACTCCAATACTTAGCGGACTTGACGCTGTAATTGACACTTAAGAAAAAAAGTTGGTTGTTTTAGTTGAAATTTCAATTATTTAAGGTCTCACTATTTTATGGAGTATTCCAGCCAAAGCTTCCAAGCCTCCATAAAATAGTGAAAACAGATTTTTAAAAAATATTGCCAATCTTAATTTTTTTATGATCAGTTTTTAACGTTTGAGATTTGTATAAATAAGAATAGAACTTTACTATGTAAAATGTGCCAAGTTCAATGGGAGATAACATTTAAAAAAAAAAATCATTACATACTACATTTCCCTGGTTAACTTCGGTGTAAGTTACCGTTAACAAGTGGATCGACCTTGTGTAGATTTGTATGTGTGATAACCAGGTATTAGGTCACAGAAACTTAGAAACTCCCAACTTCACACCAAGCTTTGTTTAATTTGTGAACATCTTCTGAGCTAAGTTAGTTAACAATTTCTTTATCAGGTACATATAGATGTTTATAAATCCTTGATAATAAATAAATAACATATAAAAACAACAATTAAAATATCAAAAATAGTAAAAACACTAATAGATAAATTATTTTTTACCAATATGGTTAACTTACTACATAACATAAAATACTAAATAAATAAAAAACTTTAGGAAATGATGTATAATTGTATATATGTAATAAGGTTGTTATTTTTAACCAGACTTAGCAACCTTTTTCGTATCTAAGCTTATAATTGTTTTTTAATAGTTAACTATCACTAATCCAAGTGGTTTTCTTGAAAGTTCACCATTAAAAAAATCTCTTTCATAAATGTACATTGTAGATGTGTGACAGTTTCTTTGGTACAAGGTCAATTTTCAATGTGTTAAAATTCATCTACAAGATTTTACAAAACGATTGAAGGTGAAGACATTTTTCTAAAAAAGGTTTCAATAGCATAGGAAGTAATTTTGGTTGTTTACGATCGTTCTGGTCTGTCTATAATAAACCCCCTAACCATCCCTAAACTATAATCTGTCATGACCTGTAAGATGCGTTTTTGCATCTTTCCTGCTGGTTTAGTTAGGGTAAGAGATAATAAGTGGTGGTTAAGGAGGTGGATGTTGATTATTTGAATGATGATTTGTATGAATGGACAGAAACGGCTATGAATAATTAACCAGTTTTGGACGCTTAATTATATGAAGGGATTTGTATATACCAGGTATCCCAATAATTGGATTAGGGATGGTTGAGGATTTTTAAAGTTTTGTATGAATGATTAGAGAATATTAATAAATAGTTTGTCATGGTTTAGGATGGATGGATGGCCGTAATATACATATATAATAATACAGTACTCTATTGATATTCAGAACTAATTGCTGCAGGGGAGTATTCGGATTACAGAGGGTGTTAAAAAAATACATACACATATTCAACCAATTTCAACACAACGCTTTATACACATGACGTAAAACCCACTAAAATACACACACACACACATATATATATATATATATAGTCAATTTTTCTTTAGAAAATAGTTTTAAAACAATTAAACGCTTTCTTCACTGCTTCTTCTTCTTTTTAACTCATTTTTAAGTAGCAACTAACACGATAAATATAGAAACTGATCCAACATTTCATTTTTTCGTAGAGATGGGAGGTGATGGATTCATTAAGCAGAACAAAATTTTTTTTTCGAAAATTCTTATAGTCTAAGGTCTTTGTCTTTTGAGTGGCAAAAGCACTCACTTGCACTCACTCATTCACTCACTCACGCACTCTACCTCATTCACATTCTTTTTCTCTCTCCTTTTTCTTTAAAATTCTCACTTCTTGAATTGTTTTCCAGTTCGAATTACTGGAATGTTCGGAGTACCGAAGTTCGATTAGGTAAAGAGCAGTGCAGTTAACACAGAGGTTAAGGATGGTGATGTACTTTGTACTTTATGTACATGTACCTTTTGTCAGTAAATCGTTTAGTTGTTTGAAGAGCGCGAATCTGACCGATCAGCTTTGCTAGGAGGGTGAGGACGATGGGAAAACGAACGAACTACAGTTTAAAATTATTAATCACTAGGACCTTTTTTTGATTATTATTTTTAACTTATTAGAAATATTCACGACATATACAAATTTGGTTTTAATGTGTCGATAAAAAAAAGTAGATTCTCTTTCGAGTTTTTTGTTTTTCAGACGTTAAATTTTGGTCAAAAGATTCTCTGAGCTCTACCTCAGCTGTGTTTAGTGGTTGAGTTTTAAAATTTTAACCAAACTAGTTTTTTTCAGTTTGGTTTTCTAACCCTTCGATACGTTTCCCGATTGTCGGTAATACACTAGCAGGCAAAGAATTCCACCCACTTGTAATATAACTGGATTTGTATATATTTTTATATAGTAATCAATGTTTTACGTTTTTTAACGTTTACTAATTGAGTCTTTGACTAAAAAGGTAAAAAACTGTAAATTGCTAAGGAAAATGATAAATGAAAAAAAGACGGACAAATAAAATTTGTTTTAATTTTGATTTGATAAATGAAAAAAAGACGGACAAATAAAATTTGTTTTAATTTTGATTTAGATTTTTAATTAACTTCACTCATCTCACTTAAAAACCTTAATTAATTTTAATTAACATTTCAATATCGCGTATTTCCTCCTCTGGCCTTAATTACATCTCGAAGACGCCTCGGCATTACTTTCTACCAATCTGGAAATGTCTCTTTGCTGGAGGTTAGCCCATTCTTCACGAAGAATCCTTTCAAGATTGTGGAGTGTGAGTGTATCAGGAATTGATGGATGTGCTCTTGGTTATGCCATAAATGTTCAATGGGGTTCGTCAAGTCTGGAGAACTGGCTGGCCAGGCTAAAACCCTGATGTTATGCTGTTGAAGGTACGTTTGTACTATGCGAGCGACTTATCGGCATTAGAATAGGATGTCACTGATTTCATGGAGCTTGGGCAACGCAAGATGTTCCAAAATTTCATCCACATAGCTCGTGGGCGTCACGTCTCGCAGAGTTTCGTAGGGAACTCCGATGGCAATAGCCGCATACATGATGGAACGTCCATCATCAATAAGTGCTACACCACGCGCAACATCTTCAGCACCAAGTGGCATTTTTAAGTTTAAAAATTGAAATTAGGAAAACAAAGATGAAAACAAAACAGTTTATTGCTTCAGAATTCAAACGTGACAGAATAAACATACTAAATTCCGTAAAAAGAAAAACATTGAAAAATCCTTTATCCTGTTTTGGATTAAGGATTAAATGTGTTTACCTCTAATTGATATTCCCAATTTAAAACATAGCATATTGGTAAAACAATGAGACAAAATAAGTGCAGAATTTTCTTTTATCGATAAAATGAAAACAAAAATCAATTAGGTGGAATTTTTGTCTGTCAGTGTATGTCAAGGTCTAGAGTGTTTTTACACCTAGACCCAATTATTTGTAGCGTGACTTTCGACTGTCCACATAATAAGTGAACGATAATGAAGATCGGTAAATCAGATCCATTTTAATAATTGAATATTGAAATGTGCGACCGTCATCGTTTTCCCTTAAGCCTTGAAACGGAATGCCCAGCAGCAGGTTTATGACTTACGTTGGCAAAACCCGATTGAACGGATTTGAATTTTTTTCAAGCCCAGAATACAAAAGGTTGTTTTTGCTAAAAAAAAATCCCCCCCCCCCAATGAAATGATGTCATAAATCAAGAACGTCTTTTAAAATTCTACATTTTGAGTACACGAGTGTAGTATTGTTATAAAAAGGCTAACAATTATATTCTACTTAGGGAATTTCATTGTAATCAAATAAATACAAATAATTTAATATTAAGTACCTCGATTTTGAGTATCAAATAACTGCTAAGTTTTAATTTTCGAAGTTGGTTTCGCATTTTGCACCATAAGCACTATCCAGTAATTTGCCATTGCATATCCTACCTTATCCTAAAGGCTACAAGGAAAAACTTAATAGGATTTTGGTTTAGGTTTGATATTACCATTTATCGTATTGGACGTAGAGTAAGTTCAATGTCAAATTTGTAGCCTGTAATTTGGCCGTTTTCGATCGTTTTAGTCTGTCAGACACACTTCAGATTTTCGCTATCTTTGCTTGTAAAAATAATAAATCAATTGTTTACCATTCCTTAAATAAACAAGCGTGATATATGGTGCGTAACTATCATTAACAATATCCCAACTCCAACTCGAAATACCGTGGTACCTGATATTTTTATAGTATATTACCCATACTTATATTTAAACATTGGGTAATTAAAAATATATTGGAATACAATCCTAACTTAATCTAAATGCAATTAGCCAATACGAGCGTGATATCTGGTGTCTAAACACCAAAAACTCAGTATTTTGAACCATCAGCCCCCAACAAGTTACCACCGTAGTCAACAATTACAATATGTTTATTCATAACCGTCTCTAATCCCTATACGTCTTTAACCATCTCCAACCTTGAAAATGACGAAAAGAAGAAACGCTTCTG